TTCAAACGCGCAAACACAACAGCCTAGTGCATGTGGAAGACAGACTCCCCATGACTTCCCACAGTCTTGACATGTGGCAACTGGGCACTGGCAGATGTGAATCGGCTCCGAAGGGCTTGGAGCACAACATATCGGTCATCTGCCCTTAATGTTTTTCGAGGTCTCTCCTGTGGCCTGGAACCTGTCCCGTTGTCTGTGAATGACAGGTGGGGACACCTGAAGACGGCGAACAACACTTCGTATGGATTCACCACCCTATAACCATGCAATGGTCCTTCTTCTGTCGTGGGCGCTGAACGGTCTACCCGTGGCATGGTGAAGAAGTTCTGAGCCTTCAATACTGGCTGTAGATCTTTTAATTTATACACCCTTTTTATCTTATTTTATATTGCTTTTTCTTTTTCTTCTGATTCTGTTTCTTCACATGAATGGGTTACTTGTCCGAACCCATCAAAACATCAAGATTGGTCGGGATGAATGTTGTTGGATCTACATCTCTTTTCAACAGGATACACTGTATATACCTTATGTGTGGCTCTATCTGCTCAAGAACATGGAAATATACTATATGTGTGAAGATTGTTCAGGTATTTCCTATTGATGACATGAGGTAAATGGAGTATATCCACAATGTGTACTCGCTTCGAAGTATGTCCACAACGTGTAGTCACTTCAGAGGCTGAGCTGAGAATGTCGTTCAGAGAGGGTGTATTTATACCCTTTAGAATCTAATAATAACCTATGGGCAAAACCCCTGTTCTAAAAGTAGAACATGACTCATATCTATAAAAAAAAAACATAGACTGTCTATGGGGACGTCTAAAAATAGTAATTTGAGTCATAATCTAAATATAGCCTATTACTGTTCTAAAAATAGACACGACAGGTGTTGATGAAATCATAATAACAAAATGTCGGATTTTCTGCTCAATGCCTATATTAAAACACGCAGATTATTACTAAGAGAAGATCTGGGTTTCGTTGTTCAAAACAAACAACCTTAGCTAAGGTCAACCTTAAACACTAAGGTTAGAGTTACGATCACCTTAAGAAAAGTTACGCCTGTTGCACAAAACAACCTACATTTGTGAAGCTGTACACAAGAAAACAAGGGATTATAACTACTCATTTAAATGGATTAAAAATATTATAGTATTCCTGTATCAGAACTAAAGATGCTGGTTTTACTTACATCTTGATCTCGTATGTTCATTTACATGTCTAGGTGTCTAGGCAGGTGCTAGTGACACTTCGCTATTTAGGTGTGTAATATTCAATAAATATTTGCCATTACGTTTGTAGTTCTAATCTGAGATAAAACAATGTAAGTGTTTTAAAACGTCAACAAGCTTTTTAACATAAAATAGCATACCGGAAATATGAGAGAATAAACATGATAACGTGTCTTTTAAGTCAGTGAAATTGATAGACTAGTTTTAACTGGACAGGGAACTAGCATCAATATGTCAGGTCAAGGTCGTTGCTAATGTAAACAAACCCGTTACGCATCAGGATATTTTTACCTTTCGGTCTTACTACAGGAAAATACTGAAATCATTATGCTTTTCCAGTTTTTGTTTATTAAAAAAGTGAAGAAAAGATCTTACCGAAGAGAGCTGTCACAAATAGCCTGAACATTCACGGCGTGGTAGCCCTTCCGGCAAACAAACGCTGCTTCCTCGGCGATAGGGGGTCTTTTTATTGGGATCAAAGTCCCGTCAACCGCTCCAAGAACTTTGGGGAACCCGGATAGTTTGTAGAAGCCCTCTTTAACTGCTATCTGTTCTTGTGGTCCCCATGGAAAATGAATATTATTTAGCACCGTGCAAAAAGCACTGGCTGTGCTGTGCAGGGATCTCGAAACGGTTGACTTGTCAAGGCCGTGGAGGTCCCCGATCTCGGACAGGAAGCCACCTTTGCCGAGATAGCGTAAAGTCAAGAGCACCTGTGACTCTACAGAAATGGCGTGTGAACGCTGTGTACTCCTTCCGATTATTGGCTCAACTTCTTCTACAAGAGCTATAATAGCTTCACGTGACAAACGGTAGCGAGAAATCAGTTCGAAATCATTCAGCGTGTCCATTGACTCGTCCTATCTCTGTAGACTCTCTGCTTCCTCAAACTTCTCTCAATCTCGTTGTATAAAATATAAGCAGTCACCATATTCCCCACCCAACCTTAGAGACGCTAAGGTTGGGTCGGATAACCTTAGTTATCAACCTTAACAAAGGTTAACCTTAGTTAAGGTTGTTTCGTGCAACGGGAGGCTAACCTTAGTAAAGGTCTATAGGTTGTAATCTTAGAGATAAGGTTCACCTTAGAGATAAGGTTGTTTTGAACAACGGAGCCCTGGTCAGATACAGGTCAACTCATTCAAAACTTCAGCTGCATATACTATGGAAATGAACACTAACGTATCCTCATCTTAGATATTGCATCCAGTTCTCTCTTAAGATAGCTTCCAGACCAATTACATGTCGAGATATTACAAGTGTGGGAGACATGCTTTTGACTATGACTGACGTGTACTTGTACACTGTGAATGGTATAAAATTGAACGAAATGAGTTCTTCTCCACCCTCATTGACAAACTGGATGTTGAAACTTATTTCAAATTGAACTTTGGATGAAAATGAGATGCTTGCACTATTTTGGGGTTCAGCTCAAACACTGCTTGTAAGCCAGACTACTTGGGAAAGTGTATCACTATTATTCTGGAAATATGTACTTCAAAAATGTATTAGAGCATCCTTCCTCTTTTCATCTGATGTGTACATATGTGATATCGAATATTTACTTATACAACTTGTGTTACTAGAACTCATACATATGTTTATGTACATACTAACATGTACATACTCTGAGTAACATCAGGGATATTGTAGATCTACGGATGCAGATACTTGAGGAAATAAAAAAATCGTTTGTTCGTTCGTTCGTTCGTTTCAGTTCTGTTCCATCCACCAGTGTCCCCACCCACCATGGAGTGTCAACAAGGACGATGTCTCACATCTGTGGATCTCCAACAGATGGTACCAAGGATACCAGGAGGATATACTCAAGTAGAAACATATCTTGAAAAGACATATCCTACCAGATTGGCCCATGAGCCATAGCCTTCTTGGCAATTAAGACTCTTGGCAAATAATTAGTCTATTTTGAACATTTTACATTAATGCCAATTTTGAAAGTTATTGATGTCAAGACAATTCCTTGAAACGTAAATCAAGTATTTAAAGATATATTCTGTACAATTTCAAATACACCGGGCATGGCATGACCAGCCGATTGATAGAACCGGGCCCATTCTACCTCCCGTCTAGGTGAAGTCAGGACTGAAGTAGTGTGTTGGGCAAAGGAACGCTGTTCCTGGAACCAGTGCCCTCAACCACCAGAATCCCTACCTCCACCGACACAGGGGCGCAACCCACGGCAAACAGGTTGACCAATTCGGTCGCCTCTTACGACAAGCAATGGGTTCTTAGGATACATTCTACCCCTGCACACCCCCACCGGTCAATGTGCTAGCATTTGATCTGGCACATAACCTTTCTGTTAAATAAACATTCTATGTGTGCATAAACGTAGATGAACGAAAGTAGAAATATCGACATTAAACAATAAGTTTTATATTGGTATCGATACGTAATCTGTCATTCCTGATTAATACTACTCAAAATCCCTTTGACATACAGTTGGGTGTTTTGTTCAGCAGATGTTTTAATGTTTATTGTAATCACATAATTCATTGACATGCACTGACTATTTATTAACCAAAATGAATGCTGATGCAAATTCATATTTTCATAAGTCCTAACTGTCCCTGTGTTTGTTGGAGTGAAGGCTTGAATCTGAACTATTTCAAAGGGATTCATAAACACATCGTACAAAAGACAAAAGGCTTTTAACGAACTTTTTTTACGATTAGTAAAAAGGTTTTGTCGCGTTGATTTAACAAGTACATTCAAAACCAACATTCCATGGTCATTTAATCTTTGGCAATTCAGAGCATCACACTGTGTGGGTAGTTCACAGTAATGAATTGTCAAATCCAAAACCATAGCAAAGAAAAATACTCTGTGAAAAAAGAATCAGTCAGACATGTATTTCTTGACTGTGGGGATTTCTCCATCACAATAGATAACTACTTCAAAGTTTTGATTTTTAAAGACCTATTTACTAATTTCTACTGCCGTTTTATTACGTAATTTATAAAGAATATGGGTGTGATATCATAGTTCTTTTCTATATTGTTGCATGCGTCATAGTCGTATCACAAAAATAGTCGAAAAATAGTTTTAAAGAGAAACTGTAGTATATTTATTGTTCGTAGGCTTTTCTTTGTCAACAAGACATTTTATAGCTCAAACTACTGCCATGCAGCTTTAAAAATTTACGAGCCCCTCTCAGAATTAGGTTGCGTTCCTCCATTTCCCAACCAGCTCTGAGGTGAATAAACACCTTACAGACGTGACATAGAAAATAGGGAACATAATTAGGGTCCACTCTTCAGACGTGTTAAAGATAACGAACCACAATCTCTGCGTCAACCTTCACAGATGTAAGGGCCAAACATCGCAGCACAAACCAATTTTACGACATTTAAACAAAGACAAGTACTGGTAAGTATTTGTATGTATAATATATGTTTGTATATGACTCCCAAGAGTCAATTTGTCATAGCATTAGAATTTGTTGTTCACCCGACCTTATAATGTTTGATATTTTAAACAAGCCTCTTAAAGTCTGAAACAAGTGGTTCTGTGAAACCGTACTGATTGTATTTTCATGTCATCAGGGTCAACATATTTGGACATTTGCATGTGCTGTGCATTGTAGTTTCAAAACTTGAATGTCTCCTGCCAGCTTCATTAGCAGGTTATGTGCATTTATGGTGAAATTGGTTCATTTCAGTTGTCATGTTTTCGCAAACATGTCCTTCATGGATATTTTCTCTTTCTGTTTCAGACATACGAAAAAATCCGTGACGTTGTAACAGGATGCTCAGTGAAATTATACTGGGGGCAGCTGTTGTGCTGTTTACCGCCTACATTTATCAGTGGAAACGGAAGTATAGCCAGATGCCTCCAGGTCCAAAACCACTGCCAGTACTGGGCAATTTCTTAGAAATAAAGGAAGCTTCAATGATCGACGATCTCACTCGATTGGGTTCGACATACGACGGCATATTCACGGTCCATTTCCTAATGACGCCGACACTCATTCTGGACCAGTTCCATACCATCAGAGATCTCCTTTTTTCTCCATTATATGCTGACATCTTCAGTGGAAGGGTTAATTCATACTTTAGCAAGTATTTGCTGCCGAATGATATGATCTTCCAGACGGCCAGTGACGGACAGCGATACCTGAGAAAACTGACCTTTCGAGGAATAAAACAATATGGAACTGCACTGAAAAATGTTGAACATCTTGCCCAAGCAGAAATACAAGAAATGATCAACAGTTGCAGAAAACGAAATGGCGTCTCTTTTGACCCGTGGGACGACCTGAATCAGTATGTCAGCAACATGGTGTTGCTTTTGGTAAGTTGTTGACATAATCTGAAGACTTAATCTTTGATAACTAGGAAGCATATTAGTAATAGTACAAATAACTGACTATGTGTCAATATGCCACAAAGGCTTCTATCTGCTACATAACTGATGCATTCAACTGGACTAAGTATATTTCTTTTCAGGTTTGTGGACAAAGATTTCAGCCTGGCCATCAGACACTGGAGATTTGTCAAAATGTTGCCGCTGATTTCGAGTACCTCTTTCACTATAAGAACCAGATTCTTATGGACAATGTCCCGTTTAGTACGAAGTTAATGCCAAAGTTGAGACGAGCTTGTCAAACCATGAAGAACGGATACAACTATTTTGCTGAGATAATTGACAAAATTTCACAGGTAATTTTCACAAACCGATTCCATGAAATGTCCAATAAATCTCAAGTGAATGACGTCTGAATGAACTGTGGAGCCAATAGTATTGTATACAGAAATGCACCTAATATTGTTGTGTATATAGGGGATCGTATGCAACGCTTTTCATAATTTCAAAATGATGTTCCTGTTTGTAGGAATCCAAAGATACAATGCCCGATTGTCTCTACACATTGCTATTAAAAGAACGTGAGGAGGGAAGGATATCGAATGAAAATGTAAAAGGAGTTCTGATGGATGCCCTTGTTGGAGGTAATACTGGACAAATATTACTAAAACTGTCTGTGTGCAGATATAAATTTGCACCTTTTGCTGTTATGAAAGGAAGATGATCAATTCCCCTGACATTAATAGTTGACAGGCACCAGGTCCAAACTACTCTTTTCTGTTATGTGGCAGGTATCTTCACAACAAAACCAACCATGTACACTGCCCTAGCTGCAATGGTAAACTTCCCTGAGGTTCAGAAGAAGATCCAGGAGGAGATCCAGAGAGTGGTTGGAAACGACCGACTTCCGGGTTTGGGGGACCGGAACAAAATGCCCTATACTAGGGCTGTGGAATTAGAATCACATCGTTACTACACTCCTGTCAGTTTGCCAGGCCCAAGGAACACTACGCAAGACTGCACTTATAACGGTTACAGAATCCCCAAGGGCACAGTGGTAGGTTTCTGTAATGATGAAGGGCTACTGTTCGCAAAATACTTCCCTGAATGACAACCACATTTGTCCAAATACGTATTACGGCCTAATTATCTAATACAATCTGATAAAATCATTATACCATACCATACCGTGAGATCCTCCGCCGTAGTATTGCTGGAATATTGTTTAAAACTAAACTCTCTCACACACTCACTCGTGTGAAACTGGTAAAGGTGATGAGATTACCGTAGAGTATTGGAGTACAAGTTTATTCTCTGACATCAGGGAATATTGCATTGATAACCAAACCAAACTGATCTGAATCTGTCTTTATGAAGGTTATTTACAACGTGTGGCGTGTACACCACGACGAATCATTTTGGGAGAATCCCTTCACGTTTGACCCAACCAGATTCTTGGATGAACATGGCGAACTGCTTCCACTGGAGGATGAGAAGCGTCAGAGGTAAACATGCATGAGACAAGAAAGAACATGATTTCAGTTAAATCACACAGATGGGGGAATGAAAGCTAGACAGACTGGTCTTGCCAAACATTTGCCAAACTGATGAAAAGGTTGATTTTCAAGCAAAGATCGTTAAAACCAAAATCATATACGGAGATGTATTTAAATGAACGTACATGATTTCAAGTGTTTCTTTTCATTGCAGATTGCTGACGTTTGGTATCGGAAAGCGTTCTTGTATTGCTGAGAAGCTGTACCGAGTCAAGATATTTCTTGGACTGACGTCGATCCTGCAAAACTTCGACCTGACTCGTGATACATCTGAGCCTTTCCTTCATCCGACCCCGCACATATGAGAGTAAATTTCTCTTACAACCACCTCCATACAAGCTGCAGTTCAAACCTAGACATTGAGAGCCACAATGTCCCTGTTTACGACACACATAACCTTTGAGATGTGTTTTAAGTGTTAGAGCTTCTGTCGTGTAGTCACCCATTGTCCCAAATGTAAATGCAGTTAGATACGTGTATCAAAATACAAAACGTGAACTGTAACACATCTTAACTTCAACCTGTAATCGCTGATATTGATAAGATGCGTCAGCTCGGGAGCCTTATCTAACGAATTCCAACCCATGGTGTTCTGCTGCGCAAGAGTTCCATTGACTGGTATATTCTTGCCATTCTTTCAGCAAATCGAAGCTCTAAGACGCCCTCATTTATGGGTTTTGTAATGGCAATTCAATGGCTAACGAAACTTGATCAAGTCATCCATCATAGTTATCGGCATGAAGATTGGCCAACGGACTGATTAATTTGTGTTCAGTTCGAATAATGAGCAAGGAAATATAAAATGTATAAGTGATAGCAGTGGCAATAACAAGCCAGTGATGATAGCATTCACCAAGCTCCAACTATTGTCAAGCTTCCAAAATAGGCCTATTCTGGATATTAAGGATCTATTTGGTTGGTGTTTTAGAATAAGTTGGATGGTGAATAAAACAAAAGGCTACACACTTTTATGGATAGAATAAAGACCATAAAAATCGCTTTCTTATAGAATACAGAAGTTGCCATTCATACAATCGCATCATGATTGAAAAAAGAATTTGTCATCCATAAAAGTGATATGAGATGAGGGTGAGTGAGTTTTGTTTTACGCCACATTCAGCAATATTCCAGCTATAATGCGGCGGTCTGTAAATAACCGGGTCTGGACCAGACAATCCAGTGATTAACAGCATGAACATCAATCTACGCAATAGGGATGCGATGACATGGGTCAACCAAGTCAGCGAGTCTGACCACCCGATCCTGTTAGCCGCCTCTTAGGACAAGCATGGGTTACTGAAGATCAGTTCTAACCCTGATCTTCACGGGTTGTGAGATGAGAAAGGCAAGCGCTTGCTCAATTATATTACAATATAACTAATCTATAGCATAGTTATTACTTTCCAGAAAATTCCATACTACACAGAACTTGTCTATAACTTTCCCAGATCACACTTAACGCCTAAGCATTCAGTTAGCGTAGCGTCTACACCACAGCTTACAGTAGATAGTAATGCATTACTGAGAATTGAGTATTGATTAAGAAAAAAAAATTAACATCTACTGAATCTAATAGAGACAATAACATAAATTACAACATTGTTTATGAATACATTATGTTGTGACATAACACTGTCAAACAGTGATGATACAATGTGTTCACGAAAAGGTGAGATCTTCCTGCCCCACCTGTTTCATTCATCACAGACACTTAAAATGGTACGCCAAGTGTTCACTTGAACAAAGACAAGATATGGTGCACGTCAGACTAGCAACTTGAATCGTGTTGGTCAAAAGTACGTAAATACCTTTCTCATGTTTACCATAAAACCTTTAAAAAATCATTACTAAGACCTAATGTTGCAACACTGATTAAACACTTTTAGGAAGACTCATATGACGCTGTTTGTAATGTTCGTACCATAACATGCTGGGAAGTGTTATACGTAAATTATAATAAACATGGAAAAAATGCCAGATGTTCCTTTTTCTTTTTGAACCATGACTTCATCATGTTGGTGAAAAGTTAAACAATCTGTCATAGGACGCCAGCTTAGTTTTTGTGAATTTTGAACTGAAAAAGGTTAAAATGTTTAGACCAAAGCTCAATGAAATTGTTTTTTATCTGGATGCTAGATTTGGTATCCATACAGTATTTGGAATGTGGACATTGCATGTTTTTTATTATGTACCTTTGAAAACTGAACCCAGTCACAAGGTACTGTATTTGATATGCGTGTTAGAAATGTGGATATTGCATTTTTTTTTCATGATGTACTTTTGAAAACTGAACTCAGTCACAAGGTGCTGTGTTTTAGGAATGTGGATATTGCATGGGTTTTTTTCGTGATGTAGTTTACTAAGAAAGCGTAATCCCAAATATAACATGTGTTAAATATTGAGAGACATCACAGATCATTTGATAAACGATCACCAACTGAGATCAGTTCGAAAACTGAAACTATTGTTTTTGAACGAGCAGTACGTAGGCACATTGGGGAAATGCAAAGGTACAGACGAGGAAACGTGATATTTAAAATGGGAGATCAAGTGATACTGTCGCATTTAAGACAGCCTTTTCAAGTAAAATGGACAAAGGAATATTTCATGTAACAAGACCGTACTATCGTGATGGGATACCATTGTCGTCGAGTTCCCTCGAGTTATGTCTCTCCATTCGAAACCACAGCTCACGATGTTGACCGATATGACTGCTGATCCTATACAGTGTAGTATCTGTGGCAGTGAACTTCAAAAGGCAGGTACATCAGGTGACACTATCCCGATTGGAGAAAGTACTTAAGACAAAGAACTGAGATTGTCAACAAGAAACATTTTTCAAGTGATGGGATATCCTCAGGAATTTAATAGCTTGATTGCAGTGTTGTGAAAACAGGTGTAGTTGTGTTACACCCACCTCCTAGAGTGTCAACATTTATACTTCTTTCACCTTCTCCGGAAAGTATGTCTGGACCAACAGCCCGGTTCGACATATTCGGGCCAAGATTCGGAGTATAATCTCCAGCAGCCTGACAACATGCAAAATGGCGTCCATCTAGAACACAATTGTAAAATCTGTGCTTTCTAGTTTACTTGTATCCCATTTGACAAACAGTTTCATCGAAACAATAATATGATCAAATTAGATAATCTAATGTCTGATGCCAAAGATTTAAAACGTTTCAGATGGCTATTAACACGCACCTCCCATTTAACACGCACCTCCCATCACATGAATGTAACTATTTCCGGTTACAAAACCTACTCTCAATAAGCAGGGAGCTAAAACGTAAAATGGAAAGCCCTGCATACTCATGCCGATTCAAAACAAAAGTGGTCGTTTTTAAGTGGGCAGCTGCAACATCAGGGTTCAAGATTGTGTATGCTTCAAATTAAGATTTAGCACACAGCTTTATCAGAAGATTTTGAAAATTCTGAATCACGTGTTGAAACGTTCTTGCCTTATAGTTTAAACCGTTCAGCTGAAGATCCGGAGCGTGACACAATGATAGCCAAATGCATCCAAAGCCTGACCAGATGTTACTGTGTTTGGATTACGAATATCGATAATTCTAGTATTGAATAGACTATTTCGTTTGTACTAAATTCCAACTAATAATATAATAGGCGAGACTCTTATTGACGAGTTACTTTCCTTAACAACGTTTGCATTTACTTTTGTCATATTAACACAAAACTTGCTTGAAGTTCATATTCAGTCTATATGTTTTAACCAAGGATACCACAGACACATGCGTTAATTTTAACTATCTAAACATAACCAAAGTATACACATGGAACAAATATCGCAACAAATCACCTTAACCCCTTTATAGCAATATACATTTATATCATAATTATGATTGTATGATCAGTTTGACCCTACGGCCACACCGTGTATTGATTTTAGATGATCAAACGCGAACACCAAGTGCAATACGTGTATCCGTCATTAAGCAAATATCAAATTTCAGTAAACTGTTCTTTCAACTCCTTAGCTTGAAAAATCAATCGATTTCGTTGTTGATAAACAAATATGGGGCCTCCTCAAATGACAACTACTTTAAGATGGCAAGTTATTGGTATGCAGAATGCTGGCATGGCGCTGAGGGCTATTACAAGAGATGTTGGTTGTCATCCATCGACTATCAGCCGATTGGCCAGAAAATAGCAGCAAACTAATGCCGTTAAGGACCGTCGCGTTCAGGTCCACCGTGACTGACAGAATTAAAAGACTTCATTCGTTCATGTCAAGTGGCGGTTAAGAACAGAGTTGGTACTATATGGCCGTTTGTCCAACAGCACGATCCAAAATCGCCCAACATCTGCCGGGTATAGAGCCAGACGACCTATCAGACGTCCGTTGGTATCGCCAGACCACAAAGCAGTACGACTTACAAGGTGTCAAGCTCGACGTCAATGGAATTTGACGTCATGGCGAAGGGTCCACTGGTCTGACGAAATTCGATTTCTTATTGTTCATGACTGATGACCAATGACTCGTGTTCGACCCCGTAGAAACACTCCATCTGCACAACGGAATATCTTGGAGCAAGCACCGTTTGGGAGGGGGTACATTGATGGTGTGTGGGTGCCTGTCACATTACTGTAACTTTGACCTTGTGACGATCAGACAAAATCTGAATGGACAATGGTGCATCACTGACATCCTACACGGGGTTTTGTACCATATTTCGATGACCATCCTCTGAACAGTACCGCCTCCGTGGTGTAGTGGTTAGAGCGTCCGCCCGGAGAGCGAAAGGTCACGGGTTCGATCCCCCACCGCGTCATACCAAAAGACGTTAAAATGTGGTACTTGTTGGTTCCTGCCTGGCGCTCGGCATTAATGGGTACAACAAGGACTGGTCGGCTCGGAGTCAGTATAATGTGTCTGAGTGGGGTATTCATGCTTCACTGCGGCATGGTATCTCAGTGGGCTAGCACTATAAAAAAACAGCCTAAGTCTGGGCTAGTACAAGCAGCCGCACATACACATACACACGCATGCACGTCGTCATATGAGCGAAATATTCTCAGGCACGACGTTAAACCCAATTTCACCTCACCTCACTTCCTCTGAACACATGGACAGTCTTTATGGACGACGATGCTAGGCCACTAGGTAGTAAGTTAAACTGAGGTTTGGATAAGTTTCTTAGTTATGGGTAATAACATAGCATATTGATACTACAAAAAATATGGGCTGTTGCGATACTATGTGCCATGTGTACATATGTGCCTCAAGGATATATCTCTTTACATTGGATTATGAGCAAAACAAATGCAGTCAGGTGAATGTGTTTTCAACATCGTCGTTCATTTCTCAACCATCTCTCGGGTTAGAACAAAGTGCAATACTTTCAAGTTTAAAGTTTAAAGGATGTTTTAAAAAAAAATAACAACAGCTTTCATTTTATTATTTCATTTGTGAAAGAAACCGATTTTGTTGAAACATTTAAAACAGGGAGAATATAATTCATAACTTCTACAGTTACACTCGAAGGCCTTTGTGATAATCAGGGCGTGTGTAGCGCCAGGTAACCATGACTGGCTATTTCGGTGACCTATTGTGCTCAAGCTGAAGACATATTGTATTATAGTATTTGTACTGGCTGCGGTTTAATCAAACCACAAAAAAAAAGATTATGAATGTATGTCAATTCTAAGCTTTTATTGGTTTGCTTCAGATATGGGCACGATGCATCAGCAGATTGGCTAGAAAACAGCAGCAAACTAAGGTTAAGGACCGCCAGTGTTCAGGCTGAGTGACAACTTCTTGGGAGGATAGTCCTCAGAATCACTAGACTTCATCCGTAAGCAGTGTTTGCAATACTTCAATTTGCCAGTTGGCCATCAGGGCCTGCTGCAGCCTGCAGGCCTTAAAATCTACAGGCCCTGAATGAAATCTGCAGGTCCGTTTTGTTAAAATCAAACTAATAAAAACAAAATAGACTACACTGCGCACAGTTTCACACTGTTTCAATTAGCGAAGCCTATGGCACTGAGAGAAATTTTTATTTGTTAAAGACTGGTGTTGACATTCCTACGCTCAAAGCGCTGAAATACAAGAAAGTGAAACTGTAAAGTATCGTAACATGATGGATCATGGATGATTTCCGAAAAAAAAAAAAAAAAAAAAAAAATGGGAAAGATTTCCAGTTAATAAAAACAACATTGACAGATAATTTACTGAAGGGCCTGCAAACATTTGAAACTGCCGGCCGATACAATAACCGGTGCTGGGCCTCCGGGCCGGCGATTATTTCGAATGCTGTCCGTAAGTGGCGTGTCAAAAACAGAGTGGCTTACACGTTGTCATATGTCCAACAGAATCGTCCGAAATCACCTAAAACCGGTGTAGAGCTTGTCGACCTATCCTCAGAGCACAAAGCAGTACCGCTGACAAGATTGGTGACAAGCTCTACGTCACTGGAATTTGACATCATGGCGAATGATCCACTGCTCTTCAGAAAATCGATTTCTTTTGGTCCTGACTGATAGCCAAGATAGAGTTCGGACCCGCAGAAACACAGCATGTGCAGTACAGTATATCTAGCAGCAAGCACCGTTTGGCGAGGGAGACTCTCACTTGACTATAAACATGACCAAAACCTGAATGGAAAACGGTATATCACTGACATCCCATACAGGGCTGTTGTACCACATTTCATCATTGTCATCATGGACGACAAAACCAGTCCACATCGTGCACGTGACGTTGGCGATTTCTTACGTGAAGATGCGGTAGAAACTCTACCTTGACCAGAAGTCCAGATCTCAACACCATAGAGCATGTATGGTACATTATGGGTCGCAGAGTACGCCAGAGAGGTCCTCCAATACTTCAATACAAAATATTGATGTAATGGAACATGATCTCCATCAAGACTGACTGACTGAGTTTGGTTTTACGCAGCTTTTAGCAATATTCCAGCAACATCACAGCGGGGGACACCAGAAATGGGCTTCACACTTTGTACCCATGTGGGGATTCGAACCCGGGTCTTTGTCGTGACGAGCCAACGCTTTAAACACTAGGCTACCCCACCGCCCCATCTCCATCAAGAACTGAAAGCAATACCTCAATGTCAAATTCAACGTCTGATACAGTCAGTAAGAATGGGGGATCTGGGATGTTATTGCAGTTGGCGGAGGTGACACTGACATATAGCTCGGTTATTGATATTCGTGTGATGTCTTGAGGATTGTTTGCCATAATCTTGAAAATGGCTGCACTTGTTAACATCATAGTTATCAGCACTACAAAAATAATACAAACATTATTTTTTTTAATATACTCGTGGTCTGGTAAAAACTGAAGCAATAGGAAAAGACAATGAACATGGTTTCTATGAATAAACACAAGCTAAGCCACTGAGACAGATATGAAGGATTTACATAGCTGACTAAGCTGCACCCTCTCACAATGTGACCTTGTTTCACATCACCAAAACTTTTCATCAGAACTTGAATAAATTTTGGGAACAGCATAGTTTGCTACCCATGATGGACAACTTGTAACACAGCAAGACAAATCATCGTTTATGATCAAAATATTTATTGGATAAATATATATACACATAATGTACAGTACAAGAAATATTTTACATATAAATGCATATATGACAAAAAGGACCTTCCATGGTATGGGTGTATGAAACTCCAAGTCATGACATAATAACAGCATCCCATGTGAACAACTGCTCAGAAAAGCCAGACTAAGTCGCATTCAAAACAAAACTTAAGTACCATACTTCCATCTACAAACTCTTTTTATAATAATCAAAGTATTTGTAAAACCATCCATCTGCAATCAGTTTCATATAATCTTGAATAGTACTATGCTAGTGCTGGTCTGCCTCAACAAGAGACAAATATCATTGGAGAAGGCCAGAGTGATGGCCAAAGCAATGTTTTCTGTGGTTTATATCTTTTTGACTTGCATTCTAGAGAACAATCATCACTGTCATTCTGATGGCAAGGACATCTACCTTGATCATATTTTATCTTATTAAAAGATATTTTTACTCTTGCTTCAAAATGGGCTGTGTAAATAACTAGTATAGCAAGACATTCAATCCTTCATGAAGACAGACACAAAATATACACATTTTCACAAAACAAAAAGCTAGTGTTGAATAAATGTCCAGTCTGATTTCTTGCATAGACAGTATTTCCATAGAAGCTATGTGACAAATGTTCATTCAAGGTAAGATTTATTCATATGTTCACTGAGGAAATCAAAGATTCACACCCTCAAAAATACAAAAATAAAGCTGAATAAAAAAAGGTTGCACAAGAAGATATGCTTTATGATGATGAAAACAATTTATGACAATGCTAGTGTTGAAACGAAAAAATATACAATAAAGCAACAAAGATGGCAACATAAAATGAAGAATCAGTAAGTATAAAGTGTAGCAAGGTGCTGCAAGACAGGTATATGTCAACAACTTTCACAATTTTAATGGAAGAGGAATCCATATTTCTCCATGTTTTCAAGAAAAAAACTTCTTCAAGTGTACTTCTCAAGTACTTCAATAGAGAAACAGACTCTATGTGATGTCTACAACTGCATAAAATGTTGTCTATTAAAACCAATGGAATTTCATGTAACAATCACGTAGCAGTTTAAGTCAGACTGTTCACTCTGAGATACTGAGCGAGTTTACTTTTACACCGCTTTTAGCAATATTTCAGCAATATCACGGTGGGGAACACCAACAATGGGCTTCACACATTGTACCCATGTGGGGAATCGAACCCGGGTCTTTGGCGTGAGACGGACGCTTTAACCACTAGGCTACCCAACCGCCTGAGATACTGAAAATACAGACATCTACCTTGATTGAAAACCAGACATATATGGCTTGTTTTCATAATAAGGAAAATATGTCGTGAGAAGAAATCATCCCAATAATTAATATAAAGTGACTTCTCCACAACAAATATTCTTGAAATATATGTGAGACATAAATCAGGAAATCTGTTCTTAAGATGTTTACCTTGTAGTCACTGGTCTTCAAATGTGGAGGCCTCTGTGTCAGGTTTGGCTTTCATTTACTTTACAAGGATTCGTGAATACATTTCATTAGGTATTTAAATGGAATATATGTACAAAGGTTACAAGCATTAATAGCATAAATAGCACTAGTTTTTACAATCTAACCCTGTGTACAGTAAAGAGGATGTACACCTTGGAACATTTCTATTCCAGCATTTGTTTGTATTAGTAAATCAAAGATTTTATAACAGAATGTCAGTCTGAAAATGAAGTATATAAGAGTGAAAAGGGTCGAAAATATGTCAACTACTGACAGTTATTTCCCTTAGGTTTGAAAAGCTGCTTACAGCTTAAATGTGAAAGGAAGAAGATTTAACAGACTTGGAAGAAAGACACTGATATTGAATAACATGATAATATAAGATGTTTTCAGTCCCTCTCTACACTGTAAGTATGCATGCATACACAAATGTTATCATATAAATATAACAATTTATATGGAACTGTAACAGAGTCTCCATGATAAATATTCTTTAAAATCACATTACCAAGATATATACTTTCTGAACAAATAAGCACCATACCCAAACCATGAGTTATGATCCTGGAAGATTTTGTATAACTTGATATAAATGTCTGCCTTGAGCTAAATGTCTGTATTTCGATAGCTACTTATACAATCAAACGTCCACACTTCACTTTCCAATTAGATATATGTGTGTGACTGTACAGCCACAGATAATTGCACAAGCCAGCTAGAATCAGTTCATCTATTTTGATATGTATCCTGGTGACTAGTAGAACTTCAGGTTACGGTCTATTGCTGAAGTGTCCATGATCAGTACCGACACATGTGTAAACAGAACTCAATGGGGGTCATAATCCCCATGAGATGAGCCAAGTTGCTGGTGTTTAGAGCTTAAAGGAATACTTCATTATGTAAGACTGCAAGCAGCAAATATTGCAGGTATATTTAAACTACCAAAAATGACTAAGTTTGGCCCACACAAACCAGTGATTGATAGAACAGCGTCACACAGCGCTGAGTTCGCATGCACTTGGTTTGCAAAAATTTTGGTTTCAGTGGTTTATCAGTATGTTAAGTTTTAATTTCTATAAAAATAATGACTTCTTCGAAAAAGAAACACATATTACATGTGCCAGTTCTACTGGTCAGTATGCTATCCTTCCACATGGCAAGTTGGCATCTTCAAGTTAATCTGTAATAAATATCAGAGCATTTACATCACAGGTTACACAAACTTGAAATCCAATAGTTCTCCCTTATGAGCTACAGGAGTATAATACTGTAATGATGTAGCAAACTAGGCTGATATATTTACATCGAACTGTCCAGTCTAAGTTGAACTCAGAAACATTTACCGGTAATCCTTTCAGGCTAACTAGATACTAATCCCTCTCAAGGAGGATATCACTGCTCAGCTTAGATTACTAGGTGTTAACAACATACAATACACCAATACTGAAAATGTGTATCATTCTTTCATATGAATCAGATATACATGTCACTCACTATTTAAGATGCATCAGAAATATTGCATGCCAGTCACTGTTTAAGATGGCTCATATATATGTAATGTCAATCAATCTGTAAGATGGATACTGCAATGATCAATTCATATAGGTGGATATAGCTACACTATGTGTATATACAGGTATAGAATATCCCTGATACCCAACATATTGCAGGATAGGTGAAATACATACATATGTACTATACATGCATGTAGACTTATCAGTGAGCAGGGGCTGTATATCACATACATGGTGTGTGTACCTCTGTGTCCGCGTACAAGGTTACAAACATCAGTGACGGTATGTCAATGCCCTGACATGGACTAATGATTCATGTGCATAACCTGAGCAATTAGTTTTTGTGGTTATTTGGGGAAAATAGGTGCACAAACTTTCTAGCAATATTTAATGAAAATGGTAGAAAACTTACTAAATAATCATGTGCAGTATCATTGAAATGGAGACCCTGTGCTTGGGATGTAAAACTGACAGGAAAGCTCATGCAACTGAATGATTACACCCAACAACTGACAACAATCTGCTAACAAGGGACTCTGTTTAATGTTTGATTTCAAATATAACAGTTCAGTGTTATGATACAAGATTTCGAAAAGACAGGACCAATGACAACTCATGAATGTCAACATCAGGTCAACAGGGCAAATGACAACTCACGAATGTCAATATCAGGTTACTAGGACCAATGACAAGTCATGAGTGTCAATATCAGGTTATTAGGACCAATGACAACTCATAAATGTCAGTATCAGGTCACTAGGACCAATGACATCTCATAAATGTCAGTATCAGGTCACTAGGACCAATGACATCTCATAAATGTCAATATCAGGTCACTAGGACCAATGACATCTCATAAATGTCAATACAGGTCACTAGGACCAATGACAACTCATGACTAACAGGTCACTAGGACCAATGACAACTCATAAATGACAATATCAAGTCACTAGGACAAATGGCCATGAATGTCAAAACAAAAGTCACCAAGATAAATGGCAATGCATGAGTGTCAAGTCATATGTGTGTCAATATCAAGTCACTAGGACAAATGACAACTTGTGTTACTAGGACCAATGACATCTCATACATGTCAATATCAAGTCACTAGGACAAAATGCATGAATGAAATTGTGGGTGTCCATACAAGTCACTAGGACCAATGGTATTCAGAAGAAATATTATGGTTGTCAATACTATGTTGAGTTTAGGAAATTGAAGATTATCAGAAGAAATATTATGGTTGAGTACTTTGACAGACATGGATTAAACTTTTACAGACATGTTAAACTAAGAGGTAAAATATAACACTGGAAATATAGCAAAGTATGCATACTAAACTGTCACAGGCATATTTCTGTAGTCTATGTACATATTCTTCTGATTTAATCAGCATGGGAAACATTTCAATCCATTACTTATGTATAAACAGAATATTAGTTAAAGGTGTTCAAATACTGACGTGTTTCTCAGGTTGATCACTCACCACAGCAACACAACACTGTATGTTTACTGGATTAGTTACTTTAAATATCTCTTAGAAAAGGTCATATTTCAACTACAAAACAGATCCAGAAAATGTACAAATGTCCTCACCAAGCAAACTAACTGGATGCATGATTAATAATTCCCAGCTCATCACCAATTCTGAAAGACATGCCAAGTCTAATAACTCACTGCACCATGCATGGTACATCTTGCACCTGTCTCCATTTGTAACAATACGACAACCGAAAACATTGCCCACCACAAAAAACATGCCCACATGTGGATGAGGAATCCTTCCTCTGACACACGTGTATTGAGGATATAAAACCCATGCTGTATAAATCACCAAGAAGCAAACCTCAGATAACAGACATTTCGCAAACCCAGCTGTCATCACTGATTTTCATTACCGATTTTTATCACTCATTTTCATCATTCATTTTCATCATTCATTTTCATTAGTGATAAATATAACTTCCAAAGCAATTTTGCCTGTTATGCCCAATTGGAATCAGTTTGAGCAGATAATTTGTTACTGATAAATATTAGATGTTTTATGATTAGCTACACACAGCCAAAACCATAAAATGGATGATCTGGTATTTTTCTTGCTTCCAGAGTAATATTGGATTAAATTTAATGAGACTGACTACATCGTTAAAGAGGGAAAAATCATCACACACAGAGGTGAAAGCAACTATTTTCTACAAGAACAAACTTGCAAATTTTATCAACCATCCTTAACACTTAACTCACAGTGATTATCTAAATGGTTATGTGTATAATGAGGACTCAACAGCAACATACATCTAATAGTTTAAACTCAGGATTAGAAACATTTTCTGGCATACTTTAACCACTCAGCAGATGATGTTTTGCAGACTAAAACACTCTATTTCCAACAGTGTTTATTATCAAACTATCTTGTTACAGTAATAATCGTGTTAATATACATATACAGAACAAAAGGAGTTAGGGTTTATGAAAATTGATGGGATATTTTTTGGGGTGAAGTCTTCTTATTTATATATGTGTTCAATGATCCCTAACTCTTTCTGTTCGGTACATGAACAATAACCTGCATCTAACAAGTCTAGGACTGTCTGTTATCAAGGTTACAGGGTTTACATTATCAGGTATATATGGTCAGACAGCAAGACAGCGCTACATACCCTGATAGGATGTTATAGACACAAAACTGCAAAATAAGCAAATAAATCACATGAAAATACAAATATCTAGAGCAGATTAACCACTTAAAGCCAAGGATGAATTGTGTATACAACAAATGGGTCACATTAAAATATCTGAAATCAAAAGCATATCAAAGATGAAATGAAACAAGTGTTTAATCACTGGCATGCAAATATTCTTCAAAAACTACAAAGCAAGCCCACATAATAAACCAAAGAAATGCCATGCAATTAAACTAAAAAAAGTCATAATATTCAAGACAGTAATTTTCTTTTAATTCTTATAAAAAATGTTTGAGGTTGGCGCCATGACAATTATTATTCATGTAACAAACATTCCGAAATAGCATCGTCAGTGACTTTTACACAACTTCATCTCAAACATATGTAGTTAAATTTCTGAAACATTCTAAACATTCATCACCAAACATTCATCACCAAACATTCATCACTAAACATTCATCACCAAACATCATATCAACAACTAATCCACCTGATCCACTAACCATAATCACAAAAGTTTTGAATTTTTAAATCATTTTGAAAAGGTAATCAAAACGTATATGTTCACATTTAATGAAAAATCTGAGGTTTGTTTAAATGTAACATTGATGAATGAGCTGACAATGAAGTAACTGATATACAAAGGATGTGAGTAAGGCCCCCCATAGCCTGCTGTTAGTTGAATGATGTTAAGGCAGTTAGAGTGATGTTACTCAGTGACACATAACTAAACAATATACATCTTTTTATCATTATGGTTGACAGGAGTGTAGGAATTCATATGGAGCAGATATGCTGGATTGTAACCCAGTGATATAGCTTATTTCTTTCAATACTCACAGAAAAGGAGTGATGTATTTCAACCTAGCAATTCCTAATTAAAATATGTCAAAAGAATTGGAAAAACATTTTTCAAAATACATGTAAGTGAGTTTGGTTTTAGTCGCTTTTAGAATATTCCAGCAATATCATGGCAGGGGACATGTTGAAGCCACTTAATTTGAGGATAAATTGATTGAAATTCTTCATTTTCAAGAAGCTTTATAAACTGATTGTTAGTGTCGTTGCCACATCAGACCCAACTCTGAGCCAGCACCACACTCACTCATTTGGTGAATGGAATCTGGCACATTTAGAAATAAACATATTATGTCTGTGAGAATTTAATGTCACAATATTCTGTCATGGACTAAGTGTCAAAGGGCTCAAAGTCAACTTAAAATCAAGATACCATCAATATTCATACTTTCTGGGTAGAGTTGTCTCCCTTTAATATCTGCTGTATACGAATGCATATACTCATGCTATACATATATATGTTGTATGCTATATGATACATATTATACAGTCTGCATCTCACTGATACAGAATAGTATATGAGTGTATGAAACACAGCCAGCAATAGTGTGCACTGCCGCCGCTGTCAAGCACCAATCCCATGATAGCGATGTCACTGTTGTCATGACGACGGGATGTTATTGCTAGTGCCAAGTGAGACACTGCAAAGACAACAAAACAGGGTTAGTAGAAAACTGTTGTAAAAACATATGTAAGTTAACTACAATAAACACAAGTTCTAATGCCAAGATCCAATTTGTATGATAGTAATAATTCTAATTACTCACAGGAAAGTAATGTTTGTTGTTTTCTCTTAAGAGGAAAATAACAAAATTTCCCATATATTTTTGTCAGTTTTCTTACAAAAGAAACTCCTCAAGTCAATGTTCAGTAGATAAATGCATGCCAATAACATCTTCAAACAATATTAGAAACTGTAAACATGATACTTCATGAACTCAATAATGATATTTAGACAATGTATGTTTTGATGGTGGCCACTACCCTGTCCACAAAGTGATCTTCATGCCATGTTATAGTATGGAAGTCATCTTAGTGCAGCAATCTATAATAATCTATAGATTATCTTGTTATGACTATCATAAGTTATGTTATAGTATCAATGCCTTGATAGCCCTAGTTACAGTAGGGCAGTATGATCATCTTAGTACTACCACTATTGTCAATGCATGCTAAAGAACACTCACTAAGATCTTCTTACACCAACTATCAGATATGTATGCTACAGCACTGCTGCCATGATAAAACGTGTGTGACTATCACATGTTACAGTAGGGCACCTATAGTATAATCATCATAGTACAGCGATGATTATCTTAGTACAGCTATGATTATCTTAGTACAGCTAGGAACATCTTAGTACAGCTATGATCATCTTAGTAGAGCTATGATCATCTTAGTAGAGCTATGATCATCTTAGTACAGCTATGATTATCTTAGTACAGCTATGATCATGTTAGTACAGCAATGATCACCTTAGAACAGCTATGACCATTTTAGTACAGTGATGATTATCTTAGTAAGCCATGATCTTAGTACCACCACTATTATCAATATAGAAACATGGTAAAGTATGCTAATGTTACAGTAGGGCAGCTTTGATTAACTTAGTAGTACCCCTAAGTGTACGGCAAGCCTTTAGTGCTAAGACTGCTTTGTGGACCAGGGCCCAGGACCACTGCTTTGTTTGAGTGAAACCATGTCACCATGAGCATTATATCCCCACAACATGCAGCTGTAATAAGACATGCACATATAACCCATGTCATTGTCCCTCAAAGCCAGATTCCACATTCTCCGCTAAACAAGATTAACGTTGTCATGCTGTTTGACTTGTCTCTCTCAAATATAACACTATTGTTTGAAACACAAAGATGCATGGTACAACATCAAAATGATGAAAAAACCCTTTACCATGTTCACCAGGAGAAAATGTTTTGATGTAAGTTGTGTAAACCCAGTCCCTTTCCTCAAACATGTGCTTTTCTGATACATTTATTACCGACTGAGTAAGTATGGTTTTATGCCACTTGGAGCAATATTCCAGCAATATCACGGCAGGATACACCAGAAATGGGCTTCACATATTGTACCCATGTGGGGAATCGAACCCGTGTCTTCCGCATGATGTGCCAACCAGGCAACTACCACCGCACCTAAATTTTGGGATTTAATTTTTTTTATTGAACAAAACATGAACTAGTGCATATCAACATACATTCAGTATTGAAACGTTCTTGAGATCAAAGGTGTAAACAGAAAACACTATTGCCCAATAAAGGAAACTTTTAATGTAGTTTTTAATCAAGTGAAAACTGAAGGAAACACCAATTCAAATGACTTTCTGTAAAAATATAGCTCCTGCCTGACCAAGCTGTGATAAATGAAACACTTTGTGTGACCTGGAATATCAGGATGTGATGTTGCATACAGAAGCAAGGTGTGGCATAGATTGAATATTTAATGAGAACCTTGTTGAACACTCACAGTTTAGTTGAACTGACTGAGTAGCAATGGATGAGACAAACACACACAGATTAGATTAACAATAATAACACATGCACTGCTGGCAGATACAATGTCAACAAAACAAGACACTACTTCCAGTGGGTCAGTGATTATGAGGTTTGCATTTTTCAATGATTTAATGCAGTTTGAACTCTCTTTTTCACTAGAATTAGCAATATTCCAGCAGTAAGATGAACACAAGAAATGGGTTTCACGTACTGTACCCAAGTGGGGAATCGAACTTAGGCATTCACTGTGATTAGCATACACCTTAACTCCTAGGCTTACCCCTACCCTTGTCAAAGACTCAGGACTTCATTCACTCAGAGCAGTCAACAAGTAATTCTTCAAACATTATTATGTAATTATTCATGATTCCCAAGGCATTATTCTCACTGGCATTGACAACTAGGAACAAAAAGTTCCCGTTGCAAGTTTTCAGTGATGAAAATGATACAGATATGACTAGTTGATACTGATCTGGACCAGTAACTGTCCAGGAAGACAAGCCTGGGTGGCCATCAAGGTTTTCATGGTAATTATTTCAGGAGCTAGAAACTATACCACACCCCTACCCCCGCCCCCTCCTCACTCCAAGTTGAGGATCTGAATCCCCTTTCCAAATGCCATATCCTCCTTCCCTACAGGAACAAACTCCCGTTGAAATGCCCAACTCCATCAATGAAGGCATATGTTATAGGTATGTTCTTGACTCAGTGTATGAAAACTATGCTCTACAACTACAATAAACTCAGAATATGACAGGCTTGTCATGTCACGACTATCTCCAGATACAAACGCAATGCAATATGTTCTTCATAAAAGGATATGTATACTAAATTTATGGCAATTTTTTTCAAATTCGTGCAGTCTCATATTTGAAGAAAATATATGTCTCATTACTTTATTTCAGATAAAACTGGAATGTCAACACAGTTAGAAAGACAAAAAAGCCTAAAACTTTGTACATTGCATAGTATAGATAGAGTATGAATTACTACTGATAAAAACATTTAGGTAAGACCCATTTGGCCGACAAAGTCATTCAATTGCTGTTTTAAGTGTTCAAAGTTTGAAACATTAGAAAACTGTAATACACATAAATACAGGATTAAAATATGAATCCAGGTAAGTCAATATCACATATTTTACCGTCTGAGGATATTATTGATGTATTGGTGAATCATGACAACAGTATGATGTGAAAAATATCCATACAATCTAAAACACTACAACAGATCTACATCCTACATGATTCTACCCAGGAGACCATACAGGCATGCTTGTTGAGGACCATGGCGAAGAGGGATGTCATCACATAAATGTTGCATACATTACTAAAAACAACATGCTATTTACAAACAATATACAAGTCAAAGGAGCAGGGTAGCAGAATTCTTTGCTCGGCGAGATTCTAGGTTAAGAATACAGTCTAGAATACCATACAGTATCAGATCAAGAGAAATCAGAAATGAATTTGAAAGTTCCGAAAGCATTGCTGATCAGTGAAATTAAAACGCTGGTAGGTGTCACATGTTGAAGGCCATTCACAGGTACATCATTTGTTATTTATTAGCACACTTCGTTTCTATCCAATACCGAGGTAGACTGGCATTAAGCGTACAATATCCTCCTGGAGTCTACTTAAAACATTGTGACTATTTACTATGTGATACAAATGATATTTACATGACTGATCACAGACAGAAGTCTATATACAGGGAGTAATGGTTGGTCAATATGTGTGATATTTCACCTTGTAGAATTGGGACGATTGGTGACTTGTGGCTGGCCCTGACGAGTGCGAGTCTGGCGCTGGCGTGCAAGGAATGACTGACCTAAGGAGCTGTTGACAAGTCTCTCTTCCGCTTCTTTTCTCTGGATTTGCATACCCTGGAAAAAATAATAATAATAAAACCAACAATAAAGATAACAAGCAGTTGTCACTAAGGTGACATATTCCCCCGCCGCAAATTATCAAATCAAACTTAAAGAGTAATGAAAGTGAAGGTCGTAGTTTAAGATGAAGTTAAATGTCAAAAAAACATGACCAGTCAACCTCTCTCGATATCTTGCTCTGTAGCTGTTCAAACACACAAATATTTTCAAGACTCACTTTGACCTTGACATGAATGTCATGGTGTATGAAATATGCAAAAAAATAGTAATAGAGAAGTTGCTTATCAAAATACATTCAAGAAAAGTCTTGAAAGTCTATGAAGAAAATCCAGTGAACCGTTCTTGAGATATCTTGCTGACAATCTTAACATACTGAAATTTTCAAAGTGTCGCTGTGACCTTGAAAATTACGTGAAGGTCACCAAACTCGACTGGGCCCTGCACCTTCCCTATATGAAGCCTGGTGTCAAATATGATGAAAATCCAGGGAATGGTTCTTGAGGTATCTCAGGCTGACAAGCTTAACATGCAGGTTAACATGCAGAAATCTTCAAAGTGTCACTGTGACCTTGAAAATTATGTGAAGGTCCCCCAAATCGACTGGGCCCTGCGCATTCCCCAGATGAAGTTTGGTGTCAAACATGAAGAAAATCCAGTAATTGGTTCTTGAGGTATCTTGCTGACAAGCTTCACATGCACATCAACATGCTGAATTCTTCAAAGTGTTGCTGTGACCTTGAAAATTTCGTGAAGGTCACCAAAATCAACTGGGCCCTGCGCCTTCCCTATATGAAGGTTGGTGTCAGTGACTGACTGACTGACTGAGTTTAGTTTTACGCCGCTTTTAGCAATATTCCAGCAACATCACGGCAGGGGACACCACCAGAAATGGGTTAACACACAATCAACCGGGCCTTGACGGCGAGCCCACGCTTTAACCACTAGGCTACCCCACCGCCCCTTGGTGTCAATGAAGAAAATCCAGAGAACGGTTCAAGAGATATCTGGCTGACAAGCTTAACATGCAGGCTTACATGCTAAAATCTTCAAAGTATCATCGTGACCTTGAAATTTATGTGAAGGTGACCAAAATCGACTGGGCCCTGCGCCTTCCCTATATGAAGCTTGGTGCCAAATATGAAGTAAATCAAATGAACAGTTCTTGCAATATCTCGCTGACAAGGGTAAAACGTTAAACTTAAAGTCCCCTTGTGAACTTGAAATGAAGGTCAAGGTCACCAAACCTGACCGGGACCTCTTTTATACTGTGATGAACCTAGGTACCAAGTATGAAAAGAATCTAGTCAATGGTTCTTAAAATATTCCAAATCGTACATACGTACGTTTGTCTACGGGACGGACAGACTGAGCCTAATATTATATCTCCCGCTTCGCGCTAAATGCGAAGCGGGGGATAATAAGAAAATATACTAAGCCAGTTACTAGCATAAATACTAGGGCTGCAACGACTCGCCCAGAACTTGAGATGATTCGATTTTCGATATTGGACCCTCGATTCGATCATTTTCGATTCTATTCTTCATACAAGTAAAAACATCAGATTTCATTTAACTCTCAGAGTGCAAGTGAGTCGGCTTTTTTAGCGTGAAATCCATCATCAACTTGGTGATGTCTGCTCTACTAACGACAATGCTCATTGGATAATTAGCCCAGCGTCAACCAATCACGTTTTGCCTTATTTCAGCGTTCGAAACTCGAGTTGGATCATAAATTACGTTCTCACTGTGTGGAAATAATTTAAATAGATATTCAAATATCGAATCGAAATAGTGATCATGGTTATTGAAAATCGAATCTAAGGTGTCAGATTTGATGAATCGAATCAAATCATTGCAGCCCTAATAAATACAGTAACAATGTTAACAATCAACTGACACATCTGATATCAGAAAATTTTCCTTCATATGTGAGTGATTATTGTACAGCATATCCGCATTCTTCAGAGAGACATTCCTACTAAAAGGTAATGATCATCACGAGGAGAGTATACTGAGAAAGGAGAACCCACCAGATTGTACCAAGCAGAGACCATCAGTTTCTGTTCCTGGTCACGGATGTTCCTTGTCTTTTCACTCTCCTTCTGCAAAACGATAAATCAAGTTCTTTCACCTCGGTGTGATTTGGAGTGTAGGGGTCGTACACCATTTTTAACAATATTACTGTGACATACAACAGAAGACACAACAAATGGGCTTCATACACTGCAGCCATGCATTTATACACAATTCAAGAAGACATGAACAATGTGCTACCTCAACTGTTCGCTCCCAAAACAGGTATGGTTTAAATATTTTTGAACATTCTCCTCTAAAGGAAAACCAAGTTCTATGGATAGTCAACTTCTTTATTGCAATGAGTGTGATGTTTTGGTGTAGGTACTAGCATCGTTATCAAGCAAGTTCTTGATAACAGTGTTAGTACCTACACCGAAACATCAAACTCATTGCAATAAAAGTGGAATATCCAAAGTACTTGGTTTTCCTTCATCTTTACAACTTTTAAAATGCCTCTCAAAGAATTCTCCTCTAAAGCTAATCTTATTTTGAAACCACAAACCAAGAGAGCCAGTACAGAAACTATTCCAAACCCACATCTCTGTCCAGATGAGAGTGTTGCTACACACCTCCATCTGTGATATCATCCTCTCCTTCTCTATCAGCTGGTTCCTCAGTAACTGAAGCTCTGGGGCATCACCATCCATCTTCTGCATGCTGCTCATCTCCGACACAACCTGCAGCAGAAACACATCTCAATAACAATGTAGACCAGTTTGTCTTTGTGTGGGCCATGACGTTCTTCCCAAACAATCAACACTGAACCAGACAGCAGCAGTCGTACCATAAGTACTGGGAGTTACGATCACCTTAGCAATAAGATCGCTTCATGGAACGTGGTGAGTGAGTGAGTGAGTTTGGTTTTACGCCGCTTTTAGCAATATTCCAGCAACATCACGGCAGGGGACACCAGAAATGGGCTTCACACAATGTACCCATGTGGGGATTTGAACCGAGTCTTCGGCGTGACGAGATAACGCTTTAACCACTAGACTACCCCACCGCCCCCTTCATGGAACGGGGTCTGTATAACCTGTTGGCACTTACAGGAAGCATGGAGTACAGGGGAAATATTCTTCCCTTGAGTGAGTGAGCGAGTATGGTTTTACACTGCTTTTGGGAACATTCCAGCAATATCACGGCGGGGGACACCAGAAATGGGTTTCACACATTGTATCCATGTGGGGAATCGAACCCGGGTCTTTGAGCATGACACGTCAATAAGGCAACTGCCATGAGGCAACCCCACCGCCCCTCTTCCCTGGAAGTCATACAGGGAGAACCATTAAAGATTTACAGTTCTCCAGTTTTGGTAGGACAGCTTGACCGACTAAATGCTTTGAACACTTACTGAGCAAAAATACTAAGGGATCATTAATATTTTTGTGGCATTTTTGTACTGAAGACTAAGCGGACAAGTTCATACATATATCCCCAAAAATATGCATGATATTTCCGTTCAAAGTAATGACTCATTACCTTCATATATAGGAAATTGCTACCCAGAATCACCCTGGACTCACTGGTCAAGATGACAAGCCAACTTCAAAGTTCTGTGACATCTAGAATTTCATTTTCACAAAGTTTTACTACTCACCTGTTTGGCCCTCTCGAGGTATCTGGTGTATCGTTCCTCCATCGTCTTCATGTCATCGTCTTTCTTGTTGAGTTGTTCCTGAAGACTGAGGACCCTGTCGGCGCCAGCGCTGACCTGTCCCTGCAGCTGGGCCAGCTCACGGTTCCGCTGGCCCAACTCCGTGGTCTGACTGTCCACCTTCTGCTCCAACTCGTTGATCTTCTTGTGCAGCTGTATGACCTCTGTGTTGGAGACACTGGACAGCTTGTTGTCCTGGAGGTCCTCCAGCTGGGCCTCAAGCTCCAGGATACGCTGGTTTCCTATCCTACAATGTCACATTGTCACATCCACTCAGATAGCAGCACAGTACAATAGCAATACACATACAGTATATGTCAACAGGCAAATCAGCAAACTGAATGTTATTAATCAATTCCCTTCTCATACACACCTGACTTCAGTCTCAAGCTCATTCTTCCTGGCATTAGCATCGTCCAGCATCGTCTGAATCAACTGCGTCTGCTCATCCTGGGTCCCTGCAGATCCCATTGTCAACATCTTGTTCTCATGCTCCAGGCGTAACAACTTTTCCCTGGAAATAATAATCAATAGCACTGAATACTTTAACAAATAACAGATAATAATATGACTGATATTGTACCATGCTCAGGTCTTAGTGAGTGAGGGAGTGTGTATGGTTTTACGCTGCTTTTAGCAATATTCCAGCAATATCACGCTGGGGACACCAGAAATGGGCTTCACATATTGTACCCATGTGGGGAATTGAACCTGGGTCTTCGGCATGAAGAGCAAACACTTTAACCACTAGGCTACCCTACTGCCCCTGCTCAGGTCTGAATGCTCAAAGCACACTCATGAGTAAATCAGGCAGATCTTGTCCAAGGTAGAAGCTTCTTTTAACTTAAATTCTCAACTGCCATGCTAGCCCGAGAATAGAAAACAATGTGCTTGTCAGTTCCTTAAGGGTTAACATTCACATTAAAGTATTCTCTAACAGGAGAAAAGAAACACATCTTAAACAATATCTCCAAAAACATGCCCCTCTTACAACCTCCTGTTTAGCATTGGCATCTACAGTACACATAATCCTTAGAAAGTCTCACTAGACAAGCTTTTGGTTATGGTGACCTTAACAAAATTCATCTCAATATATGAAAAACTGCATACATTTACAATATCATACCAACCACAAACCTTCAACAGTGACACTATGGTCATACTGCATAGCTATTTCAGCATAAGATTTGCACTAAATATCAAATACCTCAGTATTTAGGTTCATACAATGCATTATTTCTTTTCTATGAAAACACTATAACATTGTTTGAAGAAAATGTTTTCCAACAAAGCATCGCTACATTCTTACTTAATTTCTGGAGGTATTGAAAGCATTTCCATGCGATGAGGTGTTGATGCCAAGTCTGGTAGTTCATTATTCCCGGCCACTATGTCCGGCACCTGGTACTGGGTTGTACATTTCAGCTCCTCGTTCATCTCCTTCAAGGAATCCCTCTCAGTGGCTATTCTCTGGAGAGGGAGTGAGTGAGTTTAGTTTTACCCTGCTTTTAGCAATATTGCAGCAATATCACAGTGGGGGACACCAGAAATGGGTTTCACACATTGTACCCATGTGGGGAATCGAACCCCGGGTTCTCAGCATGATGAGCGAACGCTTAACCGCTAGACTACCCCACCACCTCTATTCTCTGGAGAGGAATTATGAACAGAAAACTTTACAATCTACTCTTTTAAAAGTAGCAGCACACTGATATCATCATGTCCAAACCTTTACCATATTCTATATATACAGTGAACTGCAGATATAACGAATGCAAAGGGATCACTTAAAGCCCTAGTTCATTATATGCATTTTAACTAAAATATACAGCAAATGGCTAAGACCAAAAACTTTGGTATATCCATCTGTTGGTTATAAGCATGTTCAGTATAAACACAATTTACTGTAAAAGTAGGCATTGCAAAAATGGACATTTCAGTTACCAAAGGGCTGCATGAATGACAAAACATTTTTCTTCAAGAAGTGATTGATTGATGATTATATACGGGTGTTCATCGATCCTGCATCTAGCCAGTGTGGACATCTTGACATGGTGCTCAGGGGCGTAGCTACCGTTCTAGACAAAAGCCCGGGCTTACACACAATTGTTGCGAAAAAGGTTGGGCAAGCCCTCAATACTATCTAAATATAAAGCTTTGCAACCTATCGAGCTTACACGAAAAAGTTGACTTGCTACGTGCCTGGTGATTCAGTTAACGCTGAACGTGATTCTTCATTTGAATTTGTCATGAGTTCAGTACTGTCAGTCATGGAAATAAGGGTATGTTCATAATTTATGGCTAGCGGGTTGATGATGATTTTTATGGAGATGCATGTACAATGTGAATGACCCCCCTTAAAAAGTAAGTGACCCCTCCCCCCATGCATGTCATGTACAAAATCAATGCCCCTCCCCCATTCTCATAATTTTTAAGCTTAATTTTCTAATATTTTTATTTATAAAACTGCTGACCCCCTTAGTGCATGTGTACAAAATGGATGACCCCTCCCTACCTCCTGGGTGATGGGTGACCCCCCCTTAAAATCATCATCACCCCGAAGTCATAAATTATGAATGGTCCCTAATGAGCTAAAATTAACACAAACGACTTATCAGTTGTTAAACATGCATGTGCTATATGCCACTCTTAAATATGTAGAAGCTAAGACAAAGATTGTTCCAAACAGACAGCCGCAAACCACTCACATCTCTCTCACTCTGCAATGTCACCATCTTCTCCTGCACCCTCTTGAACTCGAACTCCGCCTTGTCAGCTCGTTTGATCTCATCGGCCAGCTTGCTCTGCAGCTCGTGGGTCTGGATCTTGTACATCTCGAGCTGCTGCTTCAGGGAGGACACTTTACGTGCATCCTGACCGGCAACATAAACAATTTCCTTCAGCTCATACAGACAGACTGGAGGCTGAACATGATCACATAGCATTTAATGGTTACAGTGTATCATTGTAGTATGTCAGTGAGTGAGTGATACAGAGATGCCAACCCTAATTTAGCCCAATTAGTATTTTGGACAAAAACTGATGCAAAGATCAGTACTTTGGGGCCAAAATTAGAATTAACTTTCCCAAATAATAAATATATATAGATATTCTAAGAACTTGTTATTAACACTGTTCTCACCTAAATCAGTAGTAAGTATCCACATATAGCTTGATACTGAATAAAATGTGGTTGAAATTTATTGTGTATGGTACGTACACTATTTGATAATTTAATTTAATATATTTTTTTCAAGATTTGTATATTTTTACTGCTATCATAGTCACATACTTTGTGTTGTTTTTCGTATCGAATACAATAAAATCATATGGGTTGACACATCTGAGTTACATTGTATTTGGTTATTTCAGGATGAGGGCTGGGAGTTAAGGGTCATAACACTGTATGACAAATTGTGTTCCTAGATATCAGTTTGAAACATGATGAGTGACAATTTCATTGTGTCTGTTCATATCTTTGCTGCCACTTTTTCCTTGACAAGAAATAAGACAGGCTTGTCTGTTCGTTCACTTGAATGACTGTAGGAATGTATGATACATCATGTCCATTCGTAAATGAAGAGGAGATTTTAAATAGACAAGACAACAAGAGTTATCTCCCTTTGTTTCCATCATTTGGACTTTATGATGAAGGACATAATGTATCAAATCTGGACTTATGACAGTGAGTCAGGGGTGGAAATAACTTTAAAATTGCTAGCGTACTCCGGTACAGTGGCACATGTAAAATCACATGCCCTGATAATTTTTCCGCTATACCGGCCGATTTTCTTGGTGATTTTTTAAATAAACAACATAATTAATTTGGAATGTCAACTGGACACCGGTACAGCGTGATGTACAAATGTGCTTGCCCGACAAAAAAACCACTGGACTCGGACATCGGGCAATGGGTTATTTCCACCCCTGTGAGTTCATATTTATAGTCACAAAGGCAATATTTCAACCATATCATGACTAAAACAGATCATATGTTAATGACAGATAATGTTATAGCATAAAATCTGTTGACAAAGGATAGTAAAACAACCAGAATATCACAATACCTAGATCTAAAACTAGCATGTAACTTTAAAATGATATCATTACTTTGGACATTACAATATATATATGGGCAATACATTGCCAGCAACTGAAGGTACTTGTAAGAATGAAACAGGTTACTTTTATAAATTACATATGTTGGATAATGACACAAGACAACAGTGACTGTAACCCACCTCTTGTAGCTCTAAATGTTCTTGCATATATTTAGTATTTTTCTCTTCTAACATTTTTATCTGTCCTCTTAAGTCACTCATGTCCTCTGTAAGAACAAGAAAGTCACATATTATTACATCCACATCTTGGAACCAGTGTTTGCCCTAGGCATAAAATTTAGGAGTCATCATGACTCCCTGGTATCATGAGAGGGAGGCATGGACATCTTTTTGGGAGTCAACTTCAGTTTGGAACTTTCATCAAGACATCAACTGTGATTGTTTAATAATGACAAAACACAAGGTAAGGCAGGTAATTAATCAGCACTGAGCAGTTAACTGGCAAACATTTACTTAGTTTTAGAAGTTTAGGTTATCTGACTGACTGAGTTTTGGTTTTAAGCCGCTTTTAGCAATATTCCAGCAACATCACGGCTGGGGACACCAGAAATGGGCTTCGCACATTGTACCCATGTGGGGAATCGAACCCGGTCTTCGGCGTGACAAACCAACGCTTTAACCACTAGGCTACCCCACCGCCCCTTTAGGTTATCTGAACTAAGGGCCCAGTAGCATTGCGTCAACAATGGCCAAGCTTCTAACTTCACTGCGTATTTCAGATAATTTGTGTGTCAAATACGCAGGTTTTCTGCATCAAGGCAAACACTGCTTGGAAAACACTCCACAAAGTGTACACAAAACATCACACTAAAACTGTTTGAAGTCTATACTAAACAGTGGGAGTAATGACCACCTTAGCTCTACAACAGCTTTGTGAAACCTGACCCTGTTATTTAAGTTAACACTTAAACAAATAATACAACATTTTATAAAACACAAAGTAACCGCAGACATTTTTTCACAAAAAGCATTTTTTGATAATAGTTCATAATGACATGAATTCTCACCCAATTTCTTTTTATAGGACTCAATTGTTGATTCGTATTTGGCCTGAAAACAAGATGAACATTATCAAAGCATCTGCAGCAGCGCTGTGTTATGTGAACAGACTGATAAGCTGGATATGAGATGGAATAAGAGAATGTCTGATAGCAAGCTACCCTGAGGTAGATAATGTATATTTAGGGAATAACAAATGTTTGTATACACATAGACATTTTAGATGGGGTTTTTTCTAGGATTTATTACAAACTATTTCATGTTGTTGCAGATAATGATAACCTATAGAGAGATAACATGGTGGAGTTGTTCAAGATGCTCTCACCACTTGTTCTGATGTATGTCTAAGGATATCCAGTTCATCTTTTAATGATCTGGCTTCATCCGCTAGAGCTGACAACTCGGCATTCTGAAATGAAAGCCACAATCATATTTACCCATCAATAAGACAGATAAATCGCTGGACCGCGTGTCACATTAGATGGGACTATGCCACAATATACTGACTCAAAAGGATATAAACAAGTGTTTGCCACTGAATGGAATATTTATAACACATTTACTACTTTTAATTTTTGGTCACATACAAGATGCCTGAAATGACTGGTGTCTGCATAATCACCCAATGTAGGCTGTCAACATACTTGAAGACATTGGGTGCAATGTTTTATGAGATATCGCGTTAAGGTGTCGTGGTGACCTTGAAAATAAGGTCAAGGTGACCAAAATCTACTGGTGTCTTGGTAATGCCCCAATGTAGGCTGTCACCAAATTTGAAGACATTGGGTACAACAGTTCATGAGATATCACATTAACAAGAATCGGGACGTACGGACGCCGCTGAATACATAGTCCCCCGTTGCGGCGGGGGACAATAAGGGCATCAACTGTGACAGCTGACAATGGAAGATAACCTGTGTCATTCAGTACTTCATAGACTTAATATCTGCACAATCAGCACACAGTGAATGTTGTTTTATATCAAATAGCAAAACCAATGGTGGTTGATAGAATAACAACAATTCATACAGTTGGAGTACTGATCAACGTATTTACCAAAAAATACACCCTCGATCAGAAATAGTTAAAAAATATAACATACATCAGAAAACATATACACACACATTATAAGTTGTTCACTGGTCTCGAGGGGCCCATGGGCTGATGTACCCTCAATGTTTGTTTATGTTCCCTGAGCCTGTAGCTTCGGGTACATCAACCCATGGGCCCCGAGTGACCAGTGAACAACGTATTTAACTTACCGAACACCTCAATGGTAATTTTGAACTGTTTATAAGCACGGGTATCGGATCATAGTATGGAGTACCAGACGACAAGACAACAAGAAAAACAAATTTAGAGTTATCTCCCTTCCATCGATTAGCATTCGCAAAACATCGGTAATTTTCGTACATCATACATGATTCAATGTTATTCGAGATAAAGAATTACTACTACGAAAGTACCAAATGAGTTCGGCATTCCCAGCGGGGTACATAGAAAATATTACTCGCTTGTAAGCAGGGTACACTGAAAATAGTAGAAGAGCGCTCAGCCAATCAGAAAACAACATTTATGTGTGAGGCAAGATAAATATCTATGTACAGCAGTATTGAAACAGTTCCTTAAGAACACATTACCTTTTCCTTCTGTTCTGTTAGTTCTTTTGAAGCGACTTCAAATTTGATTCTGTAATCATCCTTGCCTGCAATAAAACATCAAACATCATGACTAGGATATCCAGTGCAACCTAGTAAAATCTAGATATTTTTATATATTTGTATACTTATCCTGCATTACTCCTTAATGCATTTACTGCTTTCCCTTGACAAGACGAAGCTGTGCGATGGAAACATCGAAGAGAAGTTGTTCCAACTAAGCGAGACGCCATATTGCCATCGCACTGAGATTTGACATTTTCCTATACATTTGACAGATATGAACACAAACAGTACCTGTCTCCATCTTGTACACCTCCTCCTGGAGTTTCTCTATCTGACTAGACAGGTGATGGTACCGCTTGCCGGCTGGGGTGCTGCACAAAACAGGTACTTGTCATTACATTACCACAGGGGAAATCTGGACTGCATGTCTCAACAATCTTACATCATTTCACATTTCTGAAACTCACATCTAATACATGCATACAGAATTCAGTCATAAAGAATTCTTCTGAAACATGCTGAAAGGAAACAATGTACAAGTTTCCATGAGTGTCTAACATAATAAGCCAGTTGAAATAAACATGCAACATAATATGTAAATCAGTCCCGTTTATCATGGAAAGATGAAATATCCTTACAAAAGGTGGAGTAGGACATATCTACATATTTCTATGATAGTAAGGAGTACAAAGAGAAGGCAAATGTGTAACAAACGCATATATTTACATGAAATATTTGACATCATCATCAATCTAACAACAAAACAGTTCTAACGTCATACAACATGTTCATGACGTAAGGGGCAGTGAATGTGAACTCACCTTGGATCATCCATACTCTCAGCTTGATGGAGTCTCTCCAGAAGTCTCTCATTCTCCACACTGAACATTGACTTCTCCTCTGACAGTGAAGCCACCTGGAGGATACAATAGAAACTAACATAGAAAGGGGCCATAATGCTGACTCCTAAGTCTGATCTGTCAACATGTAAATACCTTCTGTATTTAATGTGGGAACATCACATGATCCACTAGACGTTTGCAGCTCCATTAATCTTTAATATTCTGCTGAACACATTCAAAGATTACATGTTGAAACCTAAGATAAAATACATGAACCTTTAGCAATAACACAGCACTGACCTGCATATCAAGTTCGTGACATCGCTGCAAGAGTTCTTCTTTAGCTTCTAAGGCACTGTTCAATTCTTCCACTGTCTTCTTCAGCTGCAACATACGCATCATCACGCTTTGTACAACACAGAATCATCTGTTCTTGATCGTTATTGAAAAGATATTTAAAACTTGGTTTAGAAACTGCTAATTTCAAATAGGGCTGCAACAATTCACCCAGACCTCGATTCGATTTCGATATCAGACGCTCGATTCGATCATTTTTATTCAATTCTTCATACAAGTAAAAACATCAGATTTCACTTAACTCTCAGAGTTCAAGTGAGTCGGCTTATTTCAGTGTGAAATCCATTGTCAACTTGGTGATGTCTACTAACGACAATGTTCATTGGATAATTAGAACGGTATCAACCAATCACATTTCGCCTTATTTCATTGCTTAAAATTGCTCGAGTTGGATTAAGAATCATGTTCTCGCTGTGTGGAAACAATTGAAACAGATATTCAAGTATCGAATCGAAATAGTGATAATGGTTATCGAAACATCGAAACTAAGATGTCAGATTCAATCTTCCATGAATCGAACTGAATCGTTGCAGCCCTGTCTGTCAGTAAGGTGAAAACAGATGCAGTGATACATTATCACTAGTATCCTGACTAGTATCACTGAGCAGTAAGTAAGGTTTGGGATTTTTGCTTTAAACAATGTTAAAAGCACATAAGCAGCTTTACATTTGCTTCATATTTATGTTCTAATATCGGTTTGCAGTCAAAATTCTGGTAAATGATTTCAGTAGCAAAAGCCTGACCAAAGAGTTTGTTATAACGGACACAAACTAAATCTACCATCATTGATGAACAAACAGAGTGTTTATTGACAGCACCATCGGTTTTCTGTGTTTGCAGATTTCCCCCAGCTAGTATCATCCATAGAACAAACAACAGAGGTGACAAATACAAAGGGTCGTCCTGAGAGTCACAGTCAGCGTATACGCTTTGTTTACCTGTTCTGCCATTTCCGACTCCGAGTCACCAGCAGAGGCAATTTCTTTCGTCATCAACTGCATAAAACAACAAAAATATCCACTCAAGATTTGAATAAACAATGTTGTGTAGCACCACCAAGCATCTTTGTTGTTTAATGTACTTTAGTCAGCTATTTTCTAGCGATATCACATCAGATGGTATATAACCAAATCTAGGTCAAGCTAATTAGAGGTTGAAAGCAAGATCACCAATGTACAGTGGAAGCCCTCTAAACCGGCCTTCGTTGAGACCGGCAAAAAATGCCGGTATAGAGAACTTTTCCGTTTTCAACCTTAGAATGATCTTCCGTGTGCTGTAAAATACGACTGAACACTTGACGCTTTTTCAAAATGTCCGAAACTGTTTGCTTGCCAATTTTTTACTTAAGTGCAAGATCTGTTTGAGTAGGCCGAGGAATTGCATCAAAATCTTTTATCAGCTGAATTTTCTGTTCAAGAGTTAATGCCAATCTAGCCTGTTTGACTGGTCTAGCCATCTTGACACAGTGAGCGACTGACAAATTGTGACACGACAAGTAATTTATAATACAGGCAACATCAATGAGCTTAATGCTGATGGTAATACACGTTCAGCCAATCAACAGGAGAGCCGAGATACCGGATGCCGGTTTAGAGAGAGTTAATTACTGTACAAACAGTCAATTGGGCAGTCTTTGCTGTGCCGAAATACAGAATAGACTGACGCGGATTAGAGGGCGTGTAAATGATCATAAATTAACTAGCTTCTGCCGGGACCAAATTCTAGTGCCGATATTGAGAGCATGCTGTACTGGAGGGCTGCCGGTTTTGAGAGCTTCTACTGTAGTGAGAAGACACATGAATTGATGAGGCCCTACCTCCTGAATAGCGTTCATGATCATCTGCTGCACTGACTCCTCCATGGCCATGATACGCTGGATGTACTCGTGCTTTTCCTCACAGTTGACAGCGCAGCCCAGGATTAGCTGCAGTAACCGCCCCAGCTCAGATGCATTGTTGTGTTCACCTGGACATGGCAACAGTTCTAGCCTCAATTTTACAGTACTCTTCGCCACTAGTAAAGCACTGACTGACTGACTGACAGACCCAATGCCATAAAAAGTATAATAACATTAACACTTTGAGTGAGTGACTGAGTTTTGGTTTTAAGCCGCTTTTAGCAATATTCCAGCAACATCACGGCGGGGGACACCAGAAATGGGCTTCATACATTGTACCCATGTGGGGATTCGAACCCGGGTCCTCAGCGTGACGAGCCAACGCTTTAACCACTAGGCTACCCCATCGCCCCACTAGTAAAGCAACTCAGGTTTAACACTAAACATGTAAAGTCTTCTATGTGTTTTCAAATTTGAGAATTCTGATGTTGTTGTGGGAAGTTCTGAATCAGGAAAATGTATACGTCACAAATCTATTTGCAAATCCTCTAAACTGAAAATACAGTTTTCATGGCTATAGGAAGTGAAGTGCATTCAGATTGAATTCAGTGACCAATGTTAAATTTAACAGCAGGGATTGGCTTCAGGAGCCAATATAGTGTAAGATATAGGTACTTGGAACCTGTTCAATAGCAGGAATTTCCTTGAGGAGAATATACTACAATATTTGAATGACAAGCAATAATAAATCGAACCTACTCTACGGCAAGAATTCTTACTGGGACCTGACACAGAGATCAGCCAGGGACAGTAACCAGCCATGCACTCAGTGCCTCAGGTCACCTGACCATCTTCAGTGACAGGCATGTGAATGATGTGAATTTCAACCCTTCCTGAACCTACTTGACCAAGCAATGGTAGAGTGAGTGATTTTAGTTTTACGCCACACTCAGAGATATTCCAGCTATATGGTGGCATCTGTAAATAACCAAGTCTGGGCAAAACAATCCAGTGATCAACAGCATGAGCATCGAATACAATGGGATACAATGACATGTGTTAACCCAGTCGCCTCTTAGCAATGCTAGAGGATTGAGTTAAGCCATACAGCTAGCCTTTGAACAGTGAAGAAATCACAAGAAAAGAACAAATAACCTGAAGAAGTTTATGCTAGTGGTTGGTAAAGTAGTTTTCTTTTTCTCCACATAAGCAACTTATCTCCCGCAACTATTCTACGTAATGTGAACACAGAGTTTATTCCATATAAGCAAATATCTCTCTCACCTATAGCATTTATATCAGGCATCTGAAAACCTTGAATCTGTATACCAAGCACCTGCAAAGGACAAGGATAACAGAATGAGATCAGTGTGCTTAACAAATGGATACTATGACATGGACAACTTCTTTATCAGATGTAAAATCAACCCAGTGGTCTGACTTACTAACATATACAACCTTTATGACATCTAACACGCTGCTTACCTGCTGACCTCTGCTTGGTGCTGCAGAGTTATGAGTGAATGATATTTGCTCTATAATCATTATAATTAAGATAAATAAAAATCTTTTTTTGCCCTCGTGATAACCGACAGACAGGTTTATTCGATAATTTAGGCCCAAGGCCCATAATACATACATTTGGCAAAAGTAAATACATACTGAGTAAAGCTAAGTAAAGTTTAGTATGATTTATTTTGCATTTATTCGTTCCTTCTACAGTGAACTTGTGAAAGAAATTTACTCAATGATTTTCAAATATGTATATTGTCTGATGACAACAATCGGATGAAGGTTTCAATTGTCGGTGGTTGAGTCAGATGTATTGAAAAACAATCAGATCTTTGTTTGGAATATTTTGTTTACAGGAATATCAGGAGTCTCTGAACGAGAAACTGAATTTGATTTTAATACACTCCAGAAGTGTTTAGGGTCATTTCTTGAGTCACTTAGGTCTTTCTTCAGTTGAAATGTAGATTTGAAAAGTTTCTTTTGACATATATAGGAATCAGTGTTTTCACCCCTTGATCTATGTGCTCTAAGAGCTGAGTATTTCTTTTGTTTGATATGCTCTCATTCGGAGTCCCACCAGGGGGGCTGCTTGGATTGTAAACTCTCTTGAATTTATCTGCTGCAGCCTGGTAGAGATCAGTTAATGCTTGGACGCATTCTTCCACATTTTCTTCAATCTGTTTATATATTGTGTCATACTCCATCATAAACAATTCATGAAAATCAACTAAAAATATGTTGCGCATTTCAGGGGACCAGTTGTATTTTATCCATGCCTCTTGACCCATAACACATGACTGATTGGAATTGTTGTCATCATTACACCTTTCAGTTGAAGCTGCACCAGGAAGATCAATAGAACAATATAGAGGGAAATGGTTTGACTCGTCTCTTTCATGAATACCAAAATAGCTGAAATGGGGGAATAGATCAGTACTTGCTAGGAAGTAATCCACTAAACTAGCACCATTATGGTCACACAAGGGAAATTGCCTTCCTTGTCATCAAACATCCTTCCATTCAAAGCATGTAGACCATGTGTACAACACATTTCTGCAAGGGATACTCTGTAGTTGTTATATCTATGTTGTCTTTCCTATTGCGCGGAGGTTGGAAGTTATCACTTGGGTAGTCCTCACTGTTGTTTTGGACATAGTAGAGATCATCACAGGGAATATAATCTAAAAATGTTTTCATTCTTGCATTAAAATCACCTACAAGTAATAAATGATGCTGATAAAAAATATGCTTTATGATTTCGACGTATTGTTCCAAACGCTAAATGCCATCAAAATCCTTACCAATATATATAGGGGAGTTTTCAGGTGATATGTAGACAAACATTAACACAATATCTTTGTCAAGTCCAAGTCTCATTGATTGAAACAAAAGAACAACACAATCTTCACAATCTTCAAGCACTCTATACATATACTCGTCAACATCGGGTTTCACAAAAACAGACACTCCTCCGCTGTACCTACCCAAAAGCTTCTGTTTGGGTCTGCAGTAGTGGTATCATCGAAATCCGGACAATAACATTCGTAATCGGTGGGGTGTTTAGCGAATGTCTCACAAAATCCAATTACATCATATTTACAACAAAAACTCTCAAAATAAACTAAAGGTGGAGCTCACGTGTTTACTTAAACCGTCTATAATCCAGCCGATAATACTAATGGAGCCTTGGCCAAGTCCTCATTTCGCTGTTTTGCTCGATCGCGTATTCATGTTTAGAGTGCTCTCCCCTTCACTTCCGTTACTATGTGTAAACAAAGGGGCGTGGTCGTGTGATTCCGTTGAGACTTGTGGTTGACGTTTTCCATCCGAAATACACCTGTTTACGTTGTTTTCCCGGTCATAAATGTACACTTTTCCATGGATGATTAACTTGTCGTGCCGTATCTTTGGTTTTAGACCTGCTTTGAGGGCATGCGAGTATAAAGGAGCGATTGATCTGCGTGCTTCCTGCACTCGCTGTGTGAGATCCTCGGTGACTCGGTGTGTTGTATCTTCCTGTCTTTTAGTTTCCTCTTCGCAGTGAACAGGATGTCATTTCTGTCGTTGGTGAGAGCGAAATTTGCAATTATTGGGGGATTACGTTTTCCGTTCCGAAGTCGATGGGCCCTCGTAATAAGAATATCGTCTGCTTGAGGGATGTCAAGCATGTCTCGAATAAACTCATGAACTTTCTTCTCCGAAGTTTCCCAGGTTTCGTTGTTTTCACTTTCTATGCCATGAAAAAGCAGATTATTGCGTCTAGACCTGGATTCATAATCATCAAGTCTATCTTTCATAACTCGTAGCTGTACAGTCATCCGTATGTTTTCTTCACTCAACTTATTTATATCGTCTCTTTGTTCTATCACCTGAGCCGCCATTTTGTCCACTTTCGTGTCCCGTTGAGCGAGGCGGTCGTTTGCAGTTTTCACATCAGACTTTAACCCGATAATAGCGTCCATTAGATCATCTGTTGAGTATTTGCTGGTAAGCCCCACAGCACCTGTATCCTCCTGTGAGAGAGTTGACTGCCTCGTGGACTTGGGGCCGGGTTACACTCCACGTCACCACTCAGAGTTAGCAACATCGATATCGCTAGAATAAGCCTCAAAGTCAAGGATACATACTTTTTTGAAACACACAATCCATGAGTTGATTGTTTGGTCCTTCTAGGTTGTGAAAACGAGCCGACTGTAGTTCTATATTGCTCTAAACTTATACCCATATCGGGAGCTGACTTGAACATGTCCACACTTCACATCATATTTCATCAAGGCATCAATCTGCAAATGGCCTGACAACCAAACTAATCATCACACGAGTGAGTGAGTTTAGTTTTAAGCCGCTTTTAGCAATATTCCAGCAATATCACTGCGGGGGTCACCAGAAATGGGCTTCACACATTGTGCCCGTGTGGGAAATCGAATCCGGGTCTTCAGCGTGACGAGCGACCGTGTTAACCACTAGGCTACCCCACCGGCCCCTATGATCACACGAAGACAACCTGGTACTAGACACAACTTCAGCCATCACTATTACATTGACATACATCAGTAGACATAATAAGACATTGCAAATACATGTTTATTGGCTACATTTAATCCACAATCTAAAGAATCTGCTAAAGTATGGACTTTAATTTTCACCCACCTCAAGATTATATTCCAGTATTCCTTTCAATATTTTCTTCAAGTTGCTGACCTGAAAATAATAGTTAAAAAAATGAGAATTCAACTACCATGAAAATTCAAACAAACAAAGATGTCACTAAAACTATCTCAATAGTGTTACAACTGACGATGAATGTGGGCATCATTAGAGCTTTCTTTTACCAGGGCTAGAGCAAGACTCATACCCAATATTTTCCTGTTTGCTTGTCATTTGTTCGTATGGACATGTCAGTTGTTCATGTCATTACATGGAATTGTAGGCTAATTATTGATTATCATTTCTATACAATGACTGACCTTTAACCTCCAGTTTAGGGTGTCATCTCTCTTCATCTTAGACATCCAGGAATCACTGAAGTAATCTGGAGCTCTGAAAAACACAAAGAACCAAATCACATAAGAATGAGTAGGAACAGTCTTTCTGTGAAGCATGTATTAAACCCCCATGTATGAAGTCACCTACTTATGCTTTGCCACAACATTTTATACTTGCCATCACCATGGTCCCAGATACAGTCCGTATTTTGTAAGTCCCGCTGAACCAAAACAAGTAGCTGTTGTCTGATTGGTTAAAGCTGTTCGTCCGTCTCGTGTTTGATTGGACGGTCATAGGTCGCTCAAAGGTTAGCTGATGTGACCTTCTACTAGGGTTTGTTCGACTCAGTATAGCAATGAAACGAATAATACTGAGCCTAAGTTTACCTAGACTGATCGTTACTCCCAATCCCATGTCTTAACATAGACCCTTGACTTTGTAATGGCTCAGATTTTGCCCTCAAGTTGTGATGACACACAACTCATTGTTGTGAATAATGGCGTCCTCCATGTGTATCACTCGGAAGCGATCGTGCACAAAATATTATTCGGAATCGTTTGAGTTTTCGAGCTAAAGGTTCAAACAGTATGTGCCAATGTTAACTTGTGCAATTTGGCAAGCCGTGTTCTGATTGGTCAATCCAAAAGGTTAGGTGACGCGACTTTCTACTACGGTTTGTTAGACTCAGTATAGCAGTGTAACGAATAATAGTACTGAACCTAAGTTTACTTAGAATGGAGTAACGATCACCTTAGCACTAAGATCACTTCGTAAAACAGCTCAGTCCTAGGATCATGCAATGGAATGAGTGACAGCAATCGAAATGAAGCATGAACATCAAGAGGACTCCTTAAATAGCCTGCCCAAAACATAATTACCTAAACCATTCACTAAGCTGAATAGGGATAAACACATGTATAATATATGAGCATAATGATCCATCCTGAAAAACCTGAATTTCTACTGGCCCTCAAGTTATTTTTGAAGATCAGATATAGTGCCTCAGGCTACTGCCTCTTTCATCTGACAAATGTGTGGATCCGTGACATCAAGTACTTTCACAGTAAACTTCATGAACACCATGACCCTATTGCTTATAATACTGTTTTGAGAATAACCTGCAAGATAACTCACATCTGTTGAAGTACTTGTGCCATGGCTATTCCATTACTAAGCTCATCAGCTGTGTTGCATGGTCCATCTATATTGAAAGTCTTCAGCTGAAACATAAACATGAAAAATGATAAAGTCAGAAATAACACATGCATCACCAAACCACAACCCAACATGTCATGCTTTAGTACTAATTCAGTTAATCTGTTAATAACACTAACATATTTTGCACATATCAATGTCATCTGCAAGCAGTGTTTCATAATAGGATATACTCACAAATATTAAGCACAATTGTATGTTCCTAACAGTAGTAGTATGAAAGAAATCCAAATATTCAGTCTTAAAGCAGTGTATGAAATACAGCCTGTTCGACCACAGGAGACAGGCTAGATTTCTAATGGACGATCTAAATTTACAGCTAGCCAGCCAGATGGTCCTGTAATAATTTTAGATGTTCCATACAACTGAGTAAATTCGCCATATCTTGGTGTCTGGTCTGGTTAAATCCATTTGGGGCTGGTAACATTTTGAAGTTACCAGCCCTGATGTCTGGCTGGTTTTTGGGGCTTATTTCATACACTGCTTAAATAAAAGTCACATATTATTATAAATACTGTCATACATAAGTCAGTTTTAATTTCCTTCATGCACCAACATCATTTTAATATGTGTATTTAGTGTAAGCATGACGAGGAAGACAAATAAACCTCAATGTGGTTTTTTTCATTTTGGATTGGTGAATTGATATTTACTGGTTGGATGTCTTGAAGGAAAGAATGTCATTGACAATGAGACGATATTTCACCCCACCAGTCCAGGAATACATAAATTAAACTACATAAAGTCATAACTGTAACAAATGGCAAACGCTATCCTAAGACGTTGAAAAAAATATTCTGACATTTACTTCAGCTGATCAGCATGTTCATAGGGGTCATGCCTCGTCGAATTTTTAGGCACTTCTGATTATGACTGTCTCACGGTACACATGCAGGCATGGGCAAAACGAAAAAGGATTCTCAATGTGTATCTCAATAAAGGTGTCATTTATTGCACACGGGGTTTCACTGCATAGTGAACTTTAAAGACACCAAGTAAAGTAAATGCTAGTCCACTCCCATCATCTGTTTCGAATCAGGTCAGTATTTGGTGGACCTTCCAGGTTGTCTACAAACAAACTTACCCATGTGATAAGACTGGCACAAAGTCTGTCTCTATCCATTTTCGAGAAAATCAAATCAAACAAACTCCGATCAAAATAAAGTGATTAATCAGCCCATGAAGAAAATATTGTTTGATCTTGGTATTTCCATTGGTTAACAGGGGTCGTAACTCGCAATCTGCTTCCGGTCATACACTACTGTAACAACTAGTTATATCCTCACGTGTTCTCAACACATCGTCTGTTGATAATGAATAAATGTGGTTGCTTTTGAAAGTTGTAACATCAAGAGATGGCAAAACCAATGTATTGACAATGTTTTGGTGTGTATATGTTAGTGATAATTGTAATCATATCATCATTTTCCTTATGTTCTTATTGCTGAGTGCGGCGTAAAACTAAACTCACTCACTCACTACTGTTTCGGTAAAGCACATTTGAAAATATTACATAAATAGAAGTGCAGCAAACGGTTAAAATAAATCGTCAGCATCAAAATCAGCATCATGGTTTCGTGGTCCTATCATTTCGGTTTTCTGAACAGGTGAGTATATGTCCTTTTTCAAAAAAGCTGTACTTCCATGCTATTTTAGTTGCTGGCAGCTTTTTATGTTCATGTGCTGCACTATGTGTGTCGGGACCATCACGGCGAAATCGTGATGCATTGTAAGCTATACATTAAGGGTGATGTTGCACATTATCCACTGAATGTAAATGTACTTACATTGAACCAGTGAGATGTGTGATGTGTAAATTCATTCATGTACACAAGCTGAAAAAACCCAAATTGTCAAATATATATATGCAGAATCATTATCTCTTATGCGTACTACAGTAGTCAGCATTTTTTTTTAATGTTGATTCTATTTAGTTTTTGTATTTATCTAGAGTTCTGTGTGATAAATATCTAACTGTGGCTGAAATAGAACAAATTGCAGATAAGCATAGCAAATCTGATTGACAAACCACTTTTCCGTCCTCCCACTGTGTCGACAAACCACGTATGGTAGTTCTCACAGCGTTAAGACACTGTGATCTTACTCGTTTTTGTTAAACAGTCGACCCGTGAAGATCCGGGGTAGAATGGGTCTTCAGCAACCCATGCTTGCCACAAAAGGCGACTATGTTTGTCGTAAGAGGCGACTAACGGGATCAGGTCGTCAGGCTCGCTGACTTGGTTGACATATGTCATCGGTTCCCAGTTGCGCAGATCGATGCTCATGATGTTGATCACTGGATTGTGTGGTCCAGACTCGATTATTTACAGACCGCCGCCATATAGCTGGAATATTTCTGAGTGCGGCGTAAAACTAAACTCACTCACTCACTGTTAAACAGTCATCCTGCTAATGTGGACTCTTAAGTGTGTGAACATATATTTAGATTTATGCTGAGTTAAAGGTATACAGCTAAATGTGCCCTATTTTTAATACGTTTTATCGTTACTGGGTCGGTGTTTGTTTGTTGGTTGGTTGGTTTGCTTTTTGTTTGTTTGTTTACACCACACTCAGCAATATGACAGATATAGATCTCAGACAGATCTGTCTTTGGATAATCGAGTCAACCTGGAGGTTGAAGTCATGAGCATCAAAGTGCTGTCATGCACACTGAAATATTATCAATTACGTTAGTACTTAAATGTATTGTAAGAAGTGAGGTGAGGTGAGGTGAAATTGGGTTTTACGTCGTGCTTGAGAATATTTCGCTCATATGACGACGTGCATGCATGTGTATGTGTATGTGCGGCTGCTTGTACTAGCCCAAACTTAAGCTGGTTTTATAGTGCTAGCCCACTGAGATACCATGCCGCAGTGAAGCATGAATACCCCACTCAGACACATTATACTGACTCCGAGTCGACCAGTCCTTGTTGTACCCATTAATGCCGAGCGCCAGGCAGGGACCAACAAGTATCATATTTTAACGTCTTTTTGGTATGACGCGGTCGGGGATCGAACCCGCGACCCTCCGCTCTCCGGGCGGACGCTCTAACCACTACGTCACGGAGGCGGTCTTGTAAGAAGTGAATTCATGGTGTGGTACTATGCATAAATAACAATTAAACGAAATTTCACGTTAAATATAGTAACTTCGTGTATGTATGTTATATTTCATATCTGTTCCCAGAAGACAAAGTGCACACGATTATCACTATTGAGCCACAACTTAAATACATTCACTCAACTATGCAATTCCCTAATTGTCAAAACTGTTTTCACTAGCAAAATTTGGTTCGTCCGACACTCATTCGCTTTCTGGCATATTCAAGTTAAAACTATCTATTTCAATCAACATTCTGCTTGCACTATTTACCCTAATTGCTCTATGAGTCTGCTTATGTGCTCAATAAACACATCTTTTCGCTTCGGGGATTAAAGAGTGCTACCTTTGTCTACTGAAGCATCCACCTCTGTCTAACCGGATCAGTTCAAGTCTATATAGATGAAGTGGGGTAGCCTAGTGGTTAAAGCATTCACTCGTCACGCTGAACACCCGGGTTTGATTCCCCACATGGGTACAATGCGTGAAGCCCATTTCTGGTGTCTCCCACCGTGATATTGCTGGAATATTGCTAAAAGCGGCGTAAAACTAAACTCACTCACTCAAGACAATACAGCGCCAGAGAACACCATAAAGTCGTCCTTAATGTATAAAAACAGGGATAATCTACAGCGCGTCTTCTGTTCTCCCTGATAAAAATGAGAAGAGGATATTGCTGTCGACTCTAGAATTTTAGAAATCTTTCTCCAAGAATATGTTTGTAGATTACAGTAATAGCTATGGATCTATTAAACCACATGAGTGTTATATCGATTTTTGAACGTGTTTGCATTTATGGCAAATTCACGCCCTTTCGTTTGTATCCTATAAAATAGTTGTAAAGAAAGTACAACATATTTTCAGCCCTTTGACGTTTGTAAACTGGTTCTAATGTTGGTACGCGACGAAATGTTACCGCTTTTATATGCTTAAGTAGACAGGTGCCCAGTCTGTGACGTTTACGACTGATATTTGTTTACATTAATTCGCGTAAATGTGATATGTTTAGATAGGTACTGCAAGAACTTAGCAGTATCTCCTTGACAAACAGACATCGTGACATTTCAAATCATTTACGCGTGGACAATCTCTACTCTGGAGAGATGATGGCAACTCAAATCACGTGGCCTATACTTCCGTGTCTATATTTAGCTGTCTCTCAGGAAGGACACGTTGAGAATGTGAAACTGGACATGTCGGATCCAAATGAATATTTTTGACTCACTTTTGAGGATTTTAGTACATGTCTGTGATTTGTCAACAGCATACATCTAGAAATGGCGTCATATCTTAGAAAGGCGAATATAGTAGAGGGAATAGGAAATGAAGTGCTCTATGGTCTTGGAGCATTCCTGGGAATACTGGTGCCATTGGTAGCATTTGTGTTGAAAAGGTAACATTTTGGTAAACACCACACGTTGGCTTGAGTGACATGTCATTTATGTAAACAACTTGTATACATTAAAGATTCTGTATAACCCGGTAGGTTCTTTAAGTGACGTCAAAGGTCACAGGAACTACAATATGTTCAGTCAGATGCTATAATTATGTCAGTGTACTTTGCATTTAGCTTCTTCACATTTGTGGCACTTCTGCATTGGATGAACTATGGTTAATTTAGTTTACTTTGCATCTGTATTTTCATACATAATTACATAAGATGTCAATAAGAGTGTTATCGTTCAAATATTGTAATGTTCCATGTGTATATACAAAAAGCAAGTCTTAACAAACCTGTACTATATAGTACAGGTTTGTTAAGACTTGCTTTTTGACTGATTTGATTACAAAAATAATTGAACTTTCAATCTGAAGAGGTTCATAAATGAACAAAATGCTATGCTTTTTTAGCTCTTGTGATCATATTACAGCATCTGACATGCATTTAAACAGTCAGTGGAAGTGTAACCAGTGTATGAACATATATACATATCTATATATTCCATACTGTAAATAAACATGATCAAATCTGCCAGGACAACAGCAGACTGATGCCATGTTATCAGTTGAAGGTTTTTGTGCTTCAGCAGTAGTCCGTTTGAGTCAGAAACGGACCTATGAATTGCAAATTTTATCATTGTACAAAATTGCCACATAAATATAAATAGTACACATATTTATCATTTACTAATACCCAACAGCTTTCTTATATTTGAAAATTTTCTAGACTCCACCAAAAAAGTTCTTTAAGAAACTATCATTAAAATTTTGACACAGTTCACTATTTGTTACGAGGGAGGAGTGCAGAGAAAGGGACAGCCAGGTATGCGAGAAAGGATGGAGACGGCACAGCACAGGCTAATGAATCAATAACTTGGTGGGCACTTGTGCACGTGCTTCTCTAACACTTGGCTGTCCCTTTCTCTGCACTCCTCCCTTGTAACAAATAGTGAACTGTGTCAAAATTTTAATGATAGTTTCTTAAAGAACTCTTTTGGTGGAGTCCGAAAAATGTTCAAATATAAGAAAGCTGTTGGGTATTAGTAAATGATAAACGTGTACTATTTATATTTATGTGGCAATTTTGTACAATGATAAAATTTGCTATTCATCGGTCCGTTTCTGACTCAAACGGACTGTAGTAATACTGACAACCACTAATGTGTAGTGATAATATGCCGATTTGGTTGTTTATTGCCACACAAACAACACCTTCAGTCACCTTCTGGTCCATTTAGTCGCCATGCATGGCAAGAGGAGGTTGCTGGGGACCTTATCTGGAAATATTTTTGTAAAGTAACTGCAAACAGATGACACTTCCCAACATTTCATGTATTTTCTGCTATTGCATCATGACTATTGGAACATGACATGAATTATCTGATACTCGGTTTCTATGTCAACTGTCAGGGAGTTAAATGTGGAAGCCACGATGGCTGAATGGGTTAGACTACTGACTTTGTGTGCTGGCGATTAGGTGCCTCTGTGGGTTTGGGTTCAAATCCTGGATGGGACTCAACCCAACAAAAGTTACTGAGAAAGTGTAAACCCAAATATAACATATACATGGTATAGTTAAGTGTTTCCCGGTATATTTATTAAGTCGCAAGTCCATTTAATTAAACTTGTCAAAGAATGTTTTTTCTCGTTACCTAATTTGTCTACATTTGAAGTCTCCGTGGGGATACTGGGTTAGAATAGGCCCCTGACAACCTTCTTTGAGAGGCATTTAGAAGTTGGAGCAGTAAGGAAGGATAACAATATATGGATGAACAACTTCTTTATTGCTGTGAAGACACCGAAATGTCACTCTCACAGCAATAAAGAAGTTGTTCATCCATATATTGTTATCCTTCCCTGACAACCTGATCACAAGAGGCACCTAGATGCATCTGATTGTCAGGGTTGGTGGCTACATGTCAGCTTACCTCAATACAGTTTATTAAAGCTTATATCAGTCACTGTATTGTCTGGTCCAGATTTTTACATGTTGCTGTTATACAGCAGGAATATTGCTTAGTGTGGTGAAAAACAGCAAATACACACACTGTGCATTTCAAGGTTGAAAGTTTCATTAACTGACAGGTTGACATGTATTTTTGTCTGTCATCAGAGTTGTTGGACTTCATAGCTGAGTGGGGCAGTGGGGTAGCCTAATGGTTAAAGCGTTGGCTCGTCACGCCGAAGACCCGGGTTCGAATCCCCACATGGGTACAATGTGTGAAGCCCATTTCTGGTGTCCCCCACCGTGATGTTGCTGGAATATTGCTAATAGCGGCTTTTATCCCCAAAAGACTTGCACTAGGCATGGTACAACAAGTAACTTGTATCCCCTAATGATCTAATGGTGTGACATGTCCGAGTATTGAACTTCCACTGTCCTGGCAGAAGCTCTCTCCACTACACCTACAAAGGTTGTCAGAATTGTATGAGATCTCGACAACAAGCAAGTATGTGCAATACCAATAGGATGATTTCATATTTGTCATATGTCTATGGAATGTAACTGCTTTTCCACTGTAGAGTTTGTCCCTTGAATTTTAGGCAGCAAAATTATAATCAGACCATTCACCCGGAGAGTGCAGCTAATGTGGAATCGACACGAACACGGCTCCGCAACGAGGCTGGCACTGCAGACCGTCCATCGAGGGCCAGACGAGACAATAACGGACAACTCACATGTCCCATCTGCTTGGCTGATGCTGCTTTTGCAATTGAAACAAATTGTGGCCATGTTTTCTGTGGTATGTTTCAAGTGAAGTTTAATGTTGAATTTTAGAAAATTTATATACCAATACTAATAAAGACATTTTTGGCAGATACAGAGGTAGGTTCACTCTTAATTCAGACACCAACATGCCAAGCTCACCTGTGTTTTTATTCATAAGTATTGTATGCACCAGCTTTCTGAAAAATTTGAGAGACTTTAATCTAGTCCTCTCACATTCAGCAAGCAATATGTGGGTACCAGGTAGGAAGAATAGTGTCTGGATGACCAGATTTAAATACTGTTATCTCGATGTAACAATCTTAAGAGTCTTTGAACATGAGTTAACGTTCACATTAACAACCACATTCAATACCACTATTCAGCAAGCAATATGTGGGTAGGAAGAATAGTGGCTGGATGACCAGATTTAAATACTGTTATCTCGATGTAACAATCTTAGAGTCTTTGAACATGAGTTAACGTTCACATTAACAACCACACACAATGTCACTATTTAGCAAGTACAATTGAGTTTGTGATATGTTTACAAATATTCTGCTCTATGTCAGGATTTGGCAATGATAAGTATCTAGTTGTATTGAAAAATTTGTTGATTAGGACTATATCAGACATAAAAAACTTGCACCCATGAATCAATATTTTAATCTTTTTTTCTTTTAAGAACATTAAATTACACCCATAAATCAATATTTTGGTCTTTTTGTCCTTTGACAATAAATATTTCTCATGTATGTAAAATAACTATAATCATCATCATTATGATAAGGTTGTAGAGTGGATGACAACATGTAGTATTTGGTTATGATCCATGTATTCTGCCTGTTGTAGGCCACTGTGTCATCACATACTGGCAACATGGTCAGTGGCTTGGAGCTGTCCGCTGCCCAGTGTGCAGACAACAAGTAAGTACTGTTTCTCATTGTCTCTGCTTGCTTCATCGAACATTGATCGTCATCGATCAAACCTCACTTACACGTTCCTTTAGCAGGTAATGTGAATGACACGCAACAGGGCGAAGAATCACAGAGACAGTGTCACATGTTACATTGTTTGTGCTACATACTATACTCAACAGAAAATGTTAGGACCACTCCAAATTTCAACATTAAAGTATTTAATAGCTCATATTACAGGGGTGGAAATAACCCATTGCCCGACATCTGAGTCTAGTGTTTTTTCTGTCGGGCAAGCAAATTTGTATATCAAACTGTACCGCTGTCCAGTTGACTTTCCAATGTTAATTATGTTGTTTATTTAAAAAATCAGCAAGAAAACGGTCGGTATACTGGAAAAAATATCAGGGCAAGTGACTTTACATGTGCTACTATACCGGAGTACACTATCAATTTTAAAGTTATTTCACCCCCTGTATTATGATCCATATAATGCTTAAATATTGAATATTGGGTATTTGTGTTTGTGAGACTACGTATGGGATGTTGGTGTATGGATAGAGTATGAGGGTGTGTAGTTAGGAAGCATGCAGTATTCGCGTATGAATGTATTTTACGTGTATGATATTTTGTTTGTGTGTGTGCCTCGGTGTAGGCATATGTGTGTTAAGTGTTTTAGTGGTAATGTATTTATGTGAGTATGTTTAAGTGTCTGTGTGTTTGTAAATATGTGTACTGACACCTGTATAAAGATACTGTGATAGTTTGAATGGGATTGTGTGTGTATGACCATCCTACTATTTTCTATACTTCAGTCAATGCAATCTACATTATTTAATTCATTTTTCATGATATTGAACTCAATAATTGTACAAGTGTGTCTTGAGGTGAATATACCTGAATGTTGTACTCTTTAGGTGGCAGTGAGTGAGTTAAGTTTTACGCCCTTTTAGAAATATTACAGCAATATCATTACAGGGGACACCAGAAATGGGCTTCCCACACGTTGTACCCATGTGGGGAATTAAACCCTAGTCTTCGGTGTGACGAATGGATGCTTTGACACTAGGCTACCCCACCACCCAGTACAACTAGTGACAAGATTACCATTCCCTCTCTTAGAAGTTTGGCTGGAAGTGTCAGACTTGTGTGTAATATATGATTTGTGTTCCTGCTATTTCATCATCTCTCATTGTGGGTGGTATCAATGGATTATATATTCTGTCTTTCAGATTACTCTTCTCCTGCGTAACTTCACTGAGGTAGAAAACAACGAGGACAGTACAGAACGGAGAGTTATTTTAGACCAGATTAGTAACTACAACCGGAGATTCTCCGGAGAACCCAGGCCAGTATGTTCCAATAAAGCCCACATAACACTTAAACTTGTTAAACTTAAAGCCATTTAGACTTGTTTTGTATTGAAAGTTTGGAGAAAAGTTCACATTAGCAAATATCTCATGCATATTGACTGTTATTTTCAGATCACCGACTACATCCGAGACCTGCCTGTTTTACTGCGACACGCGTATACAGAGTTCTTCTCAGTAGGGGGTCTCATCTGGATGTTCCGACTCCGCGTGATAGTGTGTTTCTTTGCAGCCTTGTTATATTTCATCTCTCCATTAGACATCATTCCGGAAGCTGTGTTCGGACTGCTAGGATTCCTTGACGACCTGTTCATCATCCTTCTCCTGGCGATATATATTACTATAATATACAGACAAGTTGTCCAGGCAAGGGCACAGAGGGCCGTCCCAACGGCACCACCTCCTGACGGGCAGACACTCGGTCAAAGTTGAAGTGGAGTTTTGTGAATGATTTTGAAAGTGAATACTGCTTTGTTCTGAAGATTTCTCCTGTGTGTCATCTCAGTGGTAAAAACAGCTAAGCTATGTTTGTTTTATGACGGTTTTTCAAGGTTTGAGCATTTTTCGGTCCATGAAAGTATTAGGAGAAAATATGAACTTTCTTTATCAATATTTATTGCTCTGTTAGAGCTGTACTTGTCAGAAGATGCTGATGTACATCTAGTCTAGGTCTGTTGTACGCAGTGCAAATGGCAAAAGACAGTTGATGTGGAAAGTGTCAATGCAGCTCAGGGAAGCAGTATTTCGACATCTGAATGTAGAATATAACCAGACTTCAGACAAGACACCCTTGGACATCACTCACTCACTCACCACCTTTATTGCACCACCGCTCAGATTATGATCGACTGAATCAAGGATTGTTTGGTCACAATGGCTGCAGTGAATGAATATATGTAGTTCCTAGAGGTTCCTGGAAGACCAACTTTCACACCTGGCTGTGTTGTTTAAATGTTACTTATGCATGCACCCTTTACGATCGAGGTTAGAATTCGTCGTCAGCAACCCATGTTTGTCATGATAGGTGAGTTACCGGATCAGGTTGTTTGGCTCGATGACTTGGTTGATGCATGTCATATCAGAGTTGCATAGATGGTGCTCATGATGTCAATCACTGGGTTTTCTGGTCCAGACCGCCTTCATATGGCTGGAAAATTGCTGAGTGTGGCGTTAAACAGCGACCAAACAGCTGGTTCGTGCTTACATTATTGACTGTTGGTTCATCATGTCAGATTCACTATATGACCCGTGAAGATCCGGGTTAGAATTGATCTTTAGTAACCCCTGCTTGTTGTGAGAGACGACTAACGAGATGGGGTGGGCAGGTTGACACATCATCGTATCCCAATTGCGTAGATCGATGCTCATGCTGTTGATCAGTATATTGTCTGGTCCAGTCTTGATTATTTACATGCGGCTGCCATCTAGCTGGAATATTGCTGAGTGCAGTGTAAAACTATACTCACTGACTTAAATATGACTATGTTGAGGCTATAAAAGTGTTGCCTACATCATTTAGCCTCATTTACCTCGGAATATTGCTGAGTGCAGTGTAAAACTATACTCACTGACTTAAATATGACTATGTTGAGGCTATAAAAGTGTTGCCTACATCATTTAGCCTCATTTACCTCCCCTTTTATGCATATACTACAAATATTGTTTTTGTAACATTTATGCCTAACAAAAGAGGATATTTCAGGTTCCGTATGAACAGGTATGTATGATGAGTAACTTCACAAGCAGAGAACTTAGGTTCCATTCTTACGATCAAACACTACCCATTTCCACAGACCTTGTGCTTGCAGTACCTTATAAAGACTTATTGTGTTACATGCACTTCACGTAAACATTCATTCTATGTTGTATTGTATTGCCTAAGATGTATGTATGTGTAAGCAATTGCATGTGTTTATCTGGTCTGAGCCATCTATTATGTAAGCTGTTAAGTATATTACAGAAATGTATACATATTGTAGAGGCATTTATTGGGTAACCAACCATTGTATAGCCATTCTAGCATTGAGAATCTTTGTTTGATATGTATACCACAAATGATAATATATAAGAAAGATAACCGTATGTCAGAATGCTCAGAGTTGCGACCTCAGGTGTGTAAGGATCCTGTTATTTGCCAGTGTAGCTCCCCTTGTATGTTGCTTAGTTTTATGACACCATACCAGCTTGTGTGTTTCACCAAAGCCGTCAGTATCTTAAGACCTTCTTAAATGTGCAGTCTTGTGAATATCCGGGTTGGAATTGATCTTCAGTAACCCCATGCTTGTCATAATAGGCGACTAACGGGCTTAATATGTTGATCACTGGATTGTCTGGTCCAGACTCGATTATTTACAGACCGCCGCCATATAGCTGTAATATTGCTGAGGGTGGCGTAAAACTTAACTCAATCCTAAATGTGCTCCTTCTATCAATGTTGATATAATTGAATTATGGCCCAGAGCAGCATCAAACCCAGCTCACTCACTCACCTATATGACAGTTCCAGCTTGGTAGTTGGCACACTAGAAGACACAGATATCAGAGGGGGATGTTTCCTGTTGTCTGTTTGGCAAAGTTTATTTTAATATTTCTCCATATTGTTTCAGATATTTTCTGCTTATCAAAATATTATACAATCAAATGATACATTATGTTGTATGAAGTAAGCACCTGTTTTCTCAACTGCACTAAGTATATAATTTGTATGTTACCTTTATCAATGTTTAACTTTAGCCTCTATTCCCATGAACCCGTAAGGTCCAGGTTAGAATGAACCTTTAGTAACCCGTCGTAAGAGGCGACTAACGGATTGGGTGGTCATGCCCACTGGCTTGGTTGACACATGTCATCGGTTCCCATTGCGCAGATTGATACTCATGCTGTTGATCACTGGATTGTTTGGTCTAGACACGATTATATACAGACCACCGCCATATAGCTGGAATATTGCTGATCGCAGCGTAAAATTAAACCTACTCACTATTCGGATGATACACATGTCCTGTACCAGTCACAGAGGGCTCAGTTGTGTAAGGTTGTCTCACAGAGAAGATTAGAGGTGTTTAAACTGCTCTATACACACGTCCTGTACCAGTCACAGAGGGCTGAGTTGTGTAAGGTTGTCTCACAGAGAAGATTAGAGGTGTTTAAACTGCTCTATACACACGTCCTGTACCAGTCACAGAGGGTGCTACATTAGCAGAGGGTGCTACTATTAGCTGTGCCGAATTATCTCCCTTTGGCTTGCCAGAATCCTATGATTGTGGGTTTGAATCCAAGATTTGCCCTGAAGTTTCTAGTCTGGTCTGCACCTTTTGGTTTCTCCAAATTAATAAATTTCTAAGAAATCATCTCTTCAGCTTTCGTCCACCATCAAGATCATATGATATATTATGGCTGAAATAGTGTTCATTGCAGCCTTAAACCAAACCCTGGCATTGACGGCCCACTCGTCTGAAGCTGCAGTTTGTTAGACAGAGTTACATCCCTTGGACAGAAACCTGTGATTATGTGTCCAGATCCTGGCTTGTCAAATAGGGTAGGTTCCTGTGTTTGTCAGCAGTATACCCATACAGAGGACATACATCACTTGAGTCTATCCTCCAGCATGAAGTATCACTTGTTAAACTAACTCACTCACTCAAATTAGCTAAGTGTAGCCCAACTTCAAGCTCTCACCTTGATAAAACTGTAACACTGATCAAAGTGACCCGCGAAGATCTGGGTTTGAATTGATCTTCAGTAACCCATGCCTGTGATAAGAGGCAATTAACGGGATCTGGTGGTCAGGCTCGCTAACTTGGTTGACACATGTCATTGTATCCCAATTGCGTAGATCAATGCTCATGCTGTTCATCACTGGATTGTCTGATCCAGATTCGATTATTTACAGACCGCCACCATATTGCTGGAATATTGCTGATCTTGCAGCGTAAAATAAAACCTACTCACTATTCGGATGATACACATGTCCTGTACCAGTCACAGAGGGCTCAGTTGTGTAAGGTTGTCTCACAGAGAAGATTAGAGGTGTTTAAACTGCTCTATACACATGTCCTGTACCAGTCACAGAGGGCTCAGTTGTGTAAGGTTGTCTCACAGAGAACATTAGAGGTGTTTAAACTGCTCTATACACACGTCCTGTACCACTCACAGAGGGCTGAGTTGTGTAAGGTTGTCTCACAGAGAAGATTAGAGGTGTTTAAACTGCTCTATTCACACGTCCTGTACCAGTCACAGAGGGTGCTACTATTAGCTGTGCCGAATTATGTCCCTTTGGCTTGCCAGAATCCTATGATTGTGGGTTTGAATCCAAGATTTGCCCTGAAGTTTCTAGGCTGGTCTGCACCTTTTGGTTTCTCCAAATTAATACATTTCTAAGAAATCATCTCTTCAGCTTTCGTCCACCATCAAGATCATATGATATGTTATGGCTGAAATAGTGTTCATTGCAGCCTTAAACCAAACCCTGGCATGGACGGCCCACTCGTCTGAAGCTGCAGTTTGTTAGACAGAGTTACATCCCTTGGACAGAAACCTGTGATTATGTGTCCAGATCCTGGCTTGTCAAATAGGGTAGGTTCCTGTGTTTGTCAGCAGTATACCCATACAGAGGACATACATCACTTGAGTCTATCCTCCAGCATGAAGTATCACTTGTTAAACTAACTCACTCACTCAAATTAGCTAAGTGTAGCCCAACTTCAAGCTCTCTCACCTTGATAAAACTGTAACACTGATCAAAGTGACCCGCGAAGATCTGGGTTTGAATTGATCTTCAGTAACCCATGCCTGTGATAAGAGGCAATTAACGGGATCTGGTGGTCAGGCTCGCTAACTTGGTTGACACATGTCATTGTATCCCAATTGCGTAGATCAATGCTCATGCTGTTCATCACTGGATTGTCTGATCCAGATTCGATTATTTACAGACCGCCACCATATTGCTGGAATAGTGTGGCATAAAACTAAACTCACTCACTGTTCAAAGAGTTGTTACCCAACACACTTCCCCAAACTTCAGTCAAACCAGGAATACTTACTTCCAGAACATATCCACCCACCTTCCCTCTCCCCTAGCTTGTATTAACAAGCTCATCTGGTTCTCATCTCAGCTCAACTCTCTTTGTCTTTCTGCTGTAACAGGTGCTTTGGAATATTTTGTTATTATTTAAAACGAATTCTGAGTGCCATTAAACTTGTATATTTATTATCACGAGCGTTTGTGTTTTATATTGGTTATCATGGTAATATGGCTTGTCTGTTACCAACCAGAGACCATATCGGAACAAACTATATGAGGGACATTTCATGTCCTGAGCTCACAATAAACAATACGTATATTGCACTGGTATCCTTAAGGAACAGGTGTTGTCTCTTCTCTATTATAAAATAACTTGCAGCTGTAATCAAATTATGGTGTTGAAAGACAATGTGTTTTTTGTATTATGCTGCCAGATTAGATATTACTCAATTTTTTGAGTGGCATTTTAACTGGGAAGTAGAATATTGACAAACATTTTGGATGACAAGTTCTTTTATTTCGCGAGAAGGTTTCTATACAGACTAATGTTCCATTCCTGCTTGACAACTTTACAACAATCTGAATCCAAACGTCGCGAAGTAAAAGAGGTTGTTATAGATATTAGTCAGTCAGCCTTCGTTGGTACTGAAGGGACAACACAGAGGCTTAAAGTACATACGATATTCGATATAGAGACATGCATAACGAGAGACAACCTTCACCAGTGTACAGTAGCACATAAAGAAATTCACGCAATAATCACAGAGCATGTTTCAGTTTTATCTTCATTGTATTATGACATATACTCATGGAAACAAATAAGGGAACACATGAAAGTACAAATGTTCCTTTATTTCCAGAATTTCACCCACGGTGCAATACATACCTTGTGAAGAAATCTGGAAAAGAATAAAGGAACACTTGTACTTTCATGTGTTCCCTTATTCGATTCCATGGGTATATATTGATGATGAAGTCACAGTGCAACATACACAAATACTGTCGGATCACTATTGTAATAAGGTAGATGCAGCTCTCACTACAGTGCACCTTCTTGATACTCTGGAAGGAAACGCCATGCGTTTATTATTTTATCTTTGCACGTGGAATGTAATATTGCTCAATCTCAAGATACAAATCGAGCGAGGAATATCAGAATTGTGCCAAAGACACTCATACTTTCTATACAGTTACAAATTAATCATTTTTCAGTTAATGTCTAGATTATCTGATTGCCCCAACCTCGATTGGGTTTGAAATGGGTTTGTTTTCAAAGACCTAACGCAATGAATATACTTAAAAGATGTCTATACGAGTACACTATTGACACTCCTTAGCCAGGACGCAAACCTGATGCAACCAGGATCAGCATAACAGTGAGTGAGTTTAGTTTTACGCCGCGAGAAATGGGCTTCACACATTGATCAGCTTAACAGAAAACCAGGTATATACCTCAATTTATTGTCTCTTATTTCAAACAACGTATTCATGTGAAAACGAACTGTATTTTATTTATAAGTCTGAGGGATATTGGGTTCGAATAGGTCTCCACCAAATTATGCTACACCGTAAATGTGTTAAATAGAACAATGTTGTGTTATTGAAGTCATTGTTCTTGGGGGCTGGGGTTGGGGAGGAGTGTTGTTGGGTAGCCTGATGGTGTAAGTGTTCGTAAATGTTTACTGTTTACTCACTCATTGTTCATAGCCATATGTAGTTTTACCATTGACATGACACTGGACACAAGAGGATGACTACGATCACACACGCAATTGACTGGGACGGCTAATGTGTTATTGTGTGTAGCAGTCTCCATCAAAGTGTTAATGTGGGCGGTGCGGTAGCCTAGTGGTTAAAGCATTCGCTCGTCACGCCGAAGACCCAGGTTCGATTCCCAACATGGGCACAATGTGTGAAGCCCATTTCTGGTCTCCCCGCCGTGATATTGCTGGAATATTGCAAAAAGCGGCGTAAAACCCAACTCACTCACTCAAAGTATTAATGTTATTATACCTTTGTACGGCAGTGGGGTAGCCTAGTGGTTAAAGCGTTCGCTTGTCAAGTCGAACACCCGGGTTCGATTCCCCACACGGATATAATCTGTGAAGCCCCATTTCTTTTGTACCCCGCCGTGATATTGGTGCAACATTGCTAAATGCGGCGTAAACTTAAACTCATTCACTCGCTCATTCACTATTATACTGTACACCAGGTGATACACTCAACTAGCTTGCAAGTGACGAAACATCGCGAGAGCATCATCGTGAGTGACACCAGACATGGCTTTCGCACATAAGGAACCTAAGGAATCGAACCCAGGACCTCGGTTCGATTAGCGAACTACTACGCTACCGCCTTCGCCTCTTATATAAAGAACAATAGAGAAATAGGGCTCATGAGTTCAGTGCATGGGTTAAACATTAGACTTTTCAAAGGTATGACTAACAGAACCGAAACTGAACGAACGTTTCCTTTCGGATGACGTGATCACTTTCGGGTGTTCGCTTCCTGTGTTGGTATTTCAGTGCACCATCACCGCGTGCAATCTCCCTACAGGTATAGGATCATATTGATCACTTCGATTACCAATGGACCAACTGTGGATGCTGTTCGCGGCATTGTTCTTGATGCTAGATAAACAAGGTAAGATCCGGTCGCCACTCCCTAGAAGCGTATTAGTATTACAGTCTGAAAGGGTTATCATGTACGTAGAACATACTTCTATCAACGTTGGCTATTCTTTCATCTACATGTATGATATTTGTATGTACGTAGATGCTATTATACTATCTAGGTGTATCATCTTCTGTCGAATTTTCAACTTTGGTAACCATAATGTCGCCGGAAACCAGATATATACTTCCTTGTCTGTTTTAACTTTTGACTTACTTAATAATGACCCGTGTGGCAGGGAAATCACCCCCACTAAATGTCATTCTCATGTGATCAGGACAGAATCACAACGGTATGACCTGGTACTCTTTAGACTGAGTGAGTGAGTTGAGTCTTACGCCGCTCAGCAATATTCCAGCTATATGGCGGCGGTCTGTAAATTATCGAGTCTGGGCCAGACAATCCAGTGATCAACCTCATGACCATCGTTCTAAGCAGTTGGGATACGATGACATATGTCAACCAAGTCAGCGAGCCTGACCACCCGATCCCATTAGTCGCCTCTTACAACAAACATGGTTCACTGAAAACCACATCTAACCTGGATCGTCACTGGTTCTTTAGAGTGAAATTATCCTAGGATGAAATAACTCCCCTAAATTTCATTCTCCTGTGACCCTGTCCAGGATAAAATCAACAAGGAATGACCTGATACACTCTAGAGTGAAATTATCCTAGGATGAAGTCACTCTCCTCTCAGGATCAAACCCTTCCTTCTGAATGAATTCCCGTAGGATCAACTCACCCTGATTATTGTAGAATATCAAATCAACTCCTGATTGAAATACCTCAGACAATATACACTAGGGTGTTACCACTCTGAGTTTGGTTTTACGCCGCTTTTAGCAATATTCCAGCAACATCACGGCAACTCAAAAGGGCTTCACACATAGTACCAATGTGGGGATTCGAACCCGGGTCTTCGGCGTGACGAGCCAACGCTTTAACCACTAGGCTACCCCACCGCCCCCAACTGGATTGTGTGTGAGTGGTATAGATGTGAGTGATATTCACATGTTTACTAATTATAGTATCCTCATATGAAATACACTGGGTGTTTTTAAGTTGTGTTTTTATAATAATAATTATCTCAACCCCTAGTGAAATAATATTTACAAGTCACGTTTTGATCATTAATGTATTTTTCGGCAAATGCATATTCATCACATATCTATTCAGTTAATGTAAATGAAAGCAACAATCCTTGGAAATATATGAAAGATAACTCACCTATATGGCAATATTGCCGACGCAATATATAGAACTTGATAACCACTAATAAGCTTCTATATTGGACATATACTGACCAGCAATAAAAACGCAACTCAGAATTCATGAACATTATATGAGTTTGGATTTGATTAATGGAATAAATTGTTTTCATTTCTTGAATTGCATATACAATTTCATTCATGAGATGTAGGGAAAGAAACACATGCTCCAATATATTGCCATCAATCATCAACAAACCTATCAGGCTTACACAGCAGAATGTAATTTGCCGATCTGTACGATACATTCGTATATTGATTGGTATTTTACAGTATATTCATGTATTCGTAAAGGAATGACGAATCATTAGAGCGATGGACCTGACGTAAGAGGGATATGTCAGATGATGCACACTCAATATGCCATCACTAGTGAATAATCAGCTTCAAACACCTCCTGCAATAGATTCCTTAGGAAGAGAAAGAATTTATTCCTGCAGACAAAATGAATTTATTCCTGAAATCATGTTTAGTTGACGACACAAAAGGGGGTGTTTGGGAGAATTTACATTAATTCGCAAATAAAGTGTTTAAAATATTGGTTTAAATATCATCGACTCAGCCCGAAAATAACGTATAACATGCTCTTTCATCTTGATAGTATCGGTAAGGTTACTTGGGTATCGCATATAAGGACACTATTATTCTCACATGGATATGGGTTTGTATGGTTTAATCAATCTGTTTACGATCTATATCTATTTCTAAATGATTTTCATAAAGTAGCAATAAATATGTTCTATCAAGGTTGGCAATCCAACTTAGAAAACAGTTCACGTTATAATCTGTACAAAACGTTTAAAACTTTATTAGAGTCCGGAGAAATATTTTATTAGTTTTGAACAAATAGTAACTTAAGAAATATATATATTAAATACAGACTTGGCTTGTCAAAACTAATGATTAATTATGGACGGAATATATCACTTGAAAGAATACAAAGAATTTGTCCATTATGTAACTCTGCTATAGAAGACGAAATACATTTTACCTTTGAATGTCCTTATTGTGCAGAAATACGAACTAAATATATACCAGAACCTTTCTCATCTAAGTTGAGGAGAATAGGGTTTGTTTGTATTTTGCCATCGAATGATGCCGATGTAATATTTAGATTATCTCTCTTTGTAAAACATGGAATGGACCTAAGAAATAACTTGTTGAATGGGATTTCAGATATACCTTACTCTAAAACGTCCTCCTGATGTTATCCACATCTTTTCCATTGTATCTACTAATCGGTATATTCTCAACCAGTGTATTTATGTATTTTTTGTGTGTGTGGTTGAGACAATAAAACGCCCTTGTGTCTTTTTTGACTTTTGGTTGTGTTGTGATTGTGTGTGTGGTTGTGTTGTGTTTTGTGTATGTGTGTTTTGTTGTTGGGGTTCTGTCTGTCTGTCTGTCTGTCTGTGCGTGTGTGTGTGTGTTTAAAGTTTATCAAATGGCCATTGAAACACTCGGGATAACGGGTGAATATTACCACACCACACCACACACCACACCACACCACCACACCACACACACCACACACAACAACACAACACCACACAACACCACAACACCACACACAACACCACCACACAACACCCTCCTTTCTCACACCACACCACACCACACACCACACCACACCACACCACACACCACACCACACCATTGGTTCACACCACACAAAAGCTCAACCGCCGCTGTTCCAATATATAAATCCGCCGCTGTAACTATGCTACATATAAAATGATGTAAATGATGTTTGGCCAATCGGCTTGCTAAAACATACTCACAAAACCCATACCTGGAAATAGGAGCGAGAGAGTTATTCTTCAATGAAAACATACCTTGCACGTACGTGTGCCTGCGTTCTTCAGTGCGTGTGCTTGCGCGTGTGTCCGTATAGTTGGATGGAGTAAGATCTAATGTGCATAAAGGCGTTTTGACCAGCACAAGTATTCATTGCATATTTAGCTTGATAAATCACTGTATCAACGTATCAATGAATGTATACTGTTCATTTAAAGTATGTGTATCAGGGTTACAAATCTAGCAGTTAGCGTGAGTGTGTAATCCTACACTACACTACACTACAAGACACTACACTACACTATACAGGACACTACACTACACTACACTACACTACACTACACTACACCACACTACACTACGCTACACTACACTACACTACACTACACTACACTACACTACACTGCACACTACACATCCACTACACTACACTACACTACACTACACTCACAGACACTACACTACAAGACACTACACTACACTACACACTACACTACACTACACTACAGGACACTACACTACACTACACTCTACACCACACTACACTACACTACACTACACTACTACTCACACTACACTACACTACACTACACTCACACTACACACTACACCTCACTCACACTACACTACACTCACTACACTACACTACACTCACTACACTACACTACACTACTCACACTACACTACACTACACTACACTCACACTACACTACACTATAAAGACACTACACTACACACACTACACTACAATACACTACACTACACTACACTTACACTACACTACACTACACCTCACTACCTTACACTACACTACACTACACTCATACAGGACTACACACTACACTACACTACACTACACACTACACTACACTACACTACACTACACTACACTACACTACACTACACTACACTACACTACACCACACTACTCACACTACACTACACTACACTACACTACACTACACTACACCTCACTACACTACACTCACACACTACACCACACTACACTCACACTACACTACACACTACACTACACTACACTCACACTACACTACACTACACTACACTCACACTACACTACACTACACTACACACTACACTACACTACACTACACTACACTACACTACACTACACTACACTACACTACACTACACTACACTACACTACACTACACCTCACTACACTACACTACACTACACTACACTACACACTCACACTACACTACACTACACTACACCTACACTACACTACACTACACTACACCTACACTACACACTACACTACACTACACTACACTACACTACACTACACACTACACTACACACTACACCTCACTACACTACACTACACTACACTACACACATCTACACTACACACTACACTACACTACACTACACTCACTACACTACACTACACTACACTACACTACACTACACCACACTACACTACAATACACTACACTACACTACACTATACACTACACTACACACTACACTACACTACACCACACTACACTACACTACACAACACTACACTACACTACACTACACTACACCTCACTACACTACACTACACTACACTACACTACACTACACTACACTACACTACACCACACTACACTACACTACACTACACCACACAACACTCACTACACTACACTACACTACACTACACTACACCTCACTACACTACACTACACTACACCTCACTACACTACACTACACTACACCTACACTACACTACACTACACTACACTACACTACACTACACTACACAACACATACACTACACTACACTACACTACACTACACTACACTACACACATCCTTCAGTTCCTTACAAGACCACACAACAAAACACTACGCTACACTACACAATACTACACTGCACAACAAAACCCCTCACTACACTACACTACACTACACCTCACTACACTACACCACACTACACCACACTACACTACACTCATACAGGACACTGCACTACACTACACTACACTACACTATACTACACTACACTACACCTCATGACACTACACTACGCCTCACTACACTACACCTCACTACACTACACAACACTGCACTACACTACACTACACTACACTACACTCATCCTTCAGTTCCTTACAAGACCACACAACAAAACAGTACTTTACACTACACAATACTACACTGCACAACAAAACACTAAACTACACAACAAAACACTACACTACACTACACTACACTACACTCATCCTTCAGTTCCTTACAAGACCACACAACAAAACACTACACTACACAACACAACACTACGCTACACAACCAAACAAGACACTACACTACAAAATACCTCACTACACCACTCAGCATTCTGAATGTAGAAACTTGTTATGTAGATGATGTTATGCTTGCATTTTTATTTGGTGTTTGTCCAAACTACACTACACTACACCTCACTACACTACACTACACCTCACTACACTACACTACACTACACTACACTACACTACACCCTCACTACACTACAGTACACCACACTACACTACACTACACTACTCCTAACTACACTACACTACACCTCACTACACTACACTACACTACACTACACCACACTACACTACACTACACTACACCACACCACACCACACATACACTACACTACACTACACAACACCTCACTACACTACACTACACTACACTACACTACACCTCACTACACTACACTAGACCTCACTACACTACACCTCACTACACTACACTACACTACACTACACAACACTGCACTACACTACACTACACTACACTACACTACACTCATCCTTCAGTTCCTTACAAGACCACACAACAAAACACTACGCTACACAACAAAATACCTGACTAAACCACACAGCATTCTGGATGTAGAAACTTGTTATGTAGATGATGTTATGCTTGCATTTTTATTTGGTGTTTGTCCAAAAGAATGTATCATGGAAGTAGAAAGTAGAAAGTAATAATTAATGTAAGCCATTTCATAAGGAAATGGCGATACTTGCTGAAATACTTGTATGTCTATGAACATTCTTGACTATATCACAAATCCATCTTAATCATTTGACGTAAATATACTGTATACATTATCAATGCATATTGTAATCTTCATTCAAGTGGAGGAAATAACGAATATCTATCTATCTACACTACAAGTCACTACACTACACTACACTACACTACACTACACTACACTACACTACACTACACTACGCTACACTACACTACACCACACTACACCACACTACACTACTAGACACTGCACTCCACTCCGTTCCACCCCACTCCACTCCGCTCCACCCCACTCCACCGCACCGCACCGCACCGCACACCACACCACACCACACCACACCACACCACACCACACCACACCACACCACACCACACCACACCACACCACACCACACCACACCACACCACACCACACCACACCACACCACACCACACCACACCACACCACACCACACCACACCACACCACACCACACCACACCACACTACACTACACTACACTACACTACACTACACTACACTACACTACACCACACCACACCACACATATTTGGGGGGATGGGTGACAGCTTAGTGGCTAATTGAGTCGGTACACTCTCATACCTGCGTTTGCCTTTTGCAACAGCATCTGGTATTATCTTCGTTGCATCGGTTAAAGTTCTTCCTTGTAATCGTACCGTGAAGGTCCGGGCTAGAATGTACCTTCAGTAACCCATGCTTGTCGTAAGAGGCGACTAACGGGATCGGGTGGTCAGGCTCGCTGACTTGGTTGACACATGTCATCGGTTCCCAATTGCGCAAATCGATGCTCATGCTGTTGATCACTGGATTGTCTGGTCCAGACTCGATTATTTACATATAATATAGTCATCCCACAGATGACATCCTTACCTTGTCAGCTTGCTGACAGGGTTAACCTCATTGTTCATGTGGACAAGGCGTCCGACTTCGGAGTTGAAGGTCCGTGGTTCGAATCCCAGCACGGGACTCGGAACTTTTTGGCCCCAACACTTGCATACACCGATTTCGCAGATAGTGTTATACTTTGGTATTATGTTAAAGGATGTGGATAATGATTAACTATATCACGTTTCGTCTGAAAGTGTGACGATTTTGTAAACATTATTTATCATAGACCCTTCAGTGCAAACATACTTCTGCAAGGCACGCATATTTCTCGAGCAACATCATCTGTCGAGAAACTTTTCTTTCCATTTCGTTGCATAATGTATGCATACCTGCTGATATGTCAGCTTATGATTAACTGATTGTGTTTGTTCTGACCCGATCATTACCTCTCAGAATCTGTATTCGCGCTGGTAGAATGCACCATGTTTTCCTAAATGATATTTTTATCAACCTTTATTACACAAGTGTTATGAAAATGCCAAAACAAAGGGAAAGTTTCCATATTTCAGCCCAAACATTTTGCTGTTTCGTCAAATCGCATCATTGATACATGCTACTGTGCAGTAAATGAAACTCGCGGACCCTGTTCAAGTAACTATATTACATCAACATCAAGCAGTCTTACATAGATGCCTGCCTATCTCTAATAGGTTTCTGTTACTATGACTGCTGTTTCAGTATTGGCTGTCAGTCCATGTGAGGATACAGCTAACTGGGTGAGTTATTGTGGAGACAACGCAAGGACAATCTGCAGCTACCCTCTCAGTGCATCAAGCAATGCATACATCCACTGTAAGAAGACTTGCAAGATCTGCGAGTCAGGTAAGTCAGCCCTGGTTACTTACCATTAACACCTTTCTGGGAAAATGTTCACTATCACAATGAAAACAAGACTGTGTGCAGTCGATCATCCATCATCAGAAATATTATGGCTTTATGTCTATATAGATCATTACCAGCACAGGAGTATACAGTAATACGTTTTTCAAGTGATAAAAATTCAATATACTTTGACATGAATACACAATGTCAAATAGAAAGTGGTGAAGTGTAACACATGCTATATGGCAACATGAAGCCGCGCTGGCTGAGTGGGTTAGATGGCTGACTTTGTGTGCTCGCTATTAGATGCCTTGCTCTAAGGGTGTGGGCTTGAATCCCAGATGGTACTCAACTCAACAAAAGTACTAGAATCTATACACTACTGTGAAAGTGTAATCCCGAATATTACATGTGTTGGTGAAACATATATGTTTCATTAGGTTTTGTATCATTTAATTTACACACAAATTCATTCATAAGTGATCGATTGAAATGTTGTGAGCACAGAAGCGATTTTTGTCATTTTTCATATTCAAAAGTGTGGCAGCTAAACTATACTGGGAGATCACTTTTACTAGAGTCATAGAAAATCAGATCTTGGTGTACAAACAGTGCCATCCAGTGTCAAAGACTTCAGCTCGCATTGTCACAAAATGTAAGAAAATGCTACATCTTGTATTTGCAAAACACATTTTTGGTACACCCATAGACCTAGAGAACGACACACACACACACACACACACACACACACACACACACACACACACACACACACAAAATGTTACCTGCAAACTTTCAACCTGACATAGCTGTTATGTTACCAATGTCACCATTGTAACCATGGTGATATTCTGTTCTCATCATACAGGGGCAGTAATTTACATTCCTATCTATATTCTGGTAATACCTTCATGTGTATGTATTCCTGTTGTGTTCCAGTTACTTTGTATTCATACATTTACTGCCACAATAGCCATGAATCACGATTATGTAGGTGTTGTTACTTTTACATTTGCCCTGCAATAATGTCAGAGGTTCTAACTTTTCAGCGATAGATCTATTCCTAATATTATATACTGTATATGTTTGGGGTGTTTCTCAGCAAAAAATCAATGTCCTGGAATGAATATTGAAAGCAGATGGTTTTGTTGTACTTGGCTACATCATTTATGGATATGTTATATGTCCACACATATCTATACTAGACAAAAATAATTAGGGATATATGTACTTTTGAAATTCTGAATAATGATTTATTCATTGACACACTGATAAAATATAAATCATAAAAATACCAATATCCCTAACTTATTTTGTCCAGTATATGTATGTGCCCTCAGCAGAACTATTTGTCTCTGTGATTTCATTGGGGGGACACCTATGGGCCAATCATCCAAGGCATCAAGGCATCCCCGTCATTAAGCTAGATTACAAAACTCACATCCTGTTATTGAAATGTGCTCCCACTGTTAAGGCATTGGAGTGAGAAGTGTTTCCTGAATGTGCACAAACCAGTAGTGAATTGAGCAAAAATCTTTGTTTGAACTAGTTACAGATCATGGTTATAGTATGAAGTGGAGCAAGAGGCAAGAATTATCGTTTATTGTTATATTCTGAGTAAGGATGAATAATCCATGAAAGTAAAGGGGTCTAATAGGAAAGGTATGACATTTTATGAATGACAAGATCTTTATTATTTCAGCATCATAATATAATAAAATGTTGTCATACCTTTCTTATTATTCATCAACTTCTAAAATACCAATCAAGCAGATCATAAATGGGTCTCCCTGCATATAAAAGCTGATTGTGCTGCAGGTAGTGTTAGATTATTTTATTTGTGGATGCTATATGTGAATTGTCAAGTTACATTTATATATCTTGTGCGTCCCCAGACACAGCGTGTGGTGATGGCTACTATGGTCCAGAGTGTAAGCCCTGTGTATCTCGCTGTGACAACAATGGCCAGTGTGAGGACAAGAAGCCCACTGAGTGTCCACAGACCTGTCTAGATGGTAACTATGGCTTCAACTGTAGCCAGAGATGCCCCAACAGTAACTGTGTCATGTGCAATCGCTGGTCTGGACAGTGTGAGGCGTGTAAAGATGGACTCTATGGTAGGAAATGCCTCAAGAGATGCTCAGAACATTGTATGGACAAAACTTGTGACATAGATAGTGGAGAATGTCTTGATGGATGTGAACCTATGTGGGTGGGTGATAAATGTGATGTTAAAGAAATAATCTGTGAGAACTGCTATCTTCATAGCTGTACCGATGACAAGACATGTCTGTCTGGTTGTAAAAGTACATGGTATGGCCCCAAGTGTGACCAACAGTGCACAAAGTGTAGAAAGAAAAATTGTACCAGTTCTGGTGTCTGTCAAGCTGGATGTACAAGTGGCTTCTATGGGAACACATGCACTGATAGCTGTAGTGAGTTTTGTGACAAGAAACGATGTAATCAGACTGGCTATTGTAGCAACTGTGTGTCAGGAAAACATGGAGAAGACTGCACCACTGCCTGTAGCCCTAACTGTGAGGGTTCCTGCTACAGAGGTAGTGGTAAATGTAGGGCCTGTTCTGTTGGATGGTATGGACGGTTTTGTAGTAAGTCCTGCAACAACTGTCTGAATGGCTGTGAGAGAAAAGGGAGTTGTAAAGACGGTTGCAAGCTAGGCTGGTATGGGGACAAGTGTACCAAATCTTGCGCCAACTGTTTTAACGGTTCCTGTGAACAAGCATCAGGACACTGTGAAAGAGGCTGTAAACCAGGATATCATGGTGCTAAGTGTGACAAGCTCTGTAATACACATTGTAGGGACAGTGTATGTGACCAGACATCTGGACTCTGCAGTGACTGCGAGGACACATGGTATGGAACTAACTGCACCAAGGAATGTAGTTCTAACTGCAGCAACAGTCATTGTGTGATGGACTCAACTGGATCTCCTGAATGTACTGATGGGTGTGTTGATGGGAAGAAGGGATCTTACTGTCAGAAGCAATGCCCAGATCACTGCTATAACTGCACAGATGATTCCTGTATTGTGTGCGAGGAGAGTTTCCATGGCGATGATTGCAGAAAGATCTGTCCAGCTAAGTGTGAACATGGCTGTCAGAAGGACACAGGATTGTGTACATCATGTCAAGTTGGTTTTTATGGCCCCCAGTGTCAGTCGTCCTGTGGGTACAGGTGCAAGGCATTTGACTCCGGGGATCAGTTCTGTAACTTCAGAGATGGAGCTTGCCTCAATGGCTGTAGTGACACCAGTATATGGGAGCAGTTGTGATCAGAATTGTAGTAATACCTGTAGAGATCAGACTTGTAACGACAAAGATGGAACCTGTACAAATGGATGTGTGGATGGCTGGAAAGGTCCGAAATGCAAAACTGCATGTCCAACTAATTGCAAGTCATGTACCGAAACCACCTGCACTGAGTGCAAACCAAGCTGGTTTGGTGACAGATGTCGGAGAGAATGTCCAAACTGTGCAGAGGGGAACTGCAAGCAAAAATCAGGAGTTTGTGTGGAAGGATGTCTACCAGGATTCCGTGGTTCCAAGTGTGATGACAAGTGTCCCACAGACTGTAAACCACGTGAAGGTATAGACAACTATGTGTATTGTGACCAGAATACTGGCAGATGTCTAGATGGGTGCACAGCTGGACATTATGGTGACCTATGTTACCGAAACTGCAGTAAAACATGTAATGGTCATATCTGTGAGCAGAACTCAGGAAGATGCAACTATGGGTGTCAGAAAGGTAGACATGGGAACTTCTGTGACCGGAACTGTAGTTTAAATTGTAGAGAATCAAATGACAGACAGTGTATTCAGGTTGATGGTTCCTGTAATTTAGGCTGTCTGAAAGGCTGGTATGGATCCCACTGCACCAAAACCTGCTCAGATGGATGTTATGAAGGAGACTGTGACCAGAGCTCAGGGCTGTGTGTGCAAGGTTGTGAGAAGGGCTTCATGGGTGGCACATGTGACACAGGTAATTATAACATACACTTTGTTTGCAAATATAGTTTGTAACTGTTGTTTTTGTCCAAAGATCGTTTTAGGATTTCAAGTGTAATATCATTGTCAAACCACTCACCCTTCAGTTATGGTTGAAAATGTAAAACTTTGAGGTTGGGGACAAGCCCTCTGGCATTAACATCTTCATTCAAGTGTGTTTATGGTCTCTATTTTGCATGGAGTAATGTGTGATATGGTCTAACTAACTTTATAACCTTATAAAAGCAAGAAATACCATGACGAATAAGAAAACTTTGGGATGCCTAATGCTGAATCGGTACAATTTTATAACACAAATTTCATGACAACAGGCAAGAAAGATCAAGTACAGCATTCATAAAAGCTGATGTCTAACATGTTAGATTGAACACCGTTTCATCACCGCCCTGGTGGTTCAGTGGGAAAACAGATAGTTTAGCAAGAAACCGGAAGAAGCTTTCCAAGAACATACTTTATCAAAGTGGCGTAATATATCCTGGAAACTGAAATATAGCCGATTGTTGTTGATGATGCTGTTGCTGTTGTTGTTGTGATGATGATCAACATCATAATCAGCATTGCTCCTCTGTTACTCAGTCTCATCTGTTTCTAGCATGTCCGTATGGTCGCTATGGCTACAACTGCAGTGGGACATGTGGTTATTGTAGAGGCAATCCATCCTGTGACAGTATCCATGGCAACTGTTCTATGGGATGTGCGGATGGTTATGGAGGCAGCTTCTGCTCTGACAGAAGTGGGTATTCATTTACATTTGTCTGATCGATATTAATGTTCACTTAACAGGACATATTTAATTGCTAACAGTGTTTTAGCATGTAAAGCATTGGACCCTCACTCAAGATGCACCCGTGAAGGTCCGGGTTAGTATGAACCTTCAGTAACCCATGCTTGTCGTAAGATGCGACTAACGGGATCGGGTGGTCAGGCTCGCTGGCTTGGTTGACACATGTCATCGGTTCCCATTCCGCAGATCGATACTCATGCTGTTGATCACTGGTCCAGACTCGATTATTTACAGACCGCCGCCATATAGCTGAAATATTGCTGAGTTCGGCGTAAAACTAAACTCACTCACTCACTCACTCACTCACTCTCTCAAGATTCGAAAGCCTTCGTGTCCTTAGGATTTGTATTTCACAAAGTTGTAACGCTGTATTGTGTGGAAAACGGTGAAAGTGTCCCTAAGATGAAATTGTTTGGAGATTTTCAGTGAGTATTAACATCATGATACCATGATTAGGACTGAATATGGTAAACATAGCAATAACTTTAATATCAATGAATGATTTATAGTATGTAAAGAACCCATGCATGCATTAACTGTAAATATAAGATTTTCTCTGCCAACATGCTTTGTCCCCACAAACATAATTAACTCAGTTGTAGTAAGTAAACATTTCTAGAAGTATTATTTTAATCACTGTTATCGAACATGTTGGTAAAATTCAGTTTCATCTGTTTCAGTGATAATCGCTCCATCACCTGGTCCAAAAAGTGCTGGACCAGATGCCCTGACCATCATCCTGGCCGTTGTGGCCATCTTGCTGGTAGCAGTCCTCCTCGTTATAGCTTTCTTAGTCTACAAAAGGTGAAGTATCTTTTGAGGACTTCAAAATAACAATGTCCACTGTAAGATTGGAATTATTGGCAGTTTTTCTGAGTCTGAAAAAGCTGAGGTCTGTCAACACTTGAAATTGTCAGTAATGACTAAATGAATTGGTTCTGTGATATTACATGTATATATTGATGGTGAATACTGTACGGCATTGTTAACTCATGAAGCAAAGGCATTTTTTCACAAATGAAAGTCTATTGTACGACTCTGACTATGGAAAGTCTGTGTTCTTGAATCACTATCCAATAGTGAAGATGATATTTGTGACGTCAAGTGTTCACATGAGTGATTGAGTATGGACTTACGCCACTTTTAGCAATATTCCTGCAATATCGGGGGACACCAGAAATGGGCTTCACAGATTGTACTCATGTGGGGAATCGAACCCGGGTAATCAGCGTGACGAGAGAACGCTTTAATCACTAACCCCACCACCCCAGCCCCACCCCCACCACCCCACACACACACACACACCATGGGTTTGCATATGAAAACCCTGAAAACACAGGAACATTGGTGAAAGAAAAGTATATTCTAACATTGTTCAGAATTGTTTGAAATTTATATGGTTATATGCTTTCTAATGGCGACATACTTACAGTGTTACAACAAATGGACGTGTAACATATATCATACTTGGGATTACACTTTCCTAGTAAAGTACGAATTCTAGTACTGTTTAGGGTTGAGTCCTATCCTGGATTCGAACCCACCCCCTTAGAGTCAGGCACCAAATCGCCAGCACACAAAGTTTAAGTCACGGTGGCTGAGCGAGTTAGGCGGCTGACTTTGTGTGCTTTGACCACTTTCTAAATAGCATTGTGTATTCATAACAAATGGACGTATTTTTGCGATGGTAATAATGCATGATCTATTTTGTGTTCTACGTTAAAGAAAAATGAAAGGGACATTGAGACGGTTTGTCACAGCTTCTGAGAGGGATGAAGACGGATACGAGATGATATCTGGTTACCCTAGTGCGGGTACCATTTCTGATTATCAAGAAGGTTGTATATACGCGTGCACAGCTTCAAATATTGAATTAGATATTGATAATATCTCTTTCCAGTTCAGCTTCTTTCTTGTTTTAATACAATTCATATAATTGTGAAAACAGATTGATAAACTTAAAGATAGAAATTGAATACCTTGAAAACAATTATGAAAATGTTGTCTTTAGGTTTGAAAGTCTTCATAGGATATCTGCTGCCGCCATTGTTCATAATATATGAAACCATCATGGTGGTAGTGTTCAGGTCAGTCTCCTTCTTCCTATAGTTTCTCCCTGGATACCAGCACGAGGTGAACATGACAGAACAGAACACCATGATGGAATCACACACAGAGATGGAGATGAGACCACGGACAGGGAATACTACAACGTTCCTTTGGTAACCAGGGTGATGACAAGTACTCTCCTGTACCATGTCAAGCAGCTTAGAAAGCATGGCGGTTTTCAGAAACAGTTCAACGTGAGTAAAAGTCAATATCATGTATTGTGTAGGTTTCTCAGCTGGTGAAGCCAACGGATAAAAACGGTATTCGTTTGGGTTCATATGCAGATAAAGATGCAAATATGAAAGGTCAAGTAGGGACTACTTTCAGACTTTGCAAGCAAACATGGCGTCCCGCTTCTTAACCGGAGACCGAGTCAGAATTAACCATCTGGAATAAGGAGGCACTACAGGGATAATTGATATGTTTATCAAACCAATAGTCTAGGATACTAAAATTCAGTCTCTGACTGGGACATGGCTGAGTATTTTACAAATTTAGTTCACTTTGAGGATAGACATTGCGAACCCATTAACCGAGGACACAAGTGAACTATGTTTGAGGACCTCTACGACTACGACCTTATAATCGATTTAAAACAGCTGCAGATATGTGTTGCCTTGATTCATTTTGTCGCTTTATGTACCTGTCATACTCGTAACGTTATTGCAGACTATAAACAAACGTCACGTCTTATAGACTATGTTATATGTAAGAGTATCTTCCCTTGAATCGGATATAGAGAATCTCACCCAAGTGTCTTCTGATATTATATCAACACGAGTTGATAAAGTTACAAATATCCGAGGCTTGCCGAGGATATTTTTACTTTTATCAACGAGTGTTGATATATTTGATATCAGAAGACACGAGGGTGAGATTCTATTTATCATCCAAAATCACTCTTTATTAATTTTCAATGAAAAATGTACATCTCTGAACATGGTACTGCCATTAGACTTGCAGTGCATCGATGTCGTAGTATTGTGACGTCATCAAGTACATGACGCCATAGCATTGTCAGGGCATTGTACAAAATCTACTGTCACAACGATATCTCCTAGGAGATATCGTTTGATCTCACACAAGCGATATCTCCTGTGGAACACAGTTTTGGATGATAAATTTACTTTCCCAAAACACATAAGCGTGATAACCCATATTTCTTCATATAAGATGGGGTTTTTGTATTTGGGATTAATGCCATGTGGATTCACATCACGCCTTGATCCATGTGGCAATTGTCACTAAACGTGGTGACCGTAGATACAGACACGATCGCGCGCTTGCGTGTGTGTGTGTGTGCGTGCGTGCGTGCGCGCTTGCGTGTGTGTTATCTAGACAAGACAGTGCGTGCTTAGGCGCTTGCGTGATTGTGTTATCTAGACAAGACCCAGTTTGAGCTACAAATTAAACTTGTCGTAAAAGGCGACTTTCAGGTGTATCAGGTAATGGATTTGTTCAGGAATGGTCAGGTGATTAAATCATTCCATTGGTTTTCTCATCATCTCATCAGTTCATACTCACCCCAAGCATTAAGATTCAGAATAAAGTGGTTCAACTGAATTGTTCTTTTAGAAATTGCCGTCGGGTTTATTACATGATTGCTATGCTGCTATGGAGAAGGAGAACAGACTAAAGAACATTTACAACGACGTGTTTGCATGTAAGTACTCGAGGTGTCGTGAGAGGTGTCGTATAAAGTGGCCATGATCTCCGTCCGGGATTACACGGTGATTATATGGATTAGTTGAGGGGCGCATTTCAAGTTTTATTAACTGAATATAAAATTTAATTATGTTGAAAGTTACTGACCCAGTTTCAGTGGAAAGCTTCCTTGTATGCAAGGGTGATAACTGTGTATCAACTATACACTATATATTTGATTGTATTAATGTGGGACACACACGGCTAGACATGCTGTCATCCATGTTATGACTTTAAAAATGCACATAGCCCGTATGCCTCTTACATTCTCTGCCGAGATATTCTTTCATGAATCTTCGAACCCACCATGTATATTTATTTATATTCTCCCCTGATTGTACTGTATTGCATCGAGCATGCACAAGTGCGTTGATACAGGTGCAGTATAAATGTCCATTATTATGTTTTACAGATTAAGATGGAAAAAAACCCCGAAAACAAAACAAGCAAAACAGCATAATAATGGCCATTTATAATGCACCTACATTATTACTATTACTTATTATCATTTTTATGTCATTATTTTCAGACGACCAGACGCGTGTAGTTCTTGAGCTGAACGAAGACCACTCTCCCTCAGATTATATCAACGCTAGTTTTGTTAGTGTGAGTGTAGAGAGCACGTAGCACACACGATGTACAAGAGCATTTTCCGAAGCCAGTGTTTTGTACACATTCACTCGACAAAAGATAAATAGCAAATAAACACTGTTTAGTGTTGATTCCCAAGTTGAAACTATAAAGTTAACTGGGAATTAGCTCGTAAAAGACCAGCAAACAACATAGAAATATGATGTTATTAACAATTGTATTCTAAAATTAACTAAGTAAAGTTCACACATCAATACAGGGTTCGTTGTTTGGTTGGTTGGTTGGTTGGTTGGTTGTTTAACGCCGCACTCCAGCAATATTCCAGCTATGGCGACGGTCTGTAAATAATCGAGTCTGGACCAGACAATCCAGTGATCAACAGTATGAGCATCGATCTACGCAACTGGGATACGTGACATGTGTCGAGCAAGTCAGCGTTCCTGACCACCCGATCCCGTTAGTCGCCTTTTAGCATGTAATCCAACTTGCAAAATAGGCCTTACAGGGTGATTATCACACACATAGTAGTAGTGTGAGGTGAGAGGCAAGAGTTAACTCCCCTTAAATACCTAATCACAAAGTACCACATCTTTTCATACTGTTCTCTGCGTAAGGGGAGATGCCAAAAGGGTTGTAGTACATTCTAGAACTCTGTGTAAATGTATCGTAACGTATCAACGTATTTGGGTACGATGGACGCAGTGTACAGCTCAGGTTCTATTACTTTACTCCATCAACTATACGTTCGTGGAAGGGCGGTGGGGTGATATTGCTGGAATATTGCTAAATGCGGCGTAAAACCATACTCACTCACTATATGTTCGTGTATACATGACACGTTTTATGCATAACAACCTTTTTATTCTTTATACGACGTTTCAGAGCTAATTCTTGCTCCTTCATCAGTACACTTGTCATATATATATTTTACCCATGTGGGAAACATAACCTGGGTCTCCGGAGGAGATGAAGAAGCAAGAATTAGCTCTGAAACGTCGTGTAAAGAATAAGAAAGAAGTCGTTATCCATAAAACGTGTCATGTATTCATGTTCGTCTAACTTCTAAATGCCTTTCAAAAACTTTATATGTCCGTGGTTGTCTTACAGGGCGTTGACGCTCCAAACAAGTTTGTTGCATCTCAAGGTAATTATCAAATTATTAAATATCAAATTTGTTTACGATAATTATGTGCGTATGACAAACTGTGTATTTACTGAAATATTTACTTTTTAGGTCCTATGAATAGAACCGTCGGTGATTTCTGGTTGATGATTTTCCAACTTCGTACCAGCATGCAAAATTGAGTAAGGCATGCTATTTGAACAATACTGTATTTCAAAAGGAAGGTGGAATTAAGTAAGGCACTCTATTTACTCTTAAAGTATATAATATTTCTGTATTTTCAAATATCTTGGGAAGGTGGATGATAAAATATTGCCCCTTCATTGACGTACTTAAAGTATATTAAGCTTTTAAACCAGGATGTGTTAATTTTGTACCTGCCATTAAAGAGTACAAGTAAATCTGAACGCCTAATCTAAGAGCAACTTCAACCTACACTGAATGCACGATCGTTTGGTTATTGAAGAAATGAATGTTAGAGGTGGTAGTGATGGTGATGATGATGATGATGATGATGATGATGATGATGATGATGATGATGATGATAGGGCAAGGGTGTGAGGTACTGGCCAGAGCATGGTTCCGGGGCAGATCGTCATGGCAATATAGAGATTGAGTGTTCATCAGAAGAGGCCCTGGTGCATTGCACAATGAGGACATTCAAGATGTGTAAAATACTTCAGGTACCTATCACATTATTGTAAGTTTAACACAATGATCTCCCAACCTAAAGTCAGTCTTCTCTGTAATGGTTAACAAAATGTCTACCCTATGCATTTTATTGTTTAACATCTACTTAAAGTTGTTTCGTCTTTGTCTATTTTTCAGTGTGGGTCAAAAGCCTCTCGAACCAGGATAGTTAAACACTTTCAGTTCGCGTTCTGGCCCGACAGAGGGATCCCTACCGATGTGGCTTCTCTGGTGGAGTTCTACTTCAAGGTCAGGAACACACCGACACACGGACAGGGGCCCATGGTTGTGCACTGCAGGTTTGTCGCATCGCAAAGGAGGAGAGGATGGAGTTTCGACTTAAGCTGGACAGACGCAGTTTGGGTTTCAATATTGACTTTAGTAGCAGTTTCAGTAGTGATTCTGATCAGTACAACAGGTCATCGATAAGAAAAGAATTCATACTTTTAGGGATCATTTCTATAGTATTCATCGCCATGACTTCCGGTAAAACTGACAGTCTACCAAAGTTTCACGCGCTTATACTCGGAACTAATAGTGTAGACGTAGTGTAGAAGTAGATTTCGAATCACGAATAGATAGGTGATCCGGAATATATCGCCCTTGACTGACGTGTAGTTTCTGAATATACATAATTTTGATAGAAGCAAATCGTTCCTTTTAAATTGAAAAGGACCTCCAGTAAGATGAGAGATTGAAAACTTCAGGAAATCTTGCCTTGTTTCATTTAGGGCTTCAGCATTGCAGAAAAGGCTTGGCGGAAGGGATACACTGTGGTCCAAGCACTGAGAGACTGACTTATATCGCATCTGTTTCACATTGTCTTAATAGTGAATCATCAATAGGAGCATTAATTGTCTAGGTTTCAGAACCGGGGTAATTTGGCTGTTGTGGTATCATTGTGTATCATGTGCATGTGTCATTGGCTCGAGAAGTCACGCGTAAAGATATCACTGGGTTGCAGTGATGGCGTGGGGAGAACAGGAACCTTCCTTGCACTATGGAACCTGATAGACGAGGCCAAGACATCAGACACAGTGGATCCCTACAGCTGTATCAAGAGGATGAGGCATGAGAGAGTCAACATGGTGCAGACACTGGTGAGGTTTGAGTTATCGATGTCTGGCAAAGCAATTGAAGACCATTAATGGTTATACATGTGTAATAAACATTGCCATAGTACTTGTAGCAAATCGACAAAAGAAGAAAAGCAATACCTGAATGTGTCGGCGTGTGCAGCATTCGTTACGGTCATGAGCTGAGTTGCATGAGGCTGATATTGGTTAGAAAAATGGTTCTCTGGTCATGTGCCAGTTAATGGAATGTTTATTTCTTATACACTGCTGTAAGTGAGTGAGTGAGTGAGTTTAGTTTTACGCCGCACTCAGCAAAATCCCAGCTATATGGCGACGGTCTGTAAATAATTGAGTCTGGACCGGACAATTCAGTGATCAGCAGCATGAGCATCGATCTGCGCAATTGGGAACCGATGATATGTGTCAACCAAGTCAGCGAGCCTGGCCATCCGATCCCGTTAGTCGCCTCTTACGACAAGCATGGGTTACTGAAGATCAATATTCTAACCCGGCCCTTTAAGGGCACGCTGCTGTAAGACTTGTACCAAGTGACAAGTGTACCGCCGAATAATCTTATGATCATGTGAAAAAAGGAGATGTGTTCATTGCGCTGTGTCCATTACAGGAACAATACGAGTTCCTATACATTGCTGTAAGACTTGTACAAAGCAACATATTTACCTCCAAGTAATCTGTCATTGTTCATAACAGGAACTTCCACAATCAGTTAATGGGACATTTATTTCCTATCATTGTTCATGTTTACAGGAACATAACAGGAACAATACGAGTTCCTCCACAATGCGCTCAGTTAATGGGACATTTATTTCCTATACATTGCTGTAAGACTTGTACAAAGCAACATGTTTACCTCCAAGTAATCTTTATAATCATTGTTCATTACAGGAACAATACGAGTTCCTCCACAATGCGCTCATTGAGGCCCTGATGGCTGGGGGAACAACCGTCTCCACATCAGACTTTAAAACCAGTTATGACAACCTCCTACAGGACAACCCAGAAACAGGCGTCTCCAGGCTCAAAGAACAGTTTGAGGTGAGTATGTGTCAGATAGATGCTTGATGTGCTCATTTCCTGTATGGCGAAGCGAACAAACAGCTTGTATGTCCTTGCTTCAGCACCTCCTTCACAGGATCTCTGAACTGACGTAGAAGTCGGAGTAGGTGAAACTCTGTGAAAATAAGGTAGAAAACGAAGATGGACGAATGCAAAAATATTTTTGTGGATAAAGGTCTATTTGAATAAAACCGTTGTAGAAAACTTATAGATATTGAAATAGTAATTATATATGCCTTGCATTTTCGAGGTTTGTCTATTAAGATATGTTCTATTACGCAGAATTTGCAGTTGATGAAGCCTCCATATAGACTGAGAGATTACCGAACAGCTTTGCTGCCCGAAAATGCCTCCAAGAACCGGTTCATGGACATTCTAGCGTGTAAGAGGGTGATATTTGATACATTTCATTCAAGGCATATTAACCAGTAAAGTCTTTTCTTATATATACTGGCGGAAACATAGTGACTGTCCTGTATATATAAAGGGGTGTAAATATCTTGTTATAGAAAATAACAACTCAATATTTGGTCCTTTGTCAGATCAATGTTCTATCAGAGCAACTTAATTATACAATACTTGATACCAGGAGATGGAGCGACTCGCCCTAATAGAAGAACGGTGTCAATGTCGAGTATGACCACCATATGCGTTGATTAAAGCGAGGAAATAGCGATTCACTGAATATATACTCTCCCAAAAAAGAAACGCATCATGAAAATAGCAATTTCATGTAGCAATGAATTAAAACGTGATACATTTTACAAAAGGTTTTGCTCTGTTTATGAGTCCTATCGTGTTTATGTTTTGAAACATCACAACAAAACGCACCATCCGTAAAATACCCGTATTTAACAACATGATTTTCAATTTCGGCGTGTACTGTCACAGAATACACAATTCACATGCAATGCACATGAAAGTTGGGGATCAGATAGTTTCAAAATAAACATAAAAATACAGTTGAAATCCCTATATGCGTTTCTTTTTTGGGGAGAGTATATTATATCATCAAAAACAACATGTCAACCAACGGAGCACGTGTTGCTGGTCGATTACTGGTACTTTCCTATGTGTCGTTCCGTCTCATTCCAATCTTATTTTATTAGCAAGAGGCCGACCATGGCAGTACAGAAATATTTTAATTATGCTACACATACACACACACAACTTATGGCGAGAAATATTCTGGCGCATCGTGACTATTAGTCTCTGAATTGCACAAAAGATGGAACGTGATCAAGAACTATATCGTTTCGGTAGCGTAAGCCATTCAAACTGGCATTAACAATAATGTGTTATCGGAATAGTTCCTGAATCTGATGCCACTTGGTGTGATTGTACCTCCACATCCAAGCTGACGATGTTGAGTGAGTGAGTGAGTGGGCGAGTTTAGTTTTACGCCACACTCAGCAATATTCCAGCTATATGGTGGCGGTCTGTAAATAATGGAGTCTGGACCAGACAATCCAGAGATCAACATCATGAGCATCGATCTACGCAATTGGGAACCGATTACATGTGTCAACCAAGTCAGCGAGCCTGACCACCCGATCCCGTTAGTTGATTATTAAAGCAACTCGTGTATGAGTATGAAGCTCCCAACAAACGCACAAACACCAATATTACTGTGCACCCAGCAAATTGTTAATCACGACCTTGTAAATTACCTTTTAAAATGTATTGAAATTTCATATATTTCGTTAACGCTTACATGAAGCTCAGTTACGTATTTTCTTCAGGAAGCAATCATATTTCAGATTTACGTGGGTTTTTGTTGTTGTTTTTGTCTTAGTGTTACATTTTTGTAGAAGTGTAAATTTGTGCCTTAAATAGGCGACAGTCATCGACCAGTCCTGTCGAGCAGTACACTGGACGGGACAGATTATATCAACGCCGTCTACCTGCCGGTAGGTTACATGCTACAGTACTAGGATCTCGAGTGAGTGAGTGAATGCATCTTGGTTCGAGGCCATTTAATGCTCAGTAATATATTGATTTAACTTTTAAGTTTCAACATTTTTCTTAATTTCAAATGTCTGTCCCGGTTCAGGGCAGTAGGTAGTTCATTTTTCGAAATTCCAACTTAACTTAACAAGATAACTTGATAAGAATATTGAGTATGCCGTCTGTATTTTTCAACATTCTGAGACATTCATAATTTTAATGGAAAATGAATATTATAAATAATGTGTTTGACACCTGGTGTCATCACAGACTTCAATGATCCATTCATATAATCTTCACCGAAATTTGGTCTTTTACACCCAATGGAATCTGAATCCGATAATCGACATTGGTTATTCCCTGTAGCAGACGCTGTAGCTTATACTATAGTTTGGCATGAAATGCATGTGGACCCGGTTTTAGTAAATATCTCTTCATCCAATGACCCAATCGATCTCAAACTGTGCAAGTGGATGTTTTGTCAGACAACCTAATCACATTGTAAATCACCGATTTTATGCATTTGTATTAAAGAATCTGTCTATGTAACTGTCAACAAAATAAACAGCAGAACGCAGACGGCTTGCAGAGGGAGGGAGCCAATGACCTGTAACAGTGTTGGGTCAGTGTTGGGTCATAAAGGTCAACGTTCGTCAATGTAGGTCAGCTATGCACGTGACAGGTATGAAGAGGTGTTCATTTCTAGCAAATAGCCGGCGAATGACATCTCTGATGACCCTGATGTCAAAAGAATCTAACTTTGGATGCCTACCTTTTTGTACAAGGATTTGTTTATTGGTTGTTGGTTTATTTTTCACAATTTTTAGCACGATGTTCTTTTTCATGCCAAGAGCAAAAGTTGTACGTTTCATGTAATCCGACACCTTATAAATCGGTTTGCTACGTTTGCTCTCTTTTTAAAAAAAATTCAACACATTTCTAATTAAACGTTTAGCATCATCTGAATAAGCTTTCATGATGACAGCTATACTAGCCCCATAAAGAAACTGTGCATTGTCAAAATATTATCCCAGTTGATAAGTACGATAACAATGTCAAAGGTACATATAAACTTTAGTGGAGGGATCATGAGACCATAACTAGTCGGGAGAATTTCAATTGAAACGTCAATCACAATGACGCCACGAGTCCACAAGCGGGACAGGGGTCAAACGGCCATGTCACAAGCTCAATAACGGGTATGTCCACCATCGGCATTGAGAACAGCAGTGCATCGACGACGCATAGAGCCTATCAAACGTGCAAGGAAGGCTTGTGGGATGTCACGCCAGATTCTCTCAAGTTCTGTTGCAAGGTCAAGGACGTTATCTGTCGGATGAGGAAGACGGCGTAGACGTCGATCCATCTCGTCCCAAACATGCTCTATCGGGGAGAGATCCGGTGAATTTGCAGGCCAAGGCAGTAAGTCAACGTTGTGGTGTTGCAAGAAATCCATAGCAACCCTTGCCGTATGTATGAGGGCGGGCATTGTCCTGTTGGAATGTTAACCCAGGGCCATGACGTTGCAGAAAAGGAATTGCCACAGGTCGAAGAATCTGATCCCTGTAGCCCACACCAGTTAAGTTGCCCTGAACAATCACCAAAGGAGTTCTTTGGCGTGCTGATATTCCACCCCAAATCATCACGGAACCACCACCAAAGCGATTCCTCTCCAAGACACAGGCCTGTGCATAACGTTCTCCCACGCGTCTATAGGCACGTTGACGTCCATCACTATGGGAAATGTTAAACCTGGACTCATCTGTAAAAACAACATTTCTCCACCAAAACAAAGGGTCTCGGCACCACATTCGGCGAGCTTGTCGATGACGTTGTGTCAGGATAGGCCGTATGGCGGGACGTCTTGGTCTGATCCCGTGATGACGTAAACGTTGTCGAACTGTGTTGGGATGGATACGGCGAAGTCCTGGGATGGTTCGGGCAGTCATCACTGCAGTCTGACACCTGTGGCGCAGATGGGTCACCCTTATCCATCTGTCCTGTCTTGCGTTGTTACACGTGGACGTCCAGAACGTGGCCGATCGATGACGTCATTTGTGTTCTGGTAGCGTCTCACCTGTGCAGAAATGGTGTTCCGGTGGCAGTGGAAATGTGCAGCCACTTGTCGTTGAGACATTCCCCCACGGACCATCCCAATGGCCTCATGACGTTGTGCTGACGTGAGCCTTGGCATGCCATGCGTTTCAATAGCCGTTTAATTTTTTGAACGATCGCAAGGGCAGGGTTTGAGCTTTCCAAAGTGACAGTATTGTGTGGCATTCATTTGCTCTGTTTCTCTTTCCCGGAATGCACGTGCAACAACGTATTGCACGTCTCAAGGACGAACCCACTGACGTCACGGAACGTGGCACGTGCATGCATGTTGGATACATGTCACTAATCTCTGAGTTTAAATCCTTATGTGTCTAGATAGGTTTGATACATTTAGATTTTAAATTTTTGTATGCACAGTTTCTTTATGTGCCTAGTATAGAAGTAGTCAATGTGAATGATCCAAACGGTCTATCACTGTGCAGTGCACAGGTAACTATCATGAACTGCACGTGCATTTACCTTTATGACCCAACACTGCCGCTGTTACAGGTCATTGGCTCCCTCCCTCTGCAAGCCGTCTGCGTTCTGCTGTTTATTTTGTTGACAGTTACATAGACAGATTCTTTAATACAAATGCATAAAATTGGTGATTTACAATGTGATTAGGTTGTCTGACAAAACATCCACTTGCACAGTTTGAGATCGATTGGGTCATTGGATGAAGAGATTTTACAAAAACCGGGTCCACATGCATTTCATGCCAAACTATAGACGGTTGTATGTCCCGAGCACGGGTTATGTGAATTGTTTGAGATTTAGGGACCGTTCATAATTTATGGCTAGGGGGGCGGATGATGATTTTTATGGAGAAGCCTGTACAATGTGAATGACCCCCCCAAAAATTTATGGACAAAGTAAGTGCCCCCCTGCATGTTATGTACAAAGTCAATGACCCACCCCATATTTTTAAAGCATGATTTTAAAATATTTTTATGTACAAAATTGCTGACACACACACACACACACACACACCCCCTAGAAACGTGTACAAAATTGATGACCCCCCTACCTCATGATGGTTATGTAATGAGACTTGGCCCAGGCGTTATCATAAGACTTGATTAATAATATAGTTCTGTGGATGACAACTTCGTTGTTCTAGTATAAAGCATCATCATAGAACGAAGGTTACCCGTACTACTTAGTATGTTAGTGTTACTCACTAACTCAAGTTTCAACAGTGTATTATTTTTAGGTGAGTGAGTGGGTTTGCAGAAGTATTTCAGCGGGGGACGCCAGAAATGGACTTCACACATTGTGCCCATGTGGGGAATCGAACCCGGGTCCCTAGCGAACGCGTTAACCACTAGGCTATCCAGTCGCCCCAATTCTATTAGGATAAAATATATGTGATTATAAGTGTTTCGAGAAATGGTACGTACCTGTTTATTTACTGAAGTGCGCTTCCACTGCCCAGGGTTACAGGAGCCCGATGGACTTCCTGTTGACACAGACGCCGCTGACAGACACGGTACTCGACTTCTGGAGGATGGTGATTCAGACGGACTCACAAACCATTGTCATGCTCAACGACGACAACGACGATGCAATGGTCAGAATGTAACTCAGTATAGTGAAACTATACACCCGATATCGACTGACCCATTGTTCAACACAGGAATGTCGATGAGAATAGATTAAAAATGAAATAATTTCATTTTCAGTTTGCAAAAATGGGTCAAGAATGAAAGCATTCAGAACTTAAATTCATGTTCAGACTCGACAAGAGGGATGCTGTGTGGAAATGATATTTTCTTGTTGAAAAACCGTTACCATATCATATGCCCATTGTACGATTCCGACTATAATATAGCATGTGTTTAAGACTCACCATCAAATAGTGATGTTACCAGGTGTCGCGAAAAGGTAAGCCTATCCTGCTCCTGCAGTGTTGCGAAAAGATAAGCCTATCATGTTCTTACGGTGGCACCTTCACAAACACACACAATGGCAGGTTTAAAAATCAAACAAACACTGGTACATATGGCAGAAGCAAATTGCATTCTGTGTTCTATGGACGAATAGTAGCAAATCGTCTTGAAGATCTAATTGAAAATGTTTTCTTACTGAATATGCCACCCAGAACATCAAGCGGACATATTAAATAAGCATATTCAAGCAAGAAACCATCATGTCCTACCATCCTCACTCACTCACTCACTCACTCACACCTACAGAATGTCATGGTAAGTTGACATTCACGATGATACAAATACATATGATATAAAACGCGTCAACTCTGTTCCAGACTATGGGCTACTACTGGCCCCAGGACTGTAGACAGAAGGTGTTCGGGCCATACCTTGTGGAGGTGCTGGAGACTGAGAACTACGAGTGTTACTCAGTCATCACGCTATCAGTCAGAGAAGATGAAGAAGATGCAGAGGTAAGACCAGACAGACTGTGGGCTACTACTGGCCCCAGGACTGTAGACGGAAGGTGATCGGGCCATACCTTGTGGAGGTGCTGGAGACTGAGAACTACGAGTGTTACTCAGTCATCACGCTATCAGTCAGAGAGGATGAAGAAGATGCAGAGGTAAGACCAGACAGACTGTGGGCTACTACTGGCCCCAGGACTGTAGACAGAAGGTGTTCGGGCCATACCTTGTGGAGGTGCTGGAGACTGAGAACTACGAGTGTTACTCAGTCATCACGCTATCAGTCAGAGAGGATGAAGAAGATGCAGAGGTAAGACCAGACAGACTGTGGGCTACTACTGGCCCCAGGACTGTAGACAGAAGGTGTTCGGGCCATACCTTGTGGAGGTGCTGGAGACTGAGAACTACGAGTGTTACTCAGTCATCACGCTATCAGTCAGAGAGGATGAAGAAGATGCAGAGGTAAGACCAGACAGACTGTGGGCTACTACTGGCCCCAGGACTGTAGACAGAAGGTGTTCGGGCCATACCTTGTGGAGGTGCTGGAGACTGAGAACTACGAGTGTTACTCAGTCATCACGCTATCAGTCAGAGAGGATGAAGAAGATGCAGAGGTAAGACCAGACAGACTGTGGGCTACTACTGGCCCCAGGACTGTAGTAGACAGAAGGTGTTCGGGACATACCTTGTGGAAGTGCTGGAGACTGAGAACTACGAGTGTTACTCAGTCATCCAGCTATCAGTCAGAGAGGATGAAGAAGATGTAGGTTAGACCAGACAGACTATGGGCTACTACTGGCCCCAGGACTGTAGACAGAAGGTGTTCGGGCCATACCTTGTGGAGGTGCTGGAGACTGAGAACTACGAGTGTTACTCAGTCATCACGCTATCAGTCAGAGAGGATGAAGAAGATGCAGAGGTAAGACCAGACAGACTGTGGGCTACTACTGGCCCCAGGACTGACTGACTGACTGAGTTTGGTTTTACGCCGCTTTTAGCAATATTCCAGCAACATCACGGCGGGGGACACCAGAAATGGCCTTTACACATTGTGCCCATGTGGGGATTCGAATCCGGGTCTTCGGCGTGACGAGCCAACGCTTTAACCATTAGGCTAACCCACCGCCCCACTGTCCCCAGGACTGTAGACAGAAGGTGTTTGGGCCATACCTTGTGGAGGTGCTGGAGACTGAGAACTACGAGTGTTACTCAGTCATCACGCCATCATTCAGAGAGGATGAAGAAGATACAGAGGTAAGACCAGACAGACTGTGGGCTACTACTGGCCCCAGGACTGTAGACAGAAGGTGTTCGGGCCATACCTTGTGGAGGTGCTGGAGACTGAGAACTACGAGTGTTACTCAGTCATCACGCTATCAGTCAGAGAGGATGAAGAAGATGCAGAGGTAAGACCAGACAGAATGTGGGCTACTACTGGCCCCAGGACTGTAGACAGAAGGTGTTCGGGCCATACCTTGTGGAGGTGCTGGAGACTGAGAACTACGAGTGTTACTCAGTCATCACGCTATCAGTCAGAGAGGATGAAGAAGATGCAGAGGTGATGATCCGGATCTGTTAACTTAAGTTACGTTTGGGATTATACTTTATCAGTAAAGTACAGATTCTAGTACTTTTGTCAGATAAAGCTTCATCCGGGATTAGAACCCTCTCTTATAGCGTCAAGTGCCTAATCTCCGTCACACAAACTCAGCCATCTAACCCACTTAACAACCGCAGCTTCCACGTGTGGAATCCCCCAATATATCATATGTTGCATTTGACCACTTGGCATTTGTATTCACGGATCTGTTAAGAGGAGGATATGTTTCGCGCAGTAGAACTGAACATGTCCTGAGACTGCTAACTACTATGTGTGAAGCCCATTTCTGGTGTTCCCCGCCGTGATGTTGCTGGAATATTGCTAAAAGCGGCGTAAAACCAAAACTCAGTCAGTCAGTCAGTCAGTCAGCTAACTAGCATTTATTTGAAACAGTTGGATGTTTCCACCTGTAGTAACACCAAGCGTGTGAATACAAGGAAGATGTGTCAGGACAGGGAGATGAAACTAAATGAACAATATGCGGCCCTTAAATCGACAGGGTCACCCTTCCCGGCTGATAAGAAATACTGACAAGAATTGCAATGATTCTTTTCAGACCCTTCAACCCAGAAACATCAAATTGTTCCAGTGCCATTGTTGGCCCCAGGGGCAGACAACTCCCGTGTCTTCCTTACCCTTGCTGGCTATGATGGAGGCAGTGGAAGTCTGGCGTGAGGCAACAGGCTTCAAGCCCGTCACTGTCCACTGTTGGTTCGTAACCAGAGTGAATGAATCGAGTGATTGTCATGATCCAACATCCAATCTCAAAGTATTAGTTAAACAATTGTGACTCAAATACACGCTAAAACAAGTCTTTGATACGCATTTAGAAGGTGGTAGAACATGAGTGCATAACACTTGTGTGTGCATAAGAACTTTGTAACAAATGATGAAGGATGAAGATATAGCCCTGAAACGTTTCAAAGAGCGTCATTCACCCCATGAGAAAGACGAGAAGTTGCACTGAAACGTTTCAAAGCGCGTTATTCACCTGACGGGGATGAAGACATAGCCCTGAAACGTTTCAAAGAGCGTCATTCACCCACATTCAGCCCTAAAACGTCATTACAAAGACTAGAGAACATGTTATCAATTGTCCTGCATTCACTTACACAATTAAAACATAATTGTGATATATAATTATGCTCGTACTCATCACATGGTTACAACATCGCTGACACTCTAAGGATAGTCTGTGTGTCAACATTTCGAAGGGGGTCATACGATTCTTGCTCAAAAGTTGTTTGATAATGGTTACAGCATTCAAGACTATGGTAACTTCAATAGTTTTCATTAATCCATTTATATAGTTTTCTAGTTTGCTTTTTGTGTCAAACAGTGTCTGTTTCAGGGGTTAGTAAGACTAGTTGTTCTCAGGTGTAGTATATTACAAACATTTTGTGGTAAACACGTGGAGGACATTTCCTTCAGTCCTTGACTGCACGGTGGTGTTGTGGAAAGTGTGTCTGCCCATGAGTTCGATCCCCTGATCGCTTCTCGTTAAACAATATTACGTGTTACCCTGTCTTTCGCTCGGCATTAAGGGGATAAGACTACGACTGGTCTTCTGGTATAAAGCGCCTGCATTAGACAATTTCAACTGTATCATAGACACTCAGTGTATAGAGTTAGTGAATAGTTCATTGTTATAACTCACTCAGCTATATTCCAGCTGCAAGCTATCGAGTCTGGGCCTCACCTCACCACAATTCACCTCACCTCACCTCACCTCACCTCAGTAACGAAGAAAAATTAGCGAATTCCATTTCATAAATTCGTGATACTATAACGCCTTAAACTGTGGAGCCTTATTGTCTAGGAATGGTGTGGATAGATCGGGACTGTTCTGTGTCCTGTCGGCCATCTTGGAAAGATTGAAGATTGACCTCAACATCAGCATTCTGCAGACCATCAACGAGATGAGACTTTGTAGACCCCAGCTAATACAGAAATTCGTGAGTCCTAGTTTTGTTCTGTAATATACTCTCCCAAAAAAGAAACGCATCATGAAAATAGCAATTTCATGTAGCAATGAATTAAAACGTGATTCATTTTACAAAAGGTTTTGCTGTGTTTATGAGTCCTATGGTGTTTATGTTTTGAAACATCACAACAAAACGCACCATCCGTTAAATACCCGTAGTTAACAGCATGATTTTCAATTTCGGCGTGTAGTGTCACATAATACACAATTCACATGCAATGCACGTGAAAGTTGGGGATCAGATAGTCTCAATGATTGGTATAAAAGGTTGATCGCTGTCTGTCGATTATTCACTGTATTTGGAATATTGTTGACGCAAAATGCCACGTCTAAGTGAAGCCAACCGTCATATCGCCATTGGTTTGCTTGAAGCAGACCAGTCTCAACGTGCAGTTGCCCGAAGCATGAATGTTCACCAAAGCACCATTTCACGGCTCTGGGAGAGATATCGCCGGCAGAATGCGGTAGCAGATGCCCCTCGTAGTGGGCGACCTCGAGCGACCACTGCGGCGCAGGATCGCTACATCCGGGTACATCACCTGCGTCATCGAACAGCTACGGCGACCAGTACCGCTCGATAAATACCCGGATTGAGGAGGTTTTCTGCACAGACCGTCAGGAACAGGTTGAGAGAAGCTGGTTTACGTGCCAGAAGACCTTATTTTGGCCCTGTGCTTCGACAACAACATCGTCGACATCGAGTTCAATGGTGCACCAACGTTCAGGCCTGGAACCTACCGAATTGACGTAGAATCTGGTTCAGTGATGAATCACGATTTCTATTGGAACGACGCGATGGAAGAATGCGGGTGTACAGACGTCGACGTGAACGTTTCGCCGACGCTTGCGTTCCCCAGGTGGACAAATTCGGCCGGGGCAGTGTTATGATGTGGGAAGCGATCACCTGCCGTAGGAGAAGTGATTTGGTGATGATCCAGGGCAACCTGACAGCTCAACGGTACTGTGACGAAATCCTACGCCCACACCTCCTTCCAATCATTGATCGCCAGAGGGAGTTGTTTCAACAAGACAATGCCAGGCCCCACACAGCACGTCACACTAGGGACTTCCTCCAGAACCACAACATCAATGTGCACCCCTGGCCCTCAAGATCACCGGACTTAAACCATCTGTGGGATGCCCTGGACAGACGGGTGCGACGCCGTAACCCTCAGCCCCAGACACTTCAGCAACTCGCACAGGCACTACAGGCAGGGTGGGCTGCGAGTGGGCAACACGAGATTCTGAGACTTATTCGTTCGATGCCGAGGCGATGCCGTGCAGTTCTGGATGCCCACGGTGGTCACTCGAGGTATTGACTTCAGCGCCACCACAGGTCTCCATGTGACACTCAAACTGGTGTTGGTGCCAAAGACGGATAAGTCTGCATTCCCAGTGTGCAATTTCGCTATATTTCATTGACTCATAAAGCCTACAAGATTTTTCAAAATAAACATAAATATACAGTTGAAATTCCTATATGCGTTTCTTTTTTGGGAGGGTATATTAAAATGACAATAAACTATACCGACGTGTTGAAAATATACATCAAAATGACATTTTAATGATGCAACTAAAGTTTGGGTGGAAACATGAGTTCAATTATTGTCCGTCAGCCCTACTTTGGTTTATAGGGATTCAGTTAGTCGGAGCATGTTTGTATATGAGGTAGTTAGATATATGCTATTATTTGTATCCATTGACCTTCATGGAAAATCAGTTTTAGAAATCTGTATTTCCAAATTAAACATTTAACGTTCATTGTTACCAATCTTTGATATCTTGACTTGGAAAGCGAAACTGCTGGTCGGCACATGTTAAACTTCGTAGGGCGTTGTCGTAGAGACGAAGCTGTTTTGACTTGAGGTTATGATGTTGTCCCCTGAATGGCCATATATAGAAGCATCTTAAAAGCCTTTTTTACATACACCCCTTTGCCCCCGGGGGTAAAATACCACATGGGGTTAAAATACCCCTGAGAGGCAAATTGTGTCGTATAAACGGGTCTAACAGGGGGGTAAATTATACCCACAGGGAGGTATTCTGCCCCTGGTCAAGAGGTGGAGCAAATTCAGTTACCCCCGGGGGTATTCTACCCCCTTGGGGTAAAAGTGTCGTGTAAACGGTCTATCAAGCTAAATACAACCAGGGGTACATTTATAGAACCATCCATCCCTGCTTATAATGGAATGGTTTTCCAGGAAATCTAGACATGCATTTTGTTGGTAAGTATGTTGTTGGTATGCACTACCCACCCTGTCATTAATCTGTAGCTCTACACTGGAAACAACATGCCTCCGATAAACAAGCGTTTACGACGTGGTTAAGCCTGGACAGATGATGAGACAAAGGGTCTGCTCTGTATCTGCGGAGACATGCCCATCCAGTCCCTTCTGGACAGCCCCTCAAAGCTGATACAGCTGTTTTTCAAAGGTGAACAAAGTAATGCATGAACTGGGCTTTGCGAAAACGGCCACACAATGCACAGAAAGAACGAAAACACTTAAAAATCATAGTCATATAGACAGTGTAGGGATTCACTTAAGAGGAGTGGACAGCCCCGAAAACTCTGCACATTTTATGAACAGCTAAATTTTGGATAGAAGACCTGCGACATCACCTAACAATGTCATTCAAAGTCTCCAGCAGTCAGTTGCATCAGATACAGACATATCTGATCTTGAAGTTACTGATGATCATGTTACCGACAACATTGCTGATGATGTCGAACTTGCTGAGCCAGGAGATTATGAATGTGTTAAAAATGGCTAACAAAATGGTCATATGAAAACAAACAAAAAGGAAAACAAAGAAAACCCAAACTGCAAACAACTTTGAAAACTGTCATGGACTAGTTTGCTAAACCTAATGAAGATATTGAAACAAGGCAGATTGAGTTGGAAAAGAAACAAATTGAGCTGGAAATGAGAAAAATGACGAGAGAAAGAAAATAGAGAGCTTGCACTAAGGAAACTGGATAAAAGAGAAAGACAGAAAGCTTCTGACAGAGAACACCAATTGCGTATGCTACAGTTCATCATGAACACCATATGCCAATCCATCATCCATCCAATGTCCAACATTCTTGTCCAGTGGTATCAACTTGACCTTGTGGTCCTTGGTCGCCATCATGTACCTCAACCTCATCCAGCCAGTCAGGGTTGAACATGTGGTCTGATTCACACACGTTATGCGCCTACATCTTCCTTTGAAGCGTCCAAATATATTTTCAATGACCATCCGGGCACTGCTGAAGCGGAAGTTGAAGTATGACTTGCATGCGTTAAACTTATTCTGTGTTAGACTTCCTCATACAAACGGGAAGTGTGATATAATTTAAATACAATGTAAATATATAACCTTTTTACGTGTTGGGGGCAATATATGCCTTTTTAGGTCCCAAAACGCCCTAATACCTTACCTACATACATACATTGAGATGGGCGTTGCCTGAACTGTTCTTTTAGCGTAACAAAAAATACTATTAAAAGATATCTATTTGTCCATACCAACTCGTCACCATAATTACACGGAACACAGGGAGCTTCTAATCTGACATATGTACATTGTCACTGTCACTGTCAACTGAAATACTAATTTGACTGACGGTTGTGTGAACTATACCGAGAACTGTCTCTTTCCCGAGCTTCGATACCGGTCTCAACTTTGTCAGTTGCCCTAGTTTCCTTGCAAATACAGCCGCCTCCGTGGTGTAGTGGTTAGAGCGTCCGCCCGGAGAGCGGAAGGTCGCGGGTTCGATCACCGGCCGAGTCATACCAAGTTCACCTCACCTCCTTGCAAATACTGTCTAAACTATTTCTGACCAGTTTAGTCCACATCGGATAGTTTGTGTTTCACTGTGGTCATATGAAGATAAACTTATGTGGGTTTGTTTGGTAACGATGAAAAGTAAACAGCCAATCAATATGAACCAAAGATGAGTAAGATCAAAGAGAATTCCTGAAAATAATTATAATTTCACCGATATGAACAATTGACAAAGAATTATCGCTCCTGAACAAAATTATCGGTCGCTGGTAATGAACAAAGGAATATAACAACACTGGTATCAGATTAATAAATGACAAAATTACTCCTTATCTTTCAAAGGTATCAGGTGTTTCGGTAACAAAATGAACAATTCTTTAATTTTCGGGTCGTTTCAGTAACAAAAAACGTTTCTCCGCTCCTGAACAATATCAGTTAACAGTAACAAAACCGAACGATAAAGCAACAATTAATTAATTTCGTAACCGAACAGTATAAAGATTTTAAAAGTAATTATCCAGTTATTAGTGACAGAAATAAAGTATATTCCAGTTGAACAGTGTCAGTTAGAACAGTGACAAAGAAATAAACGGTATCTTCAGTGGAATCAGTTATTAATTGACAAATACGAACAGAATCATACCACGTCAGATTGGCGTTAACGTACGGAAGTGTCAAATATTTTATCCATTAAACATATTGACAGGTGGATAATGGGTTAATTATATTGTTCAAATCCAGTTACGTTATCAGATGCCAGTTAAATAAATAAAGGGGCGACTGCAGATCAGGTATTTAAGGGTCGCTGACGGATTGTTTATTGCGTGGGTCGGTGTTCGTGATAACTGGGTCGGTTATTACGGCTGGAATGCTGGGTTAAACAAATAAACAAACGTAAAACAAATTATTTTGATTGGGGTTTGTTTGTTTTAATGGATTAAATGTTTTCATCGTTTTGCGTAAAGGGCGATTGCGTGAAGGGTTCGAAGAAGAAGAATTGGGGGATGATTTTTGAACAGGACGGAGAATGGAATAGGGAAGAGGCATGGAAATAAAGATAGACAGATGGAGGCAGACACAGTCGGGAGGAACAAAGACAGAGAAAACAGGAAACAAAGGCAACGAGAGATAAATTTTGAACGGAAACAGCGAGATAAAGGGATAAAGGGTCGAAGAACAAAGAGACAGGAGAAACAAGGTCGGCAGTCAGGGAACGATAAGGAAAGAGAGATAGAACGGCAAAGATAAGGATAAGAACAGTCAGAAGGAACGACAAGGGGAAAAGAGAACAGGGAAAACAGCAAGGGATGAGGGATAGAGACGGTCAGGAACGTCGAGAACAGGGAGAACAGCGAGGGATAGGGATAAAGAGACAGTCAGAGAAAGGACAAAGGAAAAGACAGGGAGAACAGCAAGAGATAGGTCAGAACAGTCAGAGGACAGAGACAGGAGAACAGCAGAGATAAAGGTTGAACAGTCAGAGCGACAGAAGAGACAGGGGAGAACAGCAGAGATAGGGATAAAGACAGATAGAAGGACAAAGGAACCGGGGAGAACAAATAAAGAGATGCGGGATAAAGACGGTCGAAGAACAGACAAGGAGAACGAAAGCGAGGATAAGGGATGAAGTGGTCAGAACGACAAAGGAAAGATAGGGACAGAAGGCAAACAAAGAGATATGGGATCGAGAACGGATCAAGGAACAAGGAAGACAGGGAAGGGTAACCGGGGATAAAGTGGGGCGATAGAAGAGACGGGGAAAACAAGAGGATAAGGGATAAAGAGACAAGAAGGGAACGATAAGGGAAAGAGACAGGGAGAACAGGGGATAAGAACGGTCAGAAGGCGATAAGAAACCACAGGGAAAGGATAGGGATAAAGACAGTCAGAAGGACAGAACGGGGAGAACAACAGGGGGATAAGGGATAAAGAGACAGTCAGGACAAGAAGACAAGGGAGAAACAGCGAGATAGGGATAAAGAACAGTCAGAGACGACAAATAAAGAGATAGGGGAACAAATGAGGGATAAAGGTCGAGACAGTCGAAGGACAAAGGAAGACAAGAGAACAGCAGAGATAAAGGATAAAGAACAGTCGAAGAACGACTCGGAAAGAACAGGGAGAAACAAATAGGGATCGGGATAAAGAACAGTCAGAAGAACAGGGAAAGAGATAGGGAGAACGGGAGATAGGGATAGGGACAGTCAAGAGAACGACAAGAAAAGAAAGAGAACAAGGGAGAAACAACTGAGAGGATATAGACAGTCAGAAGAACGACAAGTAAAGAGAGAGACAGGGAGAGAACAACTGAGATATGGATAGAGATAGTCAGAGAGAACGACAAAGGAAAGAAAGAAGCAAGGAGAGAACAACTGAAAAGATAAAGGGAGTAAAGAAACAGTCAGAGAATGACAAGGAAAAGAGGGAACCAGGGGAGAGGCAAGCTGAGAGGCCAGGGACCAGAAAACACAGTCAGAGAATACCAAAGGGAAAGAGAGACAAGGAGATAGAAACAAATGAGAGAGATAGGGATGAGACAGTCAGAGGAAGGACAAGGAGAGAGAGAGACAGGAGAGAGAGAGCAATAACTGAGAGATAGGGATAGAACAGTCAGAGAACGACAAAGGAAGAAGAGACAGGAGAGGAAACAACTGAGGGATAGGGATAGAGACAGTCAGAGAATGGACAAAAGGAAAGAGAGAGACAGGAGAAACAACTGAGGGCGGGATAGAGACAGTGACAGGGATGACAGGAAAGGGCAGAGAGTAAGCTGAATGGGATAGAGACAGTCAGAGAACAAACAAGGAAGAGACAGGAGAGAGAACAAATAGAGGATAGAGGCAGTCAGAGAGAATTTGAAACAAGGAAAGAGAGAGAGAGGCTAAAGGTGAGGAAAGAAATAAGAGATAGGACAGGGAAAGAGAGAGAGACAGGGAAGACAGATAGGGAGAGACAAAGAGAGGGAGAGTCAGAGAACGAAGTCAGATAGAAGCAACTGAGGGAGAGACAGAGCTAAAGAGAGAGAGAGAACAACTGAGAGATAGGGATAGAGACAGTCAGAGAACGACAAGGAAAGAGAGACAGGGAGAGAGAGCAACTGAGAGATAGGGATAGAGACAGTCAGAGAACGACAAGGAAAGAGAGACAGGGAGAGAGAGCAACTGAGAGATAGGGATAGAGACAGTCAGAGAACGACAAGGAAAGAGAGACAGGGAGAGAGCAACTGAGAGATAGGGATAGAGACAGTCAGAGAACGACAAGGAAAGAGAGACAGGGAGAGAGAGCAACTGAGAGATAGAGACAGTCAGAGAACGACAAGGAAAGAGAGACAGGGAGAGAGAGCAACTGAGAGATAGGGATAGAGACAGTCAGAGAACGACAAGGAAAGAGAGACAGGGGAGAGAGCAACTGAGAGATAGGGATAGAAACAGTCAGAGAATACCAAGGAAAGAGAGACAGGGAGAGAGAGCAACTGAGAGATAGGGAGACAGTCAGAGAACGACAAGGAAAGAGAGACAGGGAGAGAGAGCAACTGAGAGATAGGGATAGACGCAGGCAAGGGCAGAGAACGACAAAGGAAAAAGAGAGATAGGAGAGAGAGCAACTGAGAGATAGGGATAGAGACAGTCAGAGAGAATGAAAGAAGACAAGATAGGGAGAAAGAGAGGGACAGAATCAGGACGACAAGAAAAGAGACAGGGAGAGAGACGGATGAGAGATAGAGACAGTCAAGAGAACGACAAGGAAAGAGAGAGACAGGGAGAGGCAACAGAGATAGTCGAGGGAGAACGACAGCGAAACAGAGATATCTGTTTGGCTGCTTCATGGTCGATATTGATTACTACAGTGGAGAAGAGAAATTATTGATGTAATAAAGGCGTCGGTGTGTGTTTGTAAGTTATTATGGTGACTGAGATTATATTCCGCTGCCCAAGGGGGAGGTATCAGAGAATGTATCAATTCAATAGGACGTTCATCGTGGGAATAAGGATGAGAGTATGTCATAATAACAATCCTGTTCAACTATCGTTGAACTTTGTTTACTTGATACCAATGTCAGCTGTATTATGATAGCACAGTCTGTACTTGCTGTAGCTAGAAGAGTATTTCAAATTGAAGAGCAAAGTGTACGCAAATGCAGAGAAGCTGCCGGCTCTTTTAATTTCAGTTTTAATTTGAGTCCTAAGCGCAGTCATATTTACTGATGGTTATTACCCATAGCCCTACAGACGAAGACATTCCTCTGAGATGAAATTACAGTAGAGTGTAATGTGTTTTTCTGTTTTGAAAGTTGCTTTGTTAAGTGAGTGCTCTGAGAAAATGCTTTCCCTTTTCGCGACCACATAGAACCATCACATATCTCGGTCGATCAGTAGTGTAGTGTTCGCCGTTGTTTTACCTTTTATGGCCAATGGAAGCTGTATTTGGTAAATAATATACACAGATTCTCTGTAGAGGAACACATTTTATAGACTGACAACTTCTTTATTGCAATGGTGTAGTTAACACCGTTATCAGGTAGGTGATGATAACACCGTTATCAGGTAGGTGATGATAACACCGTTATCAGGTAGGTGATGATAACACCGTTATCAGGTAGGCGATGATAACACCGTTATCAGGTAGGCGATGATAACACCGTTATCAGGTAGGCGATGATAACACCGTTATCAGGTAGGCGATGATAACACCGTTATCAGGTAGGTGATGATAACACTGTTAGCATCTACACCGAAACGTCGCATCTATTACAATAACAGAAGTTGCCTATCTATAAAATTCGTTCCTCTTCATCATACCAGCTTCTAATTTGCCACTCAAAGAAGGATTATCTATTGTTAACGTTTCCTCCGTGAGGAGATTTCTGGTGTCCCCCGCCGTGATATTGCTGGTATATTGCTAAAAGCGGCGTAAAACCAAACTCAGTCAGTCAGTCAGTCCGTGAGGAAAATATTTGAATATTACTTAGGCGCCTTTGACGTCACCGCTTTGTCAAATATGTTGGTTGGCTGTTGTTTATCGCCGCACAAGCCAGTGATCAACAGCATGAGCATCCATCTACGCAGAGTTGGGATACGATGGCATGTGTCAACCAAGTCAGTGAACCTGACCGATCCCTTTAGTCACCTCTTACGACAAGTATGGGTTACTGAAGACCAGAGCTAACCCGGTTCCTCCCGGTATGTCAAATATGTGGTGCTGACGAATCACCATCACTTATTGGTATTCGCAATTGAATTTATTTTGGACAAAAACTGGCGATATTTCCTAATAAATGATATATAAATATTCAAGGATCCGTTTCTAAAGACCTTCAAGTCTGCTTCCTTGTCGTGTCAATTTTTAATAGATTTTGTTTAATTTCCTTGTGGTTTTAAGGAAACGTTATATAGTTTTAGCGATTACACATATTTCCTTCAGACGGAAGACCTTGAATCCAAACAATACAATACAAAAGTGAAAACAAAACATATATTTTCCGTGTTGGTCTGTTCTTAGTTGTTTGGGAAACTAGTCCTCGGTGGTGTCAGCAGCCAAGAGTGCCAAAGATATGCAATGGCACTTAATCAGCTGACCTGGAAAAGCCCAAGTGGATGCCTACAGTGTACATTGACACTTAATAAGCTCTCTGGACAAGCACCGATCAATGCCCTATCAAATTGAGTGGACAAGTACCTATCGATATCTTTAATTTTTGGTGTACAATGACAGTTAATAAGCTGACTGAACAAGTACCTATCGATATCTTAAGTGTATGATGACTTGACAACCCGACTAGACAAGCACCTATCGATACATTTAGCGTACAATGACACTTAATAAGCTGACTGAACAAGTACCTATCGATAAACGTACAATGACACTTAATAAGCTGACTGAACAAGTACCTATCGATACATATAGCGTACAATGACACTTAATAAGCTGACTGGACAAGTACCTATCGATACATATAGCGTTCAATGACACTTAATAAGCTGACTGAACAAGTACCTATGGACTAGTACCTATCGATGACATTTAATAAGGTGGACTGGACAAGTACCCATCGGTACGATACATTAGCGTGACTGGACTGGACTGGAAAGTACCTATCGATACATTTAGCGTACAATGACACTTAATAAGCTGACTGGACGTACAATGAAAGTACCTATCGATACATTTAGCGTACAATGACACTTAATAAGCTGACTGGACAGAATTACCTATCGATACATTTAGCGTACAATGACACTTTAATAAGCTGACTGGACAATAATCCTGACACTTTTTAATAAGCTGACTGGACAAGTACCTATCGATATCGTTAGCTTACAATGACACTTAATAAGCTGACTGGACAAGTACCTATCGATACATTTAGCGTACAATGACACTTGATAAGCTGACTGGACAAGTACCTATCGATACATTTAGCTTACAATGACACTTAATAACCTGACTGGACAAGTACCTATCGATACATTTAGTGTACAATGACACTTGATAAGCTGACTGGACAAGTACCTATCGATATCTTTACTGTATGATGACTTGACAACCCGATTGGACAAGCACCTATCGATACATTTAGTGTACAATGACACTTAATAAGCTGACTGGACAAGTACATATCGATATCTT